GCCTACTCGCAGAGGCGTAGCGAGGGGGATGGCGGGGGGTGTGGTCCGCACCGGGTGACACCATTTAGGGGGGTGACACCAAGGCAAAAAATAGCAAAATATATAGAGAAAAACTTGAGGAGGGGTTGCAAATCGAAAGTTTGAGGGGGGGGGGGTGCAAATCGAAAATTTGAAAGTTTGTCCCCAGGAAGGGTCGCTACGCCTCTGGGGGGGGGGGGGGGGTGACACCATTAAGTGCTGCACCGGGTGACACCCGACCTCGCTACGCCACTGCCTACTCGTTGAATGAGTTAGCGGCCTATATTTCCACATAACACAAAGTGAACCTAAAAATCGACTTATCACGAGAAATTGTAAGCGAGAGATGAATGCTGGGTACACAGTGTGCCTATTATTGTATCGGAGTGTGTTGTGATTTCACAATAAGAACAATTTTAACATAACACTTTTTTGTTTAGTAAAATATTTTTGTTTTAAATTGTTTTTGTGTTGTAACAGCACTAGTTAAAAGAATGTTACTTGTCACTACACTTTCTTAAAATTTATTGTTAGTGGTACAATATAGAAAATAAAAGACATTAAATTAGAGCGTTGGTCTAAGGAGGGCTTATTGTCTGACTTTTAAGTGAGAGTCTAATCGTTTTTTAAAAACCATCCACGAAAACAGAGGATGTGTTTGTTTCATATCAAGTGGGAAATAATCATTTTAAAACACGACAGCTGTCACTTAAAAAAACATTACATTTAATGTAATTTAAGTTTAGCAAATAATGCGATTAAATACAATACTGTAACAGATTCAAAATTTCAGTAACAAAAAATTCGTGAAAATAAAAAATGGAAGTTTATTCAAGCTTTAAATAGCAACGAAACAAATGTGGATACAAACGGAGCAACAAATCCCAGATTTCAATACATTCCAATGATGCCAATTATCACATCGAACGCGCCCTCTTTCAGCGAACACCCCAGAGACCCAAGCCGACACCCCTAACGTTACTCATCGATTGACCTACAATTGAACTAAGAGCTCTTGCAGACGATTCGAATTAAATCCAAGCACGAACCGCCTCACAATCCCGGTCCGAAATTTTCATTTGTATGTGCAGTGGAACGTGAGCGGCAGATGACCAATCGTCTGCTCACTCGTCCTGTGTTTAAACACATCTTACATTCTACATTCAACCACTCGTCTTGTGTTTAAACACATCTTGCATTCTACACTCAACCACTCGTCTTGTGTTTAAAGTAAACACGTCTTACATTCTATACTCAACCACTCGTCTTGTGTTTAAACACATTTTACATTCTACACTCAACCACTCGTCTTGTGTTTAAAGTAAACACATCTTACATTCTATACTCAACCACTCGTCTTGTGTTTAAACACATTTTACATTCTACACTCAACCACTCGTCTTGTGTTTAAACACATCTTACATTCGACACTCAACCACTCGTCTTGTGTTTAAACACATCTTACATTCTACACTCAACCACTCGTCTTGTGTTTCAACACATTTTACATTCTACACTCAACCACTCGTCTTGTGTTTAAAGTAAACACATCTTACATTCTACACTCAACCACTCGTCTTGTGTTTAAACACATTTTGCATTCTACACTCAACCACTCGTCTTGTGTTTAAACACATCTTGCATTCTACACTCAACCACTCGTCTTGTGTTTAAAGTAAACACGTCTTACATTCTATACTCAACCACTCGTCTTGTGTTTAAACACATTTTACATTCTACACTCAACCACTCGTCTTGTGTTTAAACACATCTTACATTCTACACTCAACCACTCGCCTTGTGTTTAAGCACATCTTACATTCTACACTCAACCACTCGTCTTGTGTTTAAACACATTTTACATTCTACACTCAACCACTCGTCTTGTGTTTAAACACATCTTACATTCTACACTCAACCACTCGTCTTGTGTTTAAGCACATCTTACATTCGATACACAACCACTCGTCTTGTGTTTAAACACATCTTACATTCTACACTCAACCACTCATCTTGTGTTTAAACACATTTTACATTCTACACTCAACCACTCGTCTTGTGTTTAAAGTAAACACATCTTACATTCTATACTCAACCACTCGTCTTGTGTTTAAACACATTTTACATTCTACACTCAACCACTCGTCTTGTGTTTAAACACATCTTACATTCTACACTCAACCACTCGTCTTGTGTTTATGCACATCTTACATTCGATACTCAACCACTCGTCTTGTGTTTAAACACATCTTACATTCTACACTCAACCACTCGTCTTGTGTTTAAGCACATCTTACATTCTACACTCAACCACTCGTCTTGTGTTTAAACACATCTTACATTCTACACTCAACCACTCGTCTTGTGTTTAAACACATCTTACATTCTACACTCAACCACTCGTCTTGTGTTTAAACACATCTTACATTCTACACTCAAACACTCGTCATGTGTTTAAACACATCTTACATTCTACACTCAAACACTCGTCCTGTGTTTAAAGTTAACACATCTGACATTCAACACTCAACCACTCGTCCTGTGTTTAAACACATCTTACATGCTACATTCAAACAGACAAACACTCGTCCTGGGCTTAAAGTAAACGCATCTTACATTCTAAACACCCGTCCTGTATTTAAAGTAATCACATCTAAAACAATCTGTCATTTGTGTTTCACCATTCGCCGGATCTCTTTTTGTTCATAGCTGTTTAAATCACATCTCAAAGAATTTTTTAGACAACCGACTTTTATTTACTCTTCCTGTGTAAAAATATCAAGAAAGAATTCTTCATCCGATTCCGTAAAAAAAAAATTTTAAATATATTTTACATCCGAGTGTGTAAAAAATTCTTCTACATCCGACTGCAAAATTTAAAAAAAAAATAAAACATTGTACACCCGACTCAGAAAAAAATTCTAAAAAAATGTATTCTACACCCTACTGTGAAGTTGATGATATCTCCTGCGCCTTTGATGACATATCACAATCGATCATTTTAGGATGGGGAAGGGGATAGTTCATGATTCACACATTATCAGTCCCTAGCTATGTCCATCTAGTCAAACAAATCAGTCCCTAGCTATGTCCATCTAGCCTCACATTATCAGTCCCTAGCTATGTCCATCTAGTCACACAAATCAGTCCCTAGCTATGTCCATCTAGCCACACATTATCAGTCCCTAGCTATGTCCATCTAGCCACACAAATCAGTCCCTAGCTATGTCCATCTAGCCACACATTATCAGTCCCTAGCTATGTCCATCTAGCCACACAAATCAGTCCCTAGCTATGTCCATCTAGCCACACAAATCAGTCCCTAGCTATGTCCATCTAGCCACACAAATCAGTCCCTAGCTATGTCCATCTAGCCACACAAATCAGTCCCTAGCTATGTCCATCTAGCCACACAAATCAGTCCCTAGCTATGTCAATCTAGCCACAGAAATCATTCATTAGCTTTACCACTAGTTCGGTATTTATTGAATGAATTAGTTAAGCCAAATAATGTGTACAATATTCGTATCGACTACTAAGCCTTACTACGGTATAATAAATAAAGTTAAACTTTCTGTAGTGACATCTAGAATTATGATGATTAGCTTTATCATTATAGATTCTACCGAGCTACACAATATATCATATAGCTAACGTGTTTTTTAAACTGAAGGTGTCTATTGCGTAACAAATCAGTATGCATATACTTTTTTTAAATTTATAATTTAAATTTTATAAGCAAAGTTAAAAATTTCTGGAGAAAAAATAATATCGAAAGAGAAATAGCTGTTTAGGTTTCAGACAAGAGCTAAAATAATTTCTTGTATACGTGCATTACATTATGACGATAGAAAGGGCGGTAATTGATGTGAAACAGTCTTTTTGATTGAACAAAGTGTTGATGTTCCACTACCGTGTTATTTGTAACATTGTGTAGCGCTTTGTGGTTTCAAAGGTCAGGGGATTTTTTTTTAATTCTCTGAACAGTTCTCGAGGGTATTGGGTTCTAATTGTAGTTAGTTGGTTATATGTTGTATTATTGAAGACTACATATTTTCTCTCGTGCTTATTGTTTGCCTATTTTGTTTAACGTTTTTTTTTTAAACCCTTGCATTTGTTTCATACAAGCTTTTGGTTTTGTTTTAATTATGTCATATCAACGCATGGAAAAATTAGTTTACCGAATATAAAAAAGTATATTGGAGGTATTTTAGTTTTGACTTATTGAGAGAAACAAAAAGCAGGAGTCAACTAAATTCAATACGAACCCTAATGGTTTAGACCTAGGCTATTTAAACCAGTCGGAGACGTAGTTTTCTCTGTTGAAACTATTTAAACTATCAACGGCTGAGAGTGCATGTTAGTTTTGTTACGAATAATTTCTAGAAATTTGCTGTCTGCCCATGTTTTTATAAGAAGATGGCTACAAGCATTACACCACAAAGCCATTTAAAATTTCTTAAAGTCACTAGGCATAAGTAGCCTAATTATATAAGTTAAATGTCAATCAACACAGTCACAAGAAAATGTATCAGTCATAAACCAGTGCAACAGTCACTGAAACACAGTTATAAGATCTAAAGAGCAGACAGTTTTCATTCTAAGCTATTTTGTTTTTTCGTCATGGCTGGCGATGCCCCTGAGCAGTTGTAAATAAAATCATTGTAGGCATGCGTCGGACAGCATCAGTCATCACATCAACTCATATACACGGGGGGGGGTATGTAAGGTGACATATGACATAAACTGATGCAGAAATGGGAGGGGTTTAAGTAAGGTGACACATGACATAAACTCAAGCAGAAGTGGGAGGGTGGAAGGTAACACATGACATAAACTCAAGCAGAATTGGGAGGGGTTTTAGTAAGGTGACACATGACATACTCAAGCAGAAATGGGAGGGGTGGAAGGTAACAGATGACATAAACTCAGGCAGGAATGGGAGGGGTGGAAGGTAACACATGACATAAACTCAGGCAAAAATGGGAAAGGTGGAAGGTAACACATGACATAAACTCAGGCAGAAATGGGAGGGGTGGAAGGTAACACATGACATAAACTCAGGCAGAAATGGGAGGGGTGGAAGGTAACACATGACATAAACTCAGGCAAAATGGAAGGGGTTTAAGTAAGGTGACACATGACATAAACTCCGGCAGAAACTGTAGTTGTTTCATGAAGGTGACACATGGCGTTGTTTATTTTGTTTGCTACAAAAGGTCTTAGCTCTCCAGCAGTCGTCTGCTAATCTCACCAGTAGTTCTCTTCCCACCCACTTCTCCCTTTCGCAACCCATCCCCTCCACATGACTCGAAACTGATTCCGATTGAAAGCGTAAAATAAAATCAATACTCAGCTAGTTTATCAGCCTGTCGCTGTGGGTTTTTTTTTACTGTATTTACTGTTGATAGGCCAGAATTTTAAAGCTTCTCTACTTAAAGTAGACTTACAAAGGCACAAATTTTACTGTATCTACTGTTGATAGGCCAGAATTTTAAAGCTTCTCTACTTAAAGTAGACTTAAAAAGGCACACATTTTACTGTATCTACTGTTGATAGGCTAGAATTTTAAAGCTTCTCTACTTAAAGTAGACTTACAAAGGCACACATTTTACTGTATCTACTGTTGATAGGCCAGAATTTTAAAGCTTCTCTACTTAAAGTAGACTTACAAAGGCACACATTTTACTGTATCTACTGTTGATAGGCTAGAATTTTAAAGCTTCTCTACTTAAAGTAGACTTACAAAGGCACACATTTTACTGTATCTACTGTTGATAGGCTAGAATTTTAAAGCTTCTCTACTTAAAGTAGACTTACAAAGGCACACATTTTTTACTGTATCTGCTGTTGATAGGCTAGAATTTTAAAGCTTCTCTACTTAAAGTAGACTTACAAAGGCACACATTTTTTACTGTATCTGCTGTTGATAGGCTAGAATTTTAAAGCTTCTCTACTTAAAGTAGACTTACAAAGGCACACATTTTTTACTGTATTTACTATTGATAGGCTAGAATTTTAAAGCTTCTTTACTTAAAGTAGACTTATAAAGACACACTTTTTACTGTTGATAGGTAAGAATTTTTAAGCTTCTCTACCTAAAGTAGACTTACAAAGACACTTTTTACTGTTGATCGGCAAGAATTTTAAAGCTTCTCTACTTAAAGTAGAGTTACAAAGGCACACATTTTTACTGTATTTACTGTTGATCGGCAAGAATTTTTAAGCTTCTCTGCTTAAAGTAGACTTACAAAGACACAATTTTTACTGTCTCACATAGTGATGGCTAGAATTTTAAAGCTACTCTACTTATAAAGGACCTACAGAGGGGTTACATTTTTATTGGACATTTCCGTAAACAGAACAAAATAAATCGACCTAGATCTAGTTGAAGTTATCTCGTAAAGAGACTAACAGCGCTATCATCAGTCTTGAGGTCGCACCATCTGTCATGGCCAGGTAACAGTTTTAAGGAAGCGCTTAACTGTCTATATGGGGAAAAACCTCTTGGCGAGAAATCTAAGCGCAGATGATAGAATAATATCTGCCACTTATCGCATTAGCCTCAGGTATTATTGTTTCATCTTTTAGAAGATCTATCGCTCCTTTATGTATCTTAATTGGCTTATAGCTAACCTTATATTTTATCATGTTCATCTTTATTTAGCAAATATAGTTTAAAATGTTTCTGATTAACAGAAATTATGTAAAATTTCCCTGAGTTTGTCAGGTAAACTTAAAATTCAAAGGAAAGGAATTTTATCTTCAAAAACTTTAAATTTTTTGTTTGTTTCATAGTTAACCTTTCTTGAAATGTTGGTTTTGTATTTATAATTTTAAAAATATAAGGATAAAAAGAAACCCCATTGGGAATTAAACATTGTTATCCTACTGGCAATATCCGTTGAAAATAGCTTAAAGTCTGGTACTTATAATGATAGCATACTTCTAATGATCAGAATGTTAGCATACTTCTAATGTGCAGAATGTTAGCATACCTTTAATGTGCAGAATGGTAGCATACATCTAATGTGCAGAATGTTAGCATACATCTAATGTGCAGAATGTTAGCATACTTCTAATGTGCAGAATGTTAGCATACTTCTAATGTGCAGAATGTTAGCATACTTCTAATGTGTAGAATGTTAGCATACTTCTAATGTGCAGAATGTTAGCATACTTCTAATGTGCATAATGTTAGCATACTTCTAATGTGCACAATGTCAACATACTTCTAATGTGAAGAATGTTAGCATACTATAATGTGCAGAATGATAGCATACATCTGATGTGTAGAATGTTAGCACACTTTAATGTGTAGAATGTTAGCATACTCTAATGTGTAGAATGTTAGCACACTTTAAAGTGCAGAATGTTAGCATACTTCTAATGTGCAGAATGTTAGCATACCTTTAATGTGCAGAATGTTAGCATACTTCTAATGTGCAGAATGTTAGCATACTCTAATGTGTAGAATGTTAGAATCCTTAGACAACTTAGAGTGGAATACAGTAACTTGACTGACAACTCTGTCATCTTCGACGTTTTAACTATTAAATTCAGACGTTTATAGAATTATCGTTTGAATCTTAGAGAAAAGCGTTTATGGAATATTGGAAATAGCTCATCAAACTATCATAATAATGTTTTTAAAAGTCGATATTCAATTTCGGGAGACCAAATATGTGCCTCGTCTGTATTGGACTCGATACATTTTAAAAAATGTTAAAATATAAATCCAGTAACTGTATGAAAGGAACCAGCTATATTTTTTACAGTGTAGTAACTTAGTGAAAACAATTTATCTAAACAAAAACAATATTTAAAGATTATTTTGCTTAGTGTTATACAGTTAGTTGCGTTTTATCCGGGTTTATTTCGGGTCGGAGAAGGTATTGATCAACTCCAAAAGTTGAGTGTGCATGTTCGCATCTGGATGTTTGCTTTGGGTGCGATTTCTACATTGCTGGGAGCAGTATACCAAGATTTTATTTTCCTATTTTTTTCTACTTATACTTAAAATCTAAATGTTATAAATAAAATAAAATCCCTATACATTTGACAAAATGGTTGTATAAGATGTTAAATATACAAACCACTAAAAATTAACTTTAATTATGTTTTAATTATTTACTTTCCTAAGCTATCGGTCAAACTGGTCAAGAACAGTTTGTCCCAGAGCCAGTTGTCCCAGAACCACAACCAAGGTTCTACCAAAGCGGGAAACAGTTGGTAATCACATGCAGTTCAACGTCAGATAAAGCTGTCTCCATAGAAATAAGAGGCTCCACATCGTTCGACAAAACTCAGTTCTTGGTAGGTATGGCAACGTCACAGGGCTGGATGTACTCTACATTGATTGTATATCATTTTCTGTCACTCAAGTCTAAGTATTTATTTAGTTTATCGCGTACAAGAGTTGTTTAGTCAGTCACATGTGGGTCTACAACAAATTCCCGAAAGACACTTGCCCTAAGGCCGTTTTCCCGATTGAACAGACGGACAGATAGATACATATATTAGATACATACAAACATAAATACATAAATAAATAAATACATACATACATACATACATACATACATACATACATACATACATACTTACATACATACATACATACATACATACATACATACATACATACATACATACATACATACATACATACATACATACATACATACATACATACATACATACATACATACATACATACATACATACATACATACATACATACATACATACATACATACATACATACATACATACATACATACATACATACATACATACATACACACATACATACATACGTAAACTACATACGTACATAAACATACACATACACCTAATTACACACACACACACACACACATATATATATATATATATATATATATATATATATATATATATATATATATATATATATATGTGTGTGTGTGTGTGTGTGTTATTTTGCTATATTAGTTTATGATATAAATGTATGGGTATTCTAGATAATATTATTTGCTGATTTTAATAATTGTGCCACACATAACAGGAAATACTCTCAAATATGTATAATTAAGCAACCAAACATACACAAGTTTTTGGCATTCGTTGAAAACCTTTAATATTTTTTCTTTGTTTTTAGCACAATTACACAACCGAAATGGTCGACGACAAAGTTAAAAGCACGCTACAGCTGACCAAATCAGTTGCATCGTCGGAAGACGCTCAAATCTATATCTGTATGGTTAATTCTGCCACCGCTCAAATTATCTTCAACATGTTTGATGGTAAGTCTTTGTTGTCGTTCTGTTATCTTCAACATTTTTGACGGTAAGTCGTTGTGTTACCCTAAGCATGTTTGATGGTAAGTCTTTTTTGTCGCTTAAACATACTTGGTGGTAGGCCTACGTCTTTGTTATCGCTTTTGTTAACCTCACAATGTTTGATGGTACGTCTTTGTTGTCGCTTCTGTTAATCTCACAATAGTTGGTGGTGCTTCTTTGTTGTCGCTTTTGTTAACCTCACAATATTTGGTGGTTCGTCTTTGTTGTCCAACTATTTCTTCTGTTACGTCATTGTTGTCCGATTTAAGCACCAAAATCGATATCCTAGCCACTCTTGAATTTGACTGAGTCTGACGGATTACAAATAAAAGAGTAAAGAAGATTGCACAATCGCTTCATATGAAAAAATCTTGACTTGAATATCCCCTATTCCATTTAACTATTCAAAAACGAATTATATTCGACGGTTTTCGGTAGCCTTTCTTTTTGTTGTCAGTTAATAAAAAATAACACCATATTGGTAACTAATTTGTAACGTCAATTTTGAATGTATATTTAGTTTTTTGTTGTGTCTGCAGTTTTCCTGCGTAATGCCAACATCACCGGCCTCCCACCCACCACATTAAGGTGTGAACCAGAGTTCCTTTCTGCTGCCTTTCCGTCCATTCACTGGTACAGAGATGGGATGGAGTTGTCCAGCATAGCCCATTTGAAGGATCGGATTCAATTCGGCCAAAACAATCAAACTGTGGAGTTTATAAAACCCGGTAAAATTAATTAGTAAAATACTTTAGTATGGTGGTGTAACTGGGCTACTGGGTCAAGCAGGTAGACCCGTTGATACCGGGCAGATGAGGCTCGATAGCTGGGGACTGCAACTCTTCATGGAGAGACGACTCCAAAATCAAACAACTGCTGCCTTGTAGTTTGTTATGGATTGGACAAAGGCTATGGAAGCAAATCCAAAAAAGGCAGGCTGAAATCGGAGTCATAGGCTTATATGGCGCATAACCAGTTGACACGTATACTTAATTGTGTTGGAGGAAATCCCTTCCAACACTAAAATTAAGATCGAAGAAAAAGAAAAAAGAAGGCCCGTAAATTAAACCTCAACCAACCAATCAGAAGAAGGCATGTGACTGATCTGTCACGTGGGTTTAAAACCACGAGGTCGCAGTCGGAAAAGTCGTAGAAATAAAATAACGATATGATTTTAATTTTTAACAATAGAAAATAAGCAGGCTAAAATTATTTAACAATAGAACACAAGCAGGGTAAGATTATTTTAACACTCCAAATTAGCTATTTAGTTAAATATTTTAAATTTTCAGTGACAGAAAATTGTTATATATTTAGTAATTTCGTAAAATACCGTCATATATTTAGTCATTTTGGAATATACTTAAATATGTTTACCCATTAGGTAAAACACTCTAAAATGTTTAATGCAAGATTTTGCAATAAATAAACTTTCAAAATGTACACAGAGAAATATTTTCTGCAGATGTTCTCATGTTCACAAATGTTTAAATCTACTCCACATTTCTGTGTAACCGGTGAATCAGTTCCTGCACTTAAAACCTAGCCAAAGTAAACATTCTACGATACATCTGTGTGTAGCTAAAGAATCTGTTCCTAAAATGCAAACATAAGCTAAATGAAACAGTTGTTAAAATTTTTGATAAAATGGGACAAAAAACAAACAGTCAGTAGAGAGAAACAACATAATATTTTAGCTGTATGAACTGTGAAGATTTTAGATGTATGAACTGTGAAGATTTTAGATGTATGAACTGTGAAGATTTTAGATGTATGAACTGTGAAGATTTTAGATGTATGAACTGTGAAGATTTTAGATGTATGAACTGTGAAGATTTTAGATGTATGAACTGTGAAGATTTTAGATGTATGAACTGATAAGATTTTAGATGTATGAACTGTGAAGATTTTAGATGTATGAACTGTGAAGATTTTAGATGTATGAACTGTGAAGATTTTAGATGTATGAACTGTGAAGATTTTAGATGTATGAACTGTGAAGATTTTAGATGTATGAACTGTGAAGATTTTAGATGTATGAACTGTGAAGATTTTAGATGTATGAACTGTGAAGATTTTAGATGTATGAACTGTGAAGATTTTAGATGTATGAACTGTGAAGATTTTAGATGTATGAAGTGAAGATTTTAGATGTATGAACTGTGAAGATTTTAGATGTATGAACTGTGAAGATTTTAGATGTATGAACTGTGAAGATTTTAGATGTATGAACTGTGAAGATTTTAGATGTATGAACTGTGAAGATTTTAGATGTATGAACTGTGAAGATTTTAGATGTATGAACTGTGAAGATTTTAGATGTATGAACTGTGAAGATTTTAGATGTATGAACTGTGAAGATTTTAGATGTATGAACTGATAAGATTTTAGATGTATGAACTGTGAAGATTTTAGATGTATGAACTGTGAAGATTTTAGATGTATGAACTGTGAAGATTTTAGATGTATGAACTGTGAAGATTTTAGATGTATGAACTGTGAAGATTTTAGATGTATGAACTGTGAAGATTTTAGATGTATGAACTGTGAAGATTTTAGATGTATGAACTGTGAAGATTTTAGATGTATGAACTGTGAAGATTTTAGATGTATGAACTGTGAAGATTTTAGATGTATGAACTGTGAAGATTTTAGATGTATGAACTGTGAAGATTTTAGATGTATGAACTGTGAAGATTTTAGATGTATGAACTGTGAAGATTTTAGATGTATGAACTGTGAAGATTTTAGATGTATGAACTGTGAAGATTTTAGATGTATGAACTGATAAGATTTTAGATGTATGAACTGTGAAGATTTTAGATGTATGAACTGTGAAGATTTTAGATGTATGAACTGTGAAGATTTTAGATGTATGAACTGTGAAGATTTTAGATGTATGAACTGTGAAGATTTTAGATGTATGAGCTGTGAAGATTTTAGATGTATGAACTGTGAAGATTTTAGATGTATGAACTGTGAAGATTTTAGATGTATGAACTGTGAAGATTTTAGATGTATGAACTGATAAGATTTTAGATGTATGAACTGTGAAGATTTTAGATGTATGAACTGTGAAGATTTTAGATGTATGAACTGTGAAGATTTTAGATGTATGAACTGTGAAGATTTTAGATGTATGAACTGTGAAGATTTTAGATGTATGAACTGTGAAGATTTTAGATGTATGAACTGTGAAGATTTTAGATGTATGAACTGTGAAGATTTTAGATGTATGAACTGTGAAGATTTTAGATGTATGAACTGTGAAGATTTTAGATGTATGAACTGTGAAGATTTTAGATGTATGAACTGTGAAGATTTTAGATGTATGAACTGTGAAGATTTTAGATGTATGAACTGTGAAGATTTTAGATGTATGAACTGTGAAGATTTTAGATGTATGAACTGTGAAGATTTTAGATGTATGAACTGTGAAGATTTTAGATGTATGAACTGATAAGATTTTAGATGTATGAACTGTGAAGATTTTAGATGTATGAACTGTGAAGATTTTAGATGTATGAACTGTGAAGATTTTAGATGTATGAACTGTGAAGATTTTAGATGTATGAACTGTGAAGATTTTAGATGTATGAACTGTGAAGATTTTAGATGTATGAACTGTGAAGATTTTAGATGTATGAACTGTGAAGATTTTAGATGTATGAACTGTGAAGATTTTAGATGTATGAACTGTGAAGATTTTAGATGTATGAACTGTGAAGATTTTAGATGTATGAACTGTGAAGATTTTAGATGTATGAACTGTGAAGATTTTAGATGTATGAACTGTGAAGATTTAAGATGTATGAACTGTGAAGATTTTAGATGTATGAACTGTGAAGATTTTAGATGTATGAACTGTGAAGATTTTAGATGTATGAACTGTGAAGATTTTAGATGTATGAACTGTGAAGATTTTAGATGTATGAACTGTGAAGATTTTAGATGTATGAACTGTGAAGATTTTAGATGTATGAACTGTGAAGATTTTAGATGTATGAACTGTGAAGATTTTAGATGTATGAACTGTGAAGATTTTAGATGTACGAACTGTGAAGATTTTAGATGTATGAACTGTGAAGATTTTAGATGTATGAACTGTGAAGATTTTAGATGTATGAACTGTGAAGATTTTAGATGTATGAACTGTGAAGATTTTAGATGTATGAACTGTGAAGATTTTAGATGTATGAACTGTGAAGATTTTAGATGTATGAACTGATAAGGTTTTAGATGTATGAACTGTGAAGATTTTAGATGTATGAACTGTGAAGATTTTAGATGTATGAACTGTGAAGATTTTAGATGTATGAACTGTGAAGATTTTAGATGTATGAACTGTGAAGATTTTAGATGTATGAACTGTGAAGATTTTAGATGTATGAACTGTGAAGATTTTGGATGTATGAACTGTGAAGATTTTAGATGTATGAACTGTGAAGATTTTAGATGAATGAACTGTGAAGATTTTAGATGTATGAACTGTGAAGATTTTAGATGTATGAACTGATAAGATTTTAGATGTATGAACTGTGAAGATTTTAGATGTATGAACTGTGAAGATTTTAGATGTATGAACTGTGAAGATTTTAGATGTATGAACTGTGAAGATTTTAGATGTATGAACTGTGAAGATTTTAGATGTATGAACTGTGAAGATTTTAGATGTATGAACTGTGAAGATTTTAGATGTATGAACTGTGAAGATTTTAGATGTATGAACTGTGAAGATTTTAGATGTATGAACTGTGAAGATTTTAGATGTATGAACTGTGAAGATTTTAGATGTATGAACTGTGAAGATTTTAGATGTATGAACTGTGAAGATTTTAGATGTATGAACTGTGAAGATTTTAGATGTATGAACTGTGAAGATTTTAGATTATGAACTGTGAAGATTTTAGATGTATGAACTGTGAAGATTTTAGCTGTATGATAAGTAAACAAGATTTTAGCTGTAAAAAAGTCATATATTTAAAACGGTCAAAGATTCATAATCCTTAACAAAAGCTAATTCTTTCAGAGCCTCAGGATGGAGGGGTCTACATTTGTAGGATAACATTTTATGCTGATGATCTCACAGGGGGGCAGCAGATCTTTGAAGAACAGCTCTTTCTACAAGGTAATGACGTCATAATGTAGTTCTACAAGGTAATACAGGCATGACGTCATAGTGGGGTTCTATAAGGTAAAACAGGCATGATGTCATAGTTTGGTTCTACAAGGTAATACACGCATCAGAGGCGTAGCGACCCTTCCCGGCGCCAGGGGACAAACTTTCAATTTGCTACCCCCCCCCCCTCAAGCTTTCGATTTGCACCCCCCTCAAGCTTTTAATTTATTTTTCCAACCCATTTTGGCGCCCCCTAAGGTCGGCGCCCGGGGACATATGTTCCCCCCGCCCCCCCCCCCCTTCGTTACGCTTCTGACACGCATGGTGTCATATTTTGGTTGTACAAGGTAATACAGGCGTAAAATATTAAGGATGCAGATTCTTAAGAGAAACTGCTAATGATTATACACAACATATGCTTTGTTTACATTTTTGTTTTGTAATATTTGTATAGCTTTTCAAACATTAATCCATCCATAAATTATTAACCACCTTTCTTTTTTAAAAGAAAACTGATTCTTTCAACCTGTCTGTTGAATATTTCTGTGTGTGACTTATTTATCATATATTTTTATAATTTGTCTTGGCTAGCCAAACCTTTCATCAAACCAGAGAAATCAATGACTGTCACAAACACGTCCATAAGGCTACAGTGCCCGGCAGGGGGCTACCCCGAACCTCAGGTAATGTTTCTGGTGCCCCAGGTGCTGTTTACCTGGTCTCATGTGCGAAGGTAAAATTTGCCCGGAGTCTCATTACTTATTAAAATACATTGGTGCCAAGTTAATGGGATGCCCCAGGTGTCAGAAACAACTGTACACGTGGCTCCTATACTCGCGGTTCACTCGTGGCTCCCAGCCTCTCTACTCACGTACACCTGGCTCACATACACCTGGCTCACATACTCCTGGCTCATATATACCTGGCTTACATACACCTGGCTCATATACACCTGGCTCACATACTCCTGGCTCATATATACCTGGCTCATATAGGCCTACACCTGGCTCATATACACCTGGCTCACATACACCTGGCTCACATACACCTGGCTCACATACACCTGGCTCACATAGGCCTACACCTAGCTCACATACACCTGGCTCACATACACCTGGCTCACATACACCTGGCTCACATACACCTGGCTCACATACACCTGGCTCACATACACCTGGCTCACATACACCTGGCTCACATACACCTGGCTCACATAGGCCTGGCTCACATACACCTGGCTCATATACACCTGGCTCACATACACCTGGCTCATATACACCTGGCTCTCATACACCTGGCTCACATACACCTGGCTCACATACACCTGGCTCACATAGGCCTGGCTCACATACACCTGGCTCATATACACCTGGCTCACATACACCTGGCTCATATACACCTGGCTCTCATACACCTGGCTCACATACACCTGGCTCACATACACCTGGCTCACATAGGCCTACACCTAGCTCACATACACCTGGCTCACATACACCTGGCTCACATACACCTGGCTCACATACTCCTGGCTCAAATACTCATGGCTCACATACACCAGGCTCACATACTCATGGCTCACATACACCTGGCTCACATACACCAGGCTCACATACTCATGGCTCACATACACCTGGCTCACATACACCAGGCTCACATACTCCTGGCTCACATACTTGTGGCTCACATACTCCTGGCTCTCATACTTGTGTCTCACATCGTTGTGGATCCCTTGTTGTCAAACTTGTAGTTTCGACTACTACGTAAAGATTAAAAGTCTAATCCGTACACCAATCATTAACCACGGAACTTTTTTAATTGATTAAAACAACACCTACATACAATGAATCTACTGTAGGTTTGTTTTTTATCCCAGATATTTTGGCTGCGTGGCGCCAACGTGACTGAATCCTCAGACAGGGTCAAGCTGACTCCGATAGATGGCGTGCGATCTGCTCAACTGGAGGTGCTAAACCCTAAACCGGAAGACTACGGAACTTACGTCTGTACGGCGGAGAACTCCTTAGGAAAAGATGTCGCCACCTTCCATGCGACCATGGGAACCAGTAATTCCCAGATCGTCTCCCTTGAACTCCTGTATCTGATTTTGTTGTTGGTCGCTTGCTTCGCCACCTGAGCCAAACTCTAAAGCTTATTCCCATGTAATATGTTGTTTATTAATCAAGGGTTAAACGCTATTTGGTTTAAACTTGAAAAGGCTTAATTTATTTTTTTGAATATTTCAACCATTCACATTTTAAACAGTATAGTACTATGACCTTAAATCTATAAATATAATATCATAATACATTGCTAAATGATGACAATCTTTAGAAGTAGGCTGTACATAAATGTAGGCATGCCATTAAATTTGGAAAATGTGCCCAATTCTACAGATTTTCAATTTACAATGATGTTTTTACTCATTAAAATTTTTCATAAATTACGGTGCATTACGGTTGAATTTCGCCGTTTCTGACTAAAGATAAATTAAAAGCAATATTTTTTTCTATATATTACTATCTATGAATATTAATTTCCATCAAATATTTTCATCTGGTTCTTAATATTAATAATTCTATTATTTAGAACTACGATGGGTTATTTGGAAACCTTTAAATCTTTCATTTATTTGTTTCTGCTTAATTGTTTAATTACATGTCTCATATTAAGACAATAACAAAGGTATTCTTTTTCTGTATGTATCACAAAAGTGTAGATTAATTAGAAACAAATTCAAGTAAAATATATTCTGAATGCCTGTTAAAGGGGAGAGTAGTCTAGATTAGAGAAATACATTAAGTCCATAGTTCTCTCCCTTAAGTTGAAAACAAATGAAGTAACTCTTCAGAATCTGAGGTACCGCTCAAACAAATACATTTGCGCCCATCTTTAGATGTTGAACAGTGCTTTCTAAGTAAACAATGTGGATGAATGTGTTAAACTATACACGTCATGATCTGATTCCTCTTGTTTGTATCTTTCCAAGTCACTATCAAATTATTTTTATTGTAGCTTTACTTATATGCAGCTTTGCTTAGGATTGGCTTTAAATTGCGCGTAAATTCAATTAGAACTGCCTTAGATTTCAAGCAAATATTTATGTCTAGCTCAAGCTAAGCTGTGTATCGTATGCTGATGCTGATGCTCTACAGGCGTCCATGTTTTAAACTTTTTGTGAAACCATGTCAGTGACGCCATCTTGTTTTGTCTTAAATCAGGTCGAGGCTGTGACCCAAAAATATTTCAAATTTGTAATGTGTCTTTTTTAATGTAAACTTTGATATTAAAGGTGTTATCAATGTATCGTGTGCTACTGTTTTATAAACTCGAATGTTTTCACAAAGTATATCACACAGATACTGCATCAAACAAATACATACACACATAAACACATACACTACATACAAACACAACAACAAACAAAAACACCACACATGAACACTATATCAAAGTACACCACACATAAACACTGCATTCCAAAAGTACACCCCGAACGAAATTTTAAAAAAATTATGTTGTATATAGAAGATATATACCCCGTAAATTTAAGCGCTACCCAGAGAAAAATGTCTGAAAGAAACACTGATCATGAAGGCGTGAAAATATTCGGTAGTTTAACACAATTTCTTGTAGATGAAAATATCTCTTGTATAACTAGTTACACTGATATACATAGGTACAGTGGTACCTGGACATTATAGTGCTCTAATTGGATCTGTGATATCCATAAATACGATAGTACCTGGATTAGTGCCCTAAACATTAGACTACTCTAGTAGGATCTGTGATATCCATAAATACGATAGTACCTGGATTAGTGCCCTAAACATTAGACTACTCTAGTAGGATCTGTGATATCCATAAATACGATGGTACCTGGATTAGTGCCTTGGACATTAGAGTGCTCTAATTGGATCTGTGATATCCATAAATACGGTGGTACCTGGATTAGTGCTCTGGACATTAGAGTACTCTAATAGGTTCTGTTATATCCATAAATACGGTGGTACCTGGATTAGTGCCCTGGACATTAGAGTACCCTAAACGGATCGGCCTATCGGCTGCCTGCACATGAAAATTAAGCGAAAGTTTAAAAAAAATGTACAATAGCACTCAGTTCAGTGAACTCTTTAAGTTCTGCTCATTTCAGGAATAAAGTGTAGCGTAAAGAGTGTAACGAGTCAGTGAATTTAATGACAGGAAGGGCTTAGGAGTAATGAGTTTAACGAAGTTAACTCCTCCACCTTACAGAATCTTGAGTAAGCTCAAGTGGGTTTTTTTTAAAGGAAAATATACTTTTTATAAACCGGTATAACTTTGTTAATGCTTACATGACCTTCTTTATGTTTTTATACAATGTTTATCTTTTATAGGTTTGCATATAGAGAGCTGAAACGGATTAAAGACATTTCGATTTATTTTATTGTGGAAATATGGTGCTAGATACTAGAAAATTGAGGTACAAGTACTGAACTTGATTCAGCCAAAAAATATATCTGATACGTTTGGTAAAAACAATTTAAAGTTTGATATACCTTAACAAAATGTGGAGTTGATAAGAAAATTAATTTTATCGATGTTGTCGCCCTTTACCATATCGTAATCAATCGACAAGTGACAATTTATAGGGCGTGTAAGTCTCGGTCTCTCTCACTTAAAATTCGAAATCTCGTTAGCCAGGGAAAGATAAAATATACATCTAACTAATTAATTGTTTGGAACATGATTCCACATTGATAACAAACAAAAAATTGGTTTGAAAAATACTAGCTGGCAAATACTTGGACGAGAAGTTGGTGACCTACTTACAAGTGCTAAGTTAGCAGTACACAATTTTAATTATTTTTTTTTGATAAAGTTAAAAAAAAAATTTTAATAGGTGTTTAATACTGTATTAAGGGTGCCAATGATAACTACTCAGAAATTACTGTTTTATTTTAAAAATGTGTTCATTGATAGATTTTTGACGCTTTGTGTACCCCGCTTTCCACCTCATCTCTCATCAAACGTCAGACCTCCTTAAAATGGGTGACACTTCAGCCTTGACCCTTACCGCTAAATTTCAGTTTGTCTGATGTGATTTTTGTTGTTGTTTTTTTTTTTTTTTTTAAACTATTCCCTGGTTTCTCAAATATAATCTGCCTGAGACGAGATCTGGTAAACTGTTAAATTTGCACAACAATTTACAAATGAGTCTTTTTAAAAATGCGAAATAACTGCTAAAATCAGATTAAAAAGTTAAATATTTTTAGGAAATAATAACCTACGTACACAGCATCCAATTACTTTCGTTAAAAAATAATTTAAAAACGCTAGTCAATAAAGTTTGTCTTTTTTTATTGTTCGGTACTTGTTGTTAGTCTGATCTAACCGGAAGTTGTTACAGAGCTAGTTAGAACATAAGGTGGTGAATTTTCTTTTCTTTGACTTCAAATTTCTTTAGTTCTTTCAATAAATGTTTCTTTTGATTGCACAGAGATGATAGCCGCCATATCAATATCTTGTTCCAAAATGTTACACAATGTTCTAGAAAGGTCTGGGAGTTGAAGTTGTTTTTGGAGCTTCAAAATCCACAGCCTGAAATATATTTTTGTATTATATATACATGTATATATATATATATATATATATATATATATATATATATATATGTAAATATGTAAATATGGATATAAGCTTATATCAATGTATCTGCCGCTGTTCATGTACAAATATTGTTAGATAAATAAATAGCCCTACCTTGTAAGGATCCATTCTGTTACACCTGACCAGTTCATCGCTCGGAATCTTATTTATGTAAGGTTCGGTCAGATAGATACAGGCTCGGGATTTGGGAATAAAAAAGGATAATCTGCGGATTAAAATAAAGTTACATTATAAATAATTACCAAATACACATTTAAAGTGTAGATATAAATACGTTTATATATATATATATATATATATATATATATATATATATATATATATATATATATATATATATATATATATATATATATATCACTATGTATTGCTTTAATATTATTTGAAATCAAACCATGCTCACTTGGGGCAGTTCATTACGTATGATCTCTCGCTGACACACCAAATGTACTTCTTGCAAGTTCCGTTGACTGGAATGAACCCAGTAAATGTTCCGTCACAGAATGCTGAAAATAGAACAAACAAGTAAAAACTTTGATATTGTGAAAATACGTATTATGTTAAAGACTTTAGACAATTTTTTTAATTAACTTACCCTTTATACGGAACAGTTTTAAAAATATTTTTTATTAATGTATTATGTTAAAGTATGAGTTGGTTACGATTATCGAGATGAAATCAAAATGTACATTTTTTAATACTTTTTTTTTAACTTGAAATATAAAGTGGTTGAGATTATCGAGACTATATCAAGACTACACTTTAAACAAATTTTAATAATTACTTTAAACATAATACTTAAATTGAAAAATAAGCTGTTTAAAATTGTCGAGACTAAATGAAGAGTACGATATGTTTATTTACTTGGAATTGTTGGCTCAATTGGGACACAGTTTGGTAGAGGCGCCACTTGATCCTCCGGTACACAGTATCGCAAGTTTTTGTCGATCTTCCAACCTTCGGGGCAAGACATCAAGCAGATGGCTTTATCTGTGGGGAAAATATTTTTTTTTAAAAACCGTTACACAAGCACATTCTTTGATGTTCTTCTTCTTCATCGTTCTTAATTGTAATGTTGAACGGGATTTTCTACACCACAATTAAGTATTACGTTTCAGGATGCGATATGCCATATAGTCCGTTGACTCCGATTTCATCTGGATTTGCCTCCGTCGCCTCTGTCCATCCAAGAACAAGTTAAAAGGCAGCATTTTAAAATTTATTTTCGAGTTTTCTAGATGGGTTGCTTTCTCCAGCTATCAGGGGTTTGAACTCGATTTTGTCGGTTTAGCAGCCATGAGCTTTACCGGCCTGACCACATAAATCCCATAAAATAAAATATTTACCTTGGTCACAGAGGAGAAATCTAGTTTGGTCACATTTAGAATCATCCAGGGGAACAGCCCATGTGTCGTTGTACTTGCACATAGAGTTGTACTCTGTGATTAAAAGAAAAATATTTTCAAAAGAACATTTATTTAGTCTTATAAAATCGTTGGTAGTTAGTAGAGTTCATCTAATTTGTAGTCAAAACGTGTAATAAGAGCCTCATTTAGCTAATGTGCATGGCTATTATATAACCCGCATTTAAATGACATTGTAAAAGGAAAAATAGCTACACCAATTTAAGATCTTAACTGATTTCACAAGAGTTTGTCTCGCAACATGTTTATACGTTTAAAATATATCAAAGCGATAAATTGATTAAATATATATATGCTTTAATATCATTAAATGGCGGCAAGAGCAGGTAACGAGTAAAAATTACCTGGTTCTAAAAATTGCATGGATAATACATAAAATATATTTCTGTAAACTAAAATAGTATTTTTCTTGTTAACTAATGGTGTTATCACAAATTTACCTTGATTTTCTCCCCACAAAAACTGCAGGTCACCTGTCGTTGAACAGAACATGAGGGTAGCCGTGAAGATGGTTAGCGTTACTTGAAGAGTTGGGTTCATTTTTCTTGGTTTTCTTACTTCTTATCTGAATGTCAGATCAAGTCAATGTACAAAACAACAAAAAAATATCAACCACTAACATAGTATTTAACATCTTTTTTTAGAAAACAGAAACTACCTTTATAAAAACTATGTATGAAATATTTTTTTTTAATTATGAATTAAAAAAAACACTTTTATAAGATTTATAAAACGTTCTAACAGAATGATTTAAAAACCACTTTTGTAGGAGCTATGACAAGTTTTAACATAATGAATTAAAGACCACTTTTGTAAGAGCTATGAAAAGTTTTAACATTGAATTAAAAACCACTTTTGTAAGAGCTATGAAAAGTTTTAACAAATTAATTAAAAACCACTTTTGTAAGAGCGGGGAATTAAATGTTTTAATATAATGAATCAAAAACACCTATATAAAAGCTATGAAAAGTTTTAACAATGAATTAATAACCATTTTTGTAAGAGCTATGAAAAGTTTTAACAAATGAATTAAAAACCACTTTTGTAATAGCGGTGAATTAAATGTAATATAATGAATCAAAAACACCTATATAAGAGCTATGAAAAGTTTTAACTTAATAAATTAAAAACCACTTTTGTAAGAGCTATGAAAAGTTTTTAACAAATGAATTAAAAACCACTTTTGTAAGAGCGGTGAATTAAATGTTGTAGTATAATGAATCAAAAACACATATGTAAAAGCTATGAATAGTTTTAACTTAATGAATTAAAAACCACTTTTGTAAGAGCTATGAATGAAACTGAAGATATGGATCGATGTATAATCAAAGACCGATGTTCAATGACACATCGATCAGCCACAAACCTTGGGTACCTGACGAAAGTTGGTTCAGTCTTAGCCAGTCCTTGTCCGTCTACCTGTCAAGTTGAGGCTTATATAGCTTTACGTCATCGCCTCCGCCGTCTCCAGACACACCTGAGTATACATTTGACGTCACTGGGGATGGATGATATACGCGTCATTGGTCACGTCATCTTGAAGAGAATAATCCAACCGGAAATATCCTATTTGTTTAGGGCTCCCTTTTATGACGGTGTTGGCCTACGCGTTTCTCATTCATTTTGATGTGAACAGCGATACAAGGTGAACAGGTTGAATGTCATAAGCGAAGTTAGCACTAACAAGATTTTTAAAACGGTGGGTATACCTAAATGATGCCACACATTGGATGAATGATTGTCAAACGATCAGAGTTTCTTCCAGGCATCTCTTCGCAGGTAGGGGGGGGGGTTGCTCCCGAAGAAAGTCTCCTCCCCCCCCCCCCCCCCCCGAAAGAAATGGAATTTATATAGAAAATATATACTTAACCAGTGTCCGCCCCATCCCCCGGAAAATTTTGTCAAAGCATTGTTTTCTTACTGTTTTTTTTTTTAATTTATTTTTCAATTTACAATATTTATCTTAAAATCAATGTTATCGTCTTTTAAAGAAATTTACATTCAGGTTACAAAAGTACTTAACATTTTGCAAAAAAAGTGAACAACCCTTCCCCCCCCCCCCCCCCCCTCACCACTGTAACAGTTTCCTCATCATTTTCTTTTCATTCATTTTAACATGTCTCTTTTACACTTTATTCGGCGACAGTTGTTTTAATTTTATTTTACATTACAGTATCTCATCGGAGTCAAACCGCGCGTCGTATACCCTGGTCGCCCATCCATGTCGATCGTTTCTCTTCTTCCGTCTTGTGAGGCGGCACCTTAGTTTGCTCGACCAGTCTGACAGGTTAACTAAGTCAATAGTTTAATGGGTAAATCCGGGTCATGTTTCGTGCTAATTGTGGATATCCTCTACCGCCATGTTTTACCCCACCACATTTATGTTTCCTGCTTCTTGGGATATCTTTTCCTGCTTCCACCCACCCAGACTCTCTTGACAGCACCCACCAGACTTTCCTAAAACCGCCCACAGACTTTCCTGCCCCCACCCACCAGACTTTCTTAACCCCCACCCACCAGATTTTCTTAATCCCCACCCACCAGATTTTATTAATCCCCACCCACCAGACTTTCTTAACCCCCACCCACCAGACTTTCTTAACCCCCACCCACCAGATTTTCTTAATCCCCACCCACCAGATTTTCTTAAGCCCCACCCACCAGACTTTCTTAATCCCCACCGACCAGACTTTCTTAACCCCCACCCACCAGACTTTCCTACCCCCACCCACCCAAACTTTCCTATCCCCTCCCTCCAAACTTTCCTACCCCCACCCCCACACATCGGTTTCCTACCCCCACCCCACCACGCACCAGTTTCCTACCCCCACCACCACCCACCAGACTTTCCTACCCCTCAACCACTCAACTTTCCTACCCCTCCGCCATCCACCAAACTTTCCTACACCCACCCACCCAACTTCCCAGCCTTACACCCGCAAAACTCAGCCAATATTTGCCTGAAGCGGTGAATAATTTCTACAGGAAGTTAGGTGTGGTAGTTGTCAAACTGCAGAAAACAGCGCTAAAGATCCCACGTCTTTTGTGCACATCTCTATTGACTTAAACACATGACTGTAGACACAGGCTCTACGTTGTATTCACTCGCTACCTACAGATGAAATCATACCGTCTCATCGCTACTTTTAGAGATGAAAAATTGCACGCTATTTTTGGAAAAAAGAGTTACACATTTTACTCACTATATTTAGAGATGAAGTTACACATTTTACACGCTACTTTTAGAGATAAAAATTGCACGCTACTTTTAGCGATTAAATTACACATTTTATTCCCTACTTGGAGATGAAATTTAATTTTATACATTTTACTCGCTACTTTTAGAGATGAAGTTATACACTTCTCTTTTTTGTCCGCTTCTCTCCCTTGTCACTAAGATTTACACAATGTAGGATCCCTCTTCTAAACGATGCACTTGTAACTCTAGCCCACACAGTTACTCAAGTTTTCCATCTGTTTCTTTATTTTGTTCTTTTAGTATAGTATGTTTGTTGGATTTTGTTTAGTTTTTGTCTGTTTGGTACTATTTTAAAAGACATACGCACATAAACAAACATAGTTAGTTTCAAATTTATTTTTATCCTTTTAATATAGAATTATGTTTGTGTTGCTTTAATAATAGCAATGTTCTAAGCAAGAGAAAGAGTGAATTCAAAACGTTAATGTTACTGTGTCAGGTAGTATATATCTACATCTCTGTAGTAGGCAGCTAACATTTCAGGGAGGAAATGGCCCGTACTACAGCCAACCTTACTCCAAGGTCAAAAGACCGCAAATGGTAAAGCTTAAGTGTTTTTATATTAGAATTATTCAAAGTGATGTAACTGCGTTCAATGAATAGAAATACTTTGGTCCATAAGATCGCACCTATTAATAGGCTGTTGCAGGGGGAGGGCTATGTTGGCCCATCCTTACCCAAAGAAAATGTATTTACATATTTTGTAAAAATGTATGCCGTTCAAAATTTTTAAGCTAGCTAGCTCCCCCCCCCCCGTCCCCGTTCCTATATTATTGTAAATATCTAGCGACACCCCCCCCCCACCATCACCATCACCACCACCAAGACACACACACAAAGGATCAAAGACTACATCCGTCTATGCACATATTAAAGTTTTGTTTCGATGAAATTCCGAGAGATGCCCAATTTGTCTTTACCTTGTAATTTTCGTAACTCTCTCTATCTGCCATTATTTTATATATTACTTTATCGTGTACAACTATAGGGGAAGTGTTGTGATCGTGCGAAAATTAGAAATCCGGCAGATATTGACAGAGTTTAACGTTTTACACCTGCGCGAGTTCGAAAAGCCAAGTTTTCCTATGTTGTCTGTATGTATGTGTGTCAGTATTGTTTTAACTAGGTGGACTATATTCGTTTTATAAATATTAGATCTATTTCGCAGATTTCTATCAACTTTTGAGAAATTTCCATTAAATAGAAGTGCCACTGTTACCGGCATCTAAAAAAATATCAGATGGCATAGATGTAAAGGGATATCAAAGAGTAATTTTATCGTATGTGATGGATTAGGACCTCTTTGACGTATTGAAATATATATTGAAGGTGTTATATTTCACTTAGATTAAAACACAGTACTGGCTGTACCTAAATTTGGAAAATAAAACTACCACGCTAGAAAAAAAACTACTATTCCTATATATATTAAAATTTAATTTGTTTATTTCCTTTTAGTCGGAGTCAACTGGTCAGACGGCGCATTATAGGTTAACATGCATTACTTAAGTGTGGTGGATTGGAAATCACATCCAATATTACGATTAAAAACGAAGTAGAAGAAAGAAGAAGTATAAATATAGGGGGAAAAATTGTACACATTCATTTAGAAGTTCTTTATTCAACAGTCTAGTACTCGGCCTAGTTTAAGTATTAACCTTCCTCTTGCTAGAATTCCCATACTGCTAGTACCGTTTCAAACGAAGGCCGAGCCTGATCTAGTCTTTCTCGTCAGCTCATGATTTCTTGGCATAGTCTTCGGGCTGAAACAGAAGTTTCAAATGTTGAAATGTCGAAAATATTAAGCATCCCATTTCACGGCAGAAAAAAAAATTGTCTTTTTAAAATCATAATATTTACTGTTGAGAACATTTTCAAAATGTAGTTTAATTGTTAATAACACGCGACCGAGCAGAGGATGAGTTCTCGTCGTGTTACAGGGAACGTAAAGGCGGCCGGTCATAGAGCTGACACATTTCGCTTCAGGTCACGGTAAACAGGTGGACTCTACTTCACCTGCCCCATTGAATGTCAGGTCCGAAAGTGTATCTCTGTGTTGGTCAGCTAAAACCCCTTGCAAATTGCACGTTAATTATACATTGTTAGTGTATAAATAAAATTGAGCTAAACAATTAAAACACGTCAGTCTACTATAGCTTTCCTACAGATGCCTGAAATGCACCTTCCTGTGAAATGCTACTAATGGATATTTTGTCAACTGTGGTGTCAAATTGAAGTACAAATTGCTTTGTCTTCGCTATATTGGTCATAAATAAATATGTATATATATATATATATATATATATATATATATATATATATATATATATATATATATATATATATATAATGATTTACGGTATAATTGTCCTTTCTCTGGCATTCCTGCAACTCGGTTTCAGGTATATCATTGATGTAAGGATATTGTGTGCCAATACAGCCTTGACGAGACTTGATGTAGAAAGACAAGCTGTCGTGAAAATAGAAATTAACATGTTATATTTTACGAAAAGGTATTTGAATTATTTTAAAATATTTCGAAATATGTAAAAATGATTTTTTAAAACCTATAAATACAAAAATAAAACTTAATTTATTAAGTGTTTTTTTTTTAGTTTATAGTGGATATGTTTTAAAGAATATGTGTAAAAAAAGAAGTTATACTCTGCATAACAAATAACCTCCTAACATTACGGGATATACTTCATTAGGACTTGTTATTTCTTACTAGCGTACCCGTCGCGCGTTGCTGTGGTTTAGTTCTACGCATAGAGTGATGCAATATTTTATAGGGGTTCATCATTGTTTTCAAAACGGAGTTATTTAAATGCAAACAAGGTCGGGACTATATTAATGGAATTATAATTGTTGAGGGGCGTGTTTGTCCACACTGCCGCCTAGACGCCCTAGGGCGTACTGTATGTAGCCTAGAGTATATGTTAATCACCCTCCGTATTAGTAAGGTAGAACAAACCTCGACAAACGCCAGACTTTTAGAGGCGTTGCGAGAAGGGGCGCCGTACGCATAGCCATATTTGGTTTACTGATAGAATATAGTGTCCCATCGTGTTCGTATTGTAGAGGGCTTTTTAAAACTAAAACAGGGTGCTCCTGTTCATCCCAGAGGCGTAGCGAGAGGGGGGCGGGGGGTACGGACCGCACCGGGTGACACCATTTAGGGGGGTGACACCAAGGCAAAAAATAGCAAAATATATACAGAAAAACTTGAGGGGGGGTGGGTGCAAATCGAAAGTTTGAGGGGGGATGCTAATCGAAAGTTTGAAGGGGGGGGGGTTGCTAATAAAAAATTTGAAGGTTTGTCCCCGGGAAGGGTCGCTACGCCTCTGGGGGGACGGGACACCATTAAGTGCCGCACCGGGTGACACCCGACCTCGCTACGCCACTGGTTCATCCTACTGAAATGGCGCTGGCCGATGCGCCTGGTGCAGTTTGACCGTTGAATGAAGTAGTATCCCTGACCCCCTCTACAGGACCAACAATCAACTGATCCCAAGTACAAAGATAGCTACTCAGAACAGACCCACATCCTTTCATTTTTATATATAGACTAGCGTACCCGTCCCCCGCGCGTTGCCGCGGGGATAGAAGAAAGTTTGACGAAATGTATTAGAAGGATTTCACCAACGCGTTACCAATCATATGTTCTTAGACGCGTGGCCGTTTTTTCTAAAAGTGAGTTATTTTAAAAAAAAAAAAACAATGCCTGCGCTTCTATCATAAATATCGGGACACGGGTTTACCTACACTACCGCATGAAAACATTGAGTGTACATTAATCACTCACCGAAATAATATGGTAGAACACACTTCGGTGACCGCCTCTGTGTCAGAACGTAGAGGGGCGCTCTCAGGGCCCCCACCCTCCCCCCGATTACACTACCGCATAGGCGCGGCGTATTACCCCTGGCTCCTTAAAACTAACAGGCGCCATCGGCCAAATAGCATCCTGTTAATAATGATGCAGATTTCATCATTCGCTAATGTGACACAAATGATCAGGATTTTTTTCTTTAACACGTAAAAAAATTATTTGACGTGTTTTAAATATCAGTGTGACTGATGCAATATGCTAGCGTTACTAATGGTCTATTATTAGATGCTCGGTCTCAATTTCGGCCTGGATTGTCTAATAATAGATGCTTATTGCATCATTCGCAAAGTGACGAAACTCTACAGTAGGCTCCTCATATTCAAACAGTTATTTTTTTCATCTTTCGCAAGGTGACGAAACTGTACAGAAGGATTTCCTCGCGTTACAAAGTTATTTTTAGAAGCCTGTTGTAGTTTTACCGCTGAATATAGTAATACTCCTTACTCGCTATACAGGACGCTCGATTAACGGATGCCAAGTGCCAACATAGTCGCTCTAAAACTCTGGGCGCCAAACCGTGTATTGACGAAAGTTGTACCCTATATGGCGCCGCCCATAAGAAACTTTAGTTTTCTTTTTCGCAGAAATATTCTCGGGAGTATTCTCATCTACTCCCTAAAGTTTCATGGTACTCAGATGAACCGCATCCGAGTTTTATTTTTTATAAATCGTGTATAGAGAAAAAAATCGCTCCCACCCCCCACCCCGGGGACGCCGCCCTTGCAATATTAAACAATTTTTTTTTTTGCAAACCCTACCATTGAGTGATCTAATCATCTCCCCAAAGTTTCATGGTACACGGATGAACGGTGTGAAACCGAAATTTTATAAACCGTATATAGAGAAAAATCGCAGCCTCCAGTGGCGCCGCCCTTGCGAAATTAAAAATGATTTTTTACAGAACCCTTCCCTAGAGTTTTATTATGAAATCCCCAAAGTTTCATGCCTATCGGATAAACGGTGTCATTGCAATTCACTTTTATTATTTTTATATACCGTAAATAGAGAAAAATCGGACCCTCCCGTGGCGCCGCCCTTGCGAAATTAAAAATTATTTTTTACAGAACCCTTCCCTAGAGTGGTATAATGAACTCCCCAAAGTCTCATGGCTATTGGATGAACGATGCCAAACCAAAATCGACTTTAATTTTATATACCGTAAATAGAAAAACAAATCGCGCCCTATCGGGGCGCCACCCCTGCGAATTTGAAATATTTTTTTTCGCAGAAACCTCCCCAGGAATATTTTCAACAACTTCCTAAAGTGTCATGGCGATCGTGTGAACAGTGTCACTACAATTCACGTTTACTATTTTTATATACCGTATATAGAGAAAAATCGCACCCTCCCGTGGCGCCGCCCTTGCGAATTTGAAATATTTTTTTTCGCAGAAACCTCTCCAGGAATATTCTCAACAACTTTCCAAAGTTTCACGGCGATGTGATGAGAGGTGTAGTAATGCATAAAGGACAAACACACACACACACATACATTGCTTTTTATATATATAACTAGCGTACCCGTCCCCCGCGCGTTGCCGCGGGGATAGAAGAAAGTTTGACGAAATGTATTAGAAGGATTTCACCAACGCGTTACCAATCATATGTTCTTAGACGCGTGACCGTCTTTTCTAAAAGTGAGTTATTTAAATGTAAACAATGCCTGCGCTTAGATCATAAATATCGGGACACGGGTTTACCTACACTACCGCATGTAAACATTGAGTGTACATTAACCACTCATCGAAATAATGTTAGAACACACTTTGGTGACCGCCCATGTGTCAGAGACGCAAAGGGGCGTTCTCAGCCCCCCCCCCCCCCCATTACACTACCGCATAGGCGCGGCGTACGACCCCTGGCTCCTTAAAAGTAATAATGATGCAGATTTCGTCATTCGCTAAAGTGACACAAATGAACAGGATTTTTTTCTTTAACACGTAAAAAAAGTATTTGACGTGTTTTAAACACCAGTGTGACTGATGCAATAAGCTATATATAGCGTTACTAATGGTCTATTATTAGATGCTCGAACTCAATTTCTGACTGGCTTGTCTAATAGTAGATGCTTATTGCATCATTCGCAAAGGGACGAAACTCTACAGTAGGCTCCTCATATTCAAAAAGTTATTTTTTCATCTTTGGCAAGGTGATGAAACTGTACAGAAGGATTTCCTCGCGTTACAAAGTTATTTTTAGAAGCCTGTTGTAGTTTTACCGCTGAATATAGTAGTACCCCTTACTCGCTATGCAGGACGCTCGATTAACGGATGCCAAGTGCCAACTTAGTTGCTCTAAAACTCTGGGCGCCAAACCATGTATTGACGAAAGTTGTACCCTATATGGTGCCGCCCGTAAGAAACTTAGTTTTCTTTTTCGCAGAAATATTCTCGGGGGTATTCTCATCTACTCCCTAAAGTTTCATGGCACTCGGATGAACCGCATCCGAGTTTTATTTTTTATATACCCTGTATAGAGAAAAAAAATCGCTCCCCCCGGGGGGCGCCGCCCTTGCAATATTAAACAATATTTTTTGCAGAACCCTACCATTGAGTGATCTAATCATCTCCCCAAAGTTTCATGGTACACGGATGAACGGTGTGAAACCGAAATTTTATAAACCGTATATAAAGAAAAATCGCAGCCGCCCTTGGCGCCGCCCTTGCGAAATTAAAAAAAAAGTTGTTTTTTTACGTAACCCTTCCCTGAATTGTTCTAATCAACTCCCCCAAAGTTTCATGGCTATCGGATAACGGTGTCATACCAAAATCGACTTATTTTTATAAACCGTATATAAAGAAAAATCGTACCTTCCCGTGGCGCCGCCCTTGCGAAATTAAATATGATTTTTTTACAGAACCCTTCCCTAGAGTTTTATAATGAACTCCCCAAAGTTTCATGCCTATCGGATAAACGGTGTCACTGCACTTAACTTTTATTATTTTTATATACCGTAAATAGAGAAAAATCGGACCCTCCCGTGGCGCCGCCCTTGCGAAATTAATTTTTTTTTTTACAGAACCCTTCCCTAGAGTGGTATAATGAACTCCCCAAAGTCTCATGGCTATCGGATGAACGATGCCAAAACAAAATCGACTTTTATTTTTATATACGGTATATAGAGAAAAAAAATCGCGCCCTAACGGGGCGCCACCCCTACGAATTTGAAAATGTTTTTTGCGCAAAAACCTCCACAGGAGTATTCTCAACATCTTACCAAAGTTTCATGGCGATCGTGAGAATGGTGTCACTGCAGTTCCTTTTTATTATTTTTATATACCGTATATAGAGAAATGTCGCACCCTCCCGTGGCGCCGCCCTTGCGAATTTGAATTTTTTTTTTTCGCAGAAACCTCCCCAGGAATATTCACAACAACTTCCCAAAGTTTCACGGCGATGTGATGAGAGGTGTAGTAATGCATAAAGGACAAACACACACACACACATACATTGCTTTTTATATATATATATATAGATAGATAGATTTTTCGATAGATTTTTCAATTAAAACATTGTCTCGTTACAATAATTTTACTAATTATATGGTAGTTGGATGTGTTCTCCGTTAAGTCGATGTCTAATCACAGTGTAACTTACAAAGGACATGGCATTTCGATGGGCTTTCCATTATCACAAGCGTAATATTTCTTGCATGTTTCGCTTTTCGCAATGGACTTAGCCTGTGGGTCGGAGCAGGATGCTAAAATATAAATACAAAACTTCTTTAAACATCCGTGTGCTTAAAAATGAGCCCATGCATATAAAATGATAGTGATTTTTTATTGAAATGATTATTATAAAGACACTTAAGTTTAGCACAATAATTGAGTTATAGACAATAAGACATCTGGAGCAGAGGCGTAGCGAGGGGGGGGGGGGGGGGGGGGGGGCGGGGGTGCGGACCGCACCGGGTGACACCATTTAGGGGGGTGACACCAAGGCAAAAAATAGCAAAATATATAGAGAAAAATTTGAGGGGGGTGCAAATCAAAAGTTTCATGGGGGGTGTAAATGGAAAGAAAGTTTGAGGGGGGGTGCAAATCGAAAATTTGTCCCCGGGAAGGGTCGCTACGCCTCTGGGGGGTGGGGTGACACCATTAAGTGCCGCACCGGGTGACACCCGACCTCGCTACGCCACTGATCTCGAGTGTTAAACTTAGTTACTTGGGATTGTTCCAGCAGGATTCTTAGGACACTTGTTTGGCCAAGGGACGTTCTCTGGATAGTCGCAGTATCCCAGGCTATTGAACAAAAGTCCGCTAGCACAGGAGTCGACGTAATCAGCCACACCTGAATGTTTATGGTTGAGCACAAAATCCGGGTATAAAACATCGTGTTTAATCATTGATCAAAGCTAAACTAACAGTATATTTAGACGTCAATTTATACAAGTAACATGAATGTTTTATTTGACTAATCTCAGCTTCAGCTGATGACAATGTTCTGATTGTTCAATGAATATTTTTTTTACGATTACGTGTGATTGTTTCAAAATTTAATTAAGACGTGTGCTGCATAGCATGATTGCGTCAAGCAACAATACTTGTCTTACGGCTACTGCCTCCTGAGATTTCATTTACTTGGCTTAGTGCGACTGTCTTCTGAGCAGTGTTTCTTTCATGCATCTTTTCAGTACGTCTACCTCAACCCCCCCCCCCCCCCCCCCCCCCGCCCCAGTTCCGGCGCCAGGTTATTTAGCGCCCTAGGCCAGGGGTCGGCAACCTTTTGAAGAGGAAGAGCCAAAAGTTACAATTTTCAAAATTTCCCTGGTTTTAAAGAGCCACTAACATTTTTTTTTTATTTCAAATTTTTTTTTTTATTAAGATTATTAGTATTTGTTCAAGGAGCTGGAGAGCCGCATCTTGATATCAAAAGAGCCGCATGCGGCTCGCGAGCCGCAGGTTGCCGACCCCTGCCCTAGGCAAAACTTATTAAAACGCCACTTCCACACAAATTAGTCACTAAAAGATACGTATAAGACAAAAATTAATTAAAGTGACATATTAATAATTAATTTATTATCAATTGCATACACGTTTTAGTAGACATCAAAATCAAATTTTACTTGCCTCCTTCGTCGCAAAAGTTTGTACTAATTCCTTCAATTCCAGTTTGCAAGCGTAATCACATTCTATTGAAATTCTATTGAAAAGTCCACGAGTGCTCTTCCCCCCCCCCCCCTCCCGGGAGAAATAAGTCTGGAACAATACCACTGAAAAAAAAACACAGCCTTTGTGGTGTTGGGCTCTCTACAGACCTCCCAAGGTGAGTTCTAAAACGGAACTTACCTGTTTTAAGATTGACTGTCTTTAGTTGTAATTGTAAAATATCTATATTGTGTCATTATGTAATGATTTTTGTTTTTGAAAAAGTTTACAAATGTTATAGATTCCAGCCTAAAATTGTGATATATGAATCCTTTAGGGGAGGGTGAAAAATATGAACAAAACACTTAATTAATTAGATGATTAATTTGCCACTAAGACTATTTTAGACGCATTTGTTGTATGTCTACTAACATTAAGTATTACAATTTACAACGGCTGCTGATGTATTTGTTTTTCAACTTGATAATGCAAGAACACCTACCAAACTATTTCGTTTAGGACTTCGGCTCTATGTACATTTTTACAATAGCAATTAATAACTTAAAGTTGTGTTTATAAGTAAGCGGTCAACTTAAGGTGCAAGAATTAGAAATTAATGTTGAGTTAAACAACGATTTATCTCCCTTTTTGAAATCCAAATACCAACATTTTATTCAAGGGAAATAACGTTCACAAGAATAGCTAAATTTAACAAGTGTAACTAGGACATGCTTGAAAACCACAATAAAACGCTTTACATTTCATTACGCAATAATTATAATAATTTTTTTATATTGCTTATGTAATTGTGTTAAAAAAATATTTTTTACCAAATGATTACTTAACTATAGGTTTTGTAAGAAAGTCTAAACACGGTAGCTTTATTATAACATACTTGTAGTCAATTTTGATGACATACGATAAATCGCTGCTAGGTGTATTTTTACCTCTTAATCTACACATTTTTTAATTTCAAAAAAAGTCGTAAACTGATAAAAAAAAATTAAAAAAAATAAATAAATAAATAAATAAAGAAAAAAAAAAAAACTGATAAAGACACAGGAGTCGGCAACCTGCGGCTCGCGAGCCGCATGCGGCTCTTTAGCTCCATACACAAATATTAATAATTATTTTATTTTCTAAACTCATTAAAATATTGTTCTGCAACACTCTGTAATGAACGATATAACTATAAATATAAACAATAAACACTCGCTATTCTATTAGAATATTTAGTTACTCCCTATTTCAATGTACTTCCTATTAAAATGTCCATCCCCAATTGAAACATTTAAGTTCATTGTGGATATTACAAAGAAACTAAACGATCTAAATGTAAAACTGCAAGGAAAAGAAATCCCAGCCTATGCCTTGCAGAGTTTCTTCCATGCATCTCTTCGGGGGGGGGGGGGGGGACGACGACGACTCTGCCCCCTCCCCCCCCCCCCCCCCGAAAAAATTCTACCGCCCCCCCCCCCCCGAACGAAATAAAATGTATATAATTTATATAGAAAATATATACTTTTAACAGTGTTCGCTCCACCGAAGAAAGTCTACCGCCCCCCCCCCCCCGGAGAAAAAAGTCTGGAGGAAACACTGATGCCTTGCTTGAAGAAGTTGATTGTTTCGAAATTTTAAATTTTTTTTTTTAAGTTTTTAAAATTTGTATGTATTTATTTATTTAATGTTGAAGGCCTAATTCGCCTTAAAGGTAGCGCCGGCCCTGACTTTCCCCCCCCCCCCTCAAGTACGTCTACTGTCCCGCCCCCGAACGAAATATAATCTCCGCTCACCGAAACCCCAAAAGTTCCCCCCCCCCCCCCCCCCTCGGAGAAAACGTCTGAAAGAAACACTGCTCGTGAGATTGAATTTACTTGACTTAGTGCGACAAGCTCCTGAGATTTAGTTGATTTTACCTTGAGCACACAGGACAAATTTTTCAGGCTGGCACCGGCTTGGTGGGTAGGAAACGGCTGGATAGCCAGTAGCAGGACACAAGGCATTTAGTTCTGAGGAGAGGGGTGGGTGGATATTGTTAATTTATGACATGCAGATGGTACATAGGTAACAATTATCTAAGACTTAAGGCATTTAGTTCTGAGGAGTGGGGTGGGTGTAATTGTTAATTATTGACATGTAGATAGTACATAGGTAACAATTATCTAAGACTTAAGGCATTTAGTTCTGAGGAGTGGGGTGGGTGTAATTGTTAATTATTGACATGTAGATAGTACATAGGTAACAATTATCTAAGACTTAAGGCATTTAGTTCTGAGGAGTGGGGTGGGTGTAATTGTTAATTATTGACATGTAGATAGTACATAGGTAACAATTATCTAAGACTTAAGGCATTTAGTTCTGAGGAGTGGGGTGGGTGGATGTTGTTAATTATTGACATGTAGATGGTACATAGGTAACAATTATCTAAGACTTAAGGCATTTAGTTCTGAGGAGTGGGGTGGGTGTAATTGTTAATTATTGACATGTAGATAGTACATAGGTAACAATTAGCTTGACACAAAGCTTTAGGGGGGTAGGGTGGATGTATATTATTGGCATATAGACGCTACATTAATAACCATACTAAAATAATTGTTTGTTGTTTTTTAAAGCACAGACAGTGGCGCTAACTAGAGCACAAATAACAAATGGAAAATGCAACATATTTATTTAAAAACATTGTAATAACACGCTTTTAATGCACTAAAATTAATAAAATAAATATTATTTTTTACACTATAATAATCAAACTAAAAGCATTGATCGCAAAAAGTGTGAAATTATTTCTAGATTATTATTATTATTAAATGTATTTTTTAAACTACTCAAAACCTGGTTATTGTAACGGTTTTTTGTCATTTCTGGTTTTGTTTCCTCTTTTTCGGTAGTTAAATATTCTAAAATAATAAGAAATACTAAAGCTTATTAAATCAGTGTGTAGGCCTACCCCAGTACCACATTTATATTTTACTACCCCGATAGTTTTGGTCGAAACTCATCACCACAAACGTAACAATGTTTGTAAAGTATCCGATCACTTTTTAAAAGTATTAGCCCATAATCTGCCCATAATTAGCGTCCGTCTCGGCTCTAACTTTGGAAACAATATTTCATCAGCTCACTTGACTGATCGAGTGATCGTTACTGTCTAGTTATCTCCCATTTTCTGTCTGATTGAATGTAATGTTGTCAATTTAAAATTATTTTTATTTGCTTAGTTAATACTCCGTTAAGTTATTATATTCTACCGTTATTATCGGATACTAACATTTCGGCAATTTTCTAAAGAAATCGCTCTAACTGGCAGAAATCAAGAAATATAATCTAATATATATATTAGAAATATAATAGCTTGTGAAATGTTGGATCTTTAATGTTGCTATAAAAAGAAACGAAACAAATTAATTACCAGCATCTGCTCCACCAATCCTCACAGCAGCCTGTGAGTATTGCAGCATTACACCCGCAATGAGTATAAATACATAGGCTGTCATTTTGTTTGGTAATCTGGGAGAAAAAATCAAACACGTTTCAATAATTGTCTATTTTAAACGTGGCTACTCTCTGGATCAGCTAGTCGGGGAAAGATACGTCTTTGATGTCACAATTTTATCAACTAGTCAGGGAAAGAGACGTCTATGATTTCACAATTTTTGACAGTTTATGTTCACGGTTATTAATTGTGTTATTTTAAATACTTTTAGGAATACAAAAATGTAAATAAATGCTATTTTTTAGAGAAAATAGAGATAATAATTAGAGCTTACTGATGGTAGTAAAAATTTTGTTATTTTAAATACTTTTAGGAATACAAAAATGTAAATAAATGCTATTTTTTATAGAAAATAGAGATAATAATTAGAGATTACTGATGGCAGTAAACTAAAATCTACCACAGCTCTGTAATAATTCGATTACTTTTTTTACAAGCTTTTATTTAACTCACTTCCTCGACAGTCTGTCTGTCTGTCTGTCTAGACGGAAACGCAGGAGTGAAAATTCGGACAGTTCTACTTGACCGATACGATTCAAAGTTAGCACGTGGGTCAAGACATGAAGACAATGCAATCTGAAACTAAATTTGACTCAATTGGATGCCTAATTAATTTTTTATGAATTAATTAAAATTTGGACCGAATTAGTAGGCATGTCTAGCTAACCACACCACACGCGTCATCACCTTCAATAGCTGCGCCATCACGTAATGGCTGCGTTCAAAAACCATTGCGCGCCTACTGAACGTGATGTTCAGTAGGCGCGCAATGGTTTTTAGTCATGTAACTCTATTGTAAATAAAACATGTAAAGTACTGAAAAAAAAATCATAAAAAACGTTTTAATAACAAGCTTTTATGTAATGATGCACTAAAAAGTAGAAAATAAATTATAGACTACTATTTAAATAACTATAAAGAAAAGCGTGGGTGTCTTCCTTAACATTAGTAAAGGTATCCAATAGATACTAAAGTGACCCACGCTTTTCTTTATAGTTATTTAAATAGTAGTCTATAATTTATTTTCTACTTTTTAGTGCATCATTACATAAAAGCTTGTTATTAAAACGTTTTTTATGAATTTTTTTTTACATTTTGCGTTATTTACGAAAACCTTATTTAAAACAATGACTCAAGAAATTTAGAAAACCAAAACATATTAATAATTAAATGACGAAGTCAACTATACCTGTAGAATGTTTCCTTAATGAACAGTTGTTGCAGCAGAAATATGTACCCACAGACTAAACGAAAACAGTTTATGTTTTATACAAGAGAAATATCACACCTGTTCCTGTACCTTTTGTTCTCGCTTTGTTCTTTGTTACCGTTGTATGTTTAGATTTCGTGCTAAACACAAGCGGTATTTTATATTCTGTATTTGTGTAGGAGTCAGGAGCTTTGTTTGCTTCATGGTGTCAATATGTTAAAAAAAAAATATTGTTTTCGAATGACCGTTATTAGATTTTTCTTCATCCGTGTTTTATGAATAACAATTTTAACTCTTGAAATTCGATAACTAATTGCTTTAAATAATTATACTTACTGTGAAAATATTTCAAAATGAAAGACGAAAGTTATAATTTTTTTAAATGTACAACGTAGCTTATATTATTAGCTTTAAAGTACAATTGTTTGTAAGTATTTAGCCTAACAATTTGAGTTTTGAAGTTGTTTTTTTTTTTGTTTTTTTTTTGTTTTGTTTTTTTGCAGCATATTTAAGAATTTTGCATAACCATGTGACTCGATTTTAGTTTTAAAGTTAAAATTGTTTTATTTTTGCAGCATATGTAAGTATTTAGTAGAACCATTTGAGTTTTGAAGTTTAAATTACTTTTTATTGGAGCATTTGAACAAACAACCAGCATCCTAACAAACATAAAAAAATGAAGTGTTGATGCTTTTTATTACAAAATATAATCTAAACACTTAAACCAGGGGTTCCCAACCCCGTGCCCGCGGGCGCCATGGCGCCCGCCGAACAATTCGTATGTGCCCTCCTCTCACTATTCGACAGAGACAGAATTTTTTTCATAAACATTATTGAAAGGTTGAAGGGGATGGAAATCGAAAGTTTGAGGGGGGGGGGTGCAAATAAAAAATTTGAGGGGGGGGGGGGGGAGGGTGCAAATCGAAAATTTGAGGGGGTGCAAATCGAAAGTTTGAGGGGGGGGGGTGCAAATCGAAAGTTTTGTCCCCGGGTGACGGGAAGGGTCGCTACGCCTCTGGAACGAGTTTGCCGATTTAAAATAGGTGGTGCCTGCCACCCTACCGATATTTTAGAATGTGCTCTAGAGTAAAAAAAAGGTTGGGAACCCCTGACTTAAACAATTAAAAATAGAATCTCCGTAACAAAACATTAACTTTTGGTTTGCTTTCATATTAAAAAAAACTTTAGATTTTCTATTTTGTAATCACACAAAAAAACTGAATATGGTAGCATTGTTGCAAATAAATCATTTATTCATTAAAAAATATACAGTTTCAAACATATTTGAATAGTTACATTGAAAAATGCTAATTGTAGCAGCTTGTGTGACCGAGTCTCCGTTCATCTGGGAGTGTTACAACATGTAAGGCCGAGTGTAAAATATTCTATTTCCCTTTCTTGATCTCTTCCAGCTGTTGGACGAGGGAAGAATGAAAATTGGTTGTTTAAATACAAGATTAAATTTAAATTATTGGATTTTTTTCATAATGTACAACCAATGTAAAATTTCGTTATCATACTTTTTTTTTAATCTTTTTTTTCATTGTATCTGATTGATTGATTTTATATTATTTAACATATTATTTTTATATTGTTTTATCTATACATATATTTATCTAAATATTTAAATTTTATTCATTTATGTGTCTATCTTTTTTATTTGAAAAAAAAATTATTTATCCAAATCGCTAAATGTAATCAGCGTAGAATATTCAAACTTTCGATCCGTTTTTCTTTAACAAAATTAGTGAAGTGGTAAAACAATGCAACTTGCCGTGTAAGGATCCATTTTGTGGCACTTGATGAAAGATACAGGAGATATTCTCTTCAGATATTCTCCTGTGATGTACATGCATCTCTCCTCCTCGGGGATGAAGTACGACAGTCTGGGGAAAAATGCGAAAAATTAATAAAACAAACCTGGAGAAAATTCCTTTGTTGAATGACAAAAACAAAGACATGTGCTTAAACACAGGTCGAATGTTGTCTTTTATTGTTTCGATGCTTTTATTTATTTTTCATATTTTTTTTTGTTTCACAATTTCAACATCTACCAACTCACAATGGACAGCTCATTGTAAATTCCAGTCCGCCAATCCCACACCAGGTGTATTTTTTACAGGTGTTGTTGACAGGTACGTACACCGCACCTTGCTCTTCACAGCTCACTGCACATGAAATAAATGGCGTTAAATGGATACATGGACACATAGTTTCATCGTCATACTTGACTAAAGATGAAATAACTTGTGTTAAATATTTACTGGTGGGGACGAGGTGATCTAGCGGTAGTGAGCTGGACTTCTAACCCGAAAATCTCGAGTTCGAATCCTGGTTCAAGTCAGTAGACCGTCCCTGAGATGGGTACCTAACTCATGTTAGGGAAAGTAAAGGAGGCTGGGCATACTATCTCTTCACATGCAGAAATACGTGAACTCTACTTCACTTTCCCTATAGACCGTCAGGTTTAAAAGGGAACTTTTTTAATATATTTATAAGGACAGGAATTGTATGGTCATAGTTTATTAAACATGAAATATCTTGTGTTAAATATTTACATTGATAGAAACTATGTGAGTGATGTCGTATTTGATAAGAAGAATCTATTTTTAGAAAGTAATGCCATCAACCTATCACAAAAAATAAGGAAGTGTTTCTAATTAACTGTCATTTTATGTCACAAAATTTACAACTCACATGATGCCTCACAAAAATGGTAACCAAACAACCGCAATATCTTCTAAAAATAGTAGTCAAATAACCACAACCTCTTTAACTAATTGACCAAATCGAAAGCGAAACAAGGTGACATCTTACACGGGTATTTCCGTTCGTTCTGCAGGTGTTTACACTCCTCGTGTAAAGGCACGTTGTCGATGCTGTCGCACCATGTCGTCACGTTGTTGTACCTCTCATTGGTGGCGCATTTGTTGAGGGCTATGGCGGTACCTGACGAAGAATGAGAGTTAGATGTAAGCTCGGGAAAATTGAGTCTTGGTCGTTGCTTTTTTACAAAGTAAATCAATTTTTTCGAATAACTTATTTAAATAAAACTTACTTTGAATAATAAATGAGCTTATAATTTTCAAAAAATTAAACAGTTATTTTGTTATTAATGAGATTACACTATTCAAAATAAAATCTTACAAGGTAATTTGAATAATAAAGGTATTATGATATTCAAACGATAATTTAAATAACTAATTAGTTTATAAAATTCAAAATAGTTCACTGTGAAATTAACATCACTCGATGTCTTTCTTGATAGAAACAAGAATTATGCCATATGTTAGACACTGTTCTGTGATATAAGACCCCATCATGGTACAGGCTTTAAAGGGCTAGTATTGGACATTGGTATTGGACTATATAAGAAGTAAGGTGAGAGTGTTACCGTTGGAGCACATGACGTAGCTGCGCTGGTCGCACATTCGTGGGGGTAACGCACTTGTGGTGAACAACGCACCAGGTGGGCACAGTTCATTATAGGCTGTTGATGTACGAGTAGAGAAAATTGACACACACGTATATATATATATATATATATATATATATATATATATATATATATATATATATATATATATATATATATATATATATATAAAGAGGGAGAGAGAGAAATCTATACAGTACTATCAATTTGTACTTAGTCTTAAATACATTGCTTAAAACTCCAAAAATTGGTATGTTTTAATGGTGAATTTTTTAAAAAAATTAACACTGTTTATAAATAATAGCTTCCAACTTTAAAAATTCAAGAGTAAAGTGAAGTGATCATAAAAAATAGCACCATACTTTCGTTAGATCCCCATAGGTACACAACCTGTGGGGAGGATACCTGCAAACAGGCAGTCAGGGCTAAGATAGACAGGATTATCCGGCTACACATCTTTTGTATTTGCTTTAGTCTGAAAAATTAGAAATAATATTTAAATTGTCTACAGTAAAAAATATATTTATTGGAACATAACACAATGTTGCTTTCTTAAAGTTTTACAACAATACACAATGCTTATACATTAAAGTTTTACGTATGAAAACTGACATCGAATTACATTGATAGAAGGTTGAAAATTAATTATTTTAACATAGTAGACAACTTGAATTACTAATAAAATTAAACCTAGATAGCTAAATTTGATTTACAGAAATAATCCAAAGAAATTTAAATTCACATGGATGTCTTACATTTAATGTGTAATAATAAAAATATTATTTATAAAAATAATATTTATAAAATAAAATAGAAAAAAATAGTAAAATTAATAGTAATGAAAAAATAAAAAGAACAAAATGTATAACAATTATAATCAACAAGTCAGTTTTTGTAGCAATCTATCCATCTACCGATTCACTGACTGGGAACTGATTAAAACTGACTGAACACAGACAATGTACCTGCAGGTCTAGGAATGAGACGAGCAACCACTTGCAGCTGGTCAGATATCTGCTCTAAATTTGTTCCCGCCCGCACACCTCGTTAAATGGGTTAAATTAGAAATACCTTTAACCTATTGTTTAGTTTAAAACCATGACAACTGCACCGTGAAACAACGAGCCATCACCCTGTGTCATCATTAGCCGTCTAACCAAATATAATGAGGAGCGACTAAAATCATTAAAAAGATTAACTTTTTGGGTGTCGCGTTTCATTCACAACTACCGTAGAGATTTTTTTGACGTTTCCTTACATTTTTGCAGTCACATTTTTTTTACTTGTACCAGGAACTGGGGTTTTAATTTTTTTTCACATGGTTTTACTTAGTTCGCAAAGTTTGTTTGTGGATTTGTGCCAAATCTAATAACTCAATTTTGACCCACTTCTAATGCAGCGATTTAGTTTAAACTTTCAAGATACTTTCTTCTTCAATGACAATGCAAGATTATATATTTTTCAATTTTATTAGATGTTGAATTAGTCATTATAAATGGATTGAAAGATTACTAAATGCAATCGCAAAAGGGGAGATAGCGAGCTAGTCGCGATCACCCAATTAGTCTGCTGAGCTGAGGTTCACGCCGGATGTTGTTTTTTTTTTCGTAGAGACAATCAAGTTTGTAAAGGCAGATAATAGACGCTTTGAAACAGTTTTTACTTTGCTCACAACGTCCGTTTGTGGGTTTGTGGCACGTCTTGTAACTCAATTTTGGCCTATTTCAAATGCAGCAATTTCGTTCAAATTTTATTGATTAAGATTCTCATAATGGATATATCGATAGCTGAGTGTCAATGATAAATTCAAATATGTTTGAGTGATCTCCCCTAAACTTTCTCGAATATTCTAATATAACACTACGTGGGATGTCAACTCGGAATATAGACATGATTTTTGTTTACTTAAACTTTTAAAAATAAAATAAAATCTAGTAGAAAATATTAGTACTTTATAAATTTACATGCGTTTTTTGAGAAATCGGAAATAGCGTAAATTAGTACTTCCGGTCAACGGAAATTACTCAAAATTTGATAGAAGGTAGAGAATTAGATCTTTTACTTACATGTGAAATTTCATTTATCTATCTGAATTAGTACTCAAGTTATAGGCTTTTGAAAAATTCAAAGTAGAAAAAGTACCACTTCCGGTTATCGGAAATAGCTCAAAAGTTGATACTGATCTACGATTTTGATATAATACTTATATATGAAATTTCATCAACCTAGCTGTAACGGTACTTAAGTAATCGTGTTTACACACAGACAGACACACAGACACACAGACACACACACACACACACAGACATACGGACAAGATTGCAAAATTATGTTTTTCCGTATCAGTGAGGTGTAAAACGTCGAGATTTGTAAAAATCTCGATTTTTTTTTGTGCACGATTACAATACTTTCTCTATACTACGTATATACGAGAAAGTAAAAACCAAAGAAAGTACTTTTATTAAATTCCTATGGTAATTTTTGTAATGCTTGCTATAAAAATGTTTGGTTTTCGGATTGGGTGTGTAGAAAAAGAAAATAGGAATCTAAAATATTGTGTTTTACTGTTAACTAACACGCTACAAAGCCACAAGTTGTTACAATTCTATCACAAATTGCATGAATAAGAAAGTCGTTTTGTCAAAATGTTTTCTGAACGTATGTTTTATGTTTATGTAACCACCTACAAAAATTTGCCGATTCAATCTGAGTCACAAAAAGCCCAGACATTTCGTCTATATGAATACAGTTAAGCCTTAAGTTTAAAATAAATTCTATGTTGTTAATTTACTTAGGTTAAATATTGAGATAAATTCTTCCTGCCTACCTAAATGTTGAGAAAACACTCTTTGAGCATTTACCTGGGTAAACCTAATCTTTTTTGGGAAGGGTTAAGGAATATTTTAGATCGCCCGATCTAGCTACTGCAAGCTAGAACAGGCTCCTGTTGTAAAATAGCTACATCGTGTGTCTGTTATACGTGTTGGAACAAACGAATACTGTTGTAAAATAGCTACATCGTGTGTCTGTATTACGCGCTGGAACAAACGAATACTGTTGTAAAATAGCTACATCGTGTGTCTGTATTACGCGCTGGAACAAACGAATACTGTTGTAAAATAGCTACATCGTGTGTCTGTATTACGCGCTGGAGCAAACGAATACTGTTGTGAAATAGCTACATCTTCTGTCTGTTGCACATACCAGAGCAAGCTAAAGCTAAAGTTAAATAGGTGCATCTTCTGTCTGTTATACGTGCTAAAACGAATCAATGCCATTGGTAAATAGCTATAATGCAAAATAAACTTTTGTCCTTCAAAATTGTAAAGTAGTACGTTTACGTTAACTGACCATGTGTGTTATGTAGTTACTAGTAAGTTTCAAAGTCTTTTTCTACAAAACAAAAACATTCATTCTAAATCAGATAAATAACTTCAACTGAATTCTATATTTGCCATCTAACCCGGCGCTGGCATGAAAATATTATTTCAAGTCTTAGCCCGAGATTGTATGAAACACAAAGCACTCGATGACACTACCCCTAGTGACGCCACTAGCACTGTATCAACTGCTGACAGTACATCTACAAATATACTGTGGCATAATTTAAGGCGTAGTTTAGTAGGTTGAAAGATTCTTGCGACCCAAGTCAATATTTGAACAGTTGACTAGTGGGGTGGGGGGGGGGGGGGGATCATGCACTTTTATCCAAACCAATTTACAAACGGTTATTGTGGTCTAAAATAGATGTTTCTTGATTCAACTAGGCGTTGCTTGCTTATATTTGCTCACACGTTCCTGTTGCAAAATGTTATGGGAGATTCGTGGTACTAATCAAAGTCTAGTTTTATACTAACTCAAAGTAGGCGTAGCTAGTCATACTTTTAAACTAATAAAACACGTTGCTGTCATTGTTAACAATAACCAGGGGCGTAGCGAGGGGGTGCGGGGGTGCGGACCGCACCGGGTGACACCATGTAGGGGGATGACACCAAGGCAAAAAATAGCAAAATAATTAGAGGAAAACTTGAGGGGGGGGGGTGCAAATCGAAAGTTTGGGGGGGGGTGCAAATTGAAAGTTTGAGGGGGGTGCAAATTGAAAATTTGGGTTGCTACGCCTCTGGGGGTGAAACCATTTAGTGCCGCACCGGGTGACACCCGACCTCGCTACGCCACTGACAATAACTACGTGTTATTGTGACAGTGAATTTAGAATCAAAAGATACGAATAGCTCTGTGACCGTAGAACGTTTTGTTAAATAAGTGTTAACGTTATTATCACGTGGTGTATGACATTTCTATCTATAAATCGTGTATTATAATACTTAGTAAATGCTATAATATCCAAAAACACAAAGTTCCTTGGTTGTTTTTAATCAGAATGTTATTTTGGGTAATCTGTAAGGATCTTTCAGCATGTGACACCCTTAGCATTGTGGAGTCAGGTCTGTAACTCAATTGTGGGTTTTGTGTAATATTTGGGTTTTTTAGGGAGGGGTCGAGCCAGAAAAAACACACTAAGTTGGGCATGAACTTCCCTATTTGTATTCCTCATAATGAAAAAGGTTAACATAATACGTTTTTTTTCTCAAATTTTTGCTTTGTATATAGGGTCGGTGGGTGTATTTTACCATGTTAGACAAATACAATTTTAATAATATATTTTTCAGATAAATTTAAATTAGGCAAGTGTATTAGCGTTGTATCGTTGGAAAAATGTGCAAGCGATACTGCGGTCCACTACACTACGATATCGTCGACGACGCGATTAAGGGGCTATCTACGATATTGTACTGACCCTCTTCGATACTGCAGTCACTTACGATACTTCGGTAACTTAGAAAAGGGTATAATGTCGGCGCCTACGATACTGTCATCCCATCTGTAATGTGGACTTACGATACTTTCATCCTGCGATACCTCCTAACAAGGTCTAGCCTACGTCACTATGACACACCCTAGTGTTTGCGCATGACACACACACGGCCGCCATGTTGGCCCACAGCAAACATGCGTAAGTCAACTTCATGTATTCGCCATCTCTACTCTCCTGTATTATCTAACCCCTCCGTTTTCACTTTGCTCTGTTTTCTGTGCTGAATTTTATGTAGGACAGAGAGTAAAGCAAACTGCTCTAAATAATCAGTCTTTTAATTCACAAGTAAATATGGTGTAAAGTACTTCAAAAAATTAGTTCTAAAAAGAAAATGTTCATTACATGCAGCTAGTGTTGAAAGTTAGTTGAATACAGCATTTGAGAACCCACTGTAGCCGCCAGGGCCATCATCAACCAAAAACTAACACATCTGAATGCATACGTTAGCACTGTGTTAAATAAACTGGCAGCGCTCAAGTGACACTTGAAGTATTGATGGTTTAATTATGACCAGAGCGTTCTTGAGGGCAATAGAGTGTTGAGTATCAGACACTCACTACATGTCTGTCTACAGTTGACAAGGTACACACTCGCACCTCACTAGTACCTCACTCGTAGCTCACTCGTACCTCACTCACACCTCACTCGTACCTCACTCGTACTTCACCCGTACCACACTTGTACCTCACCCGTACTACATTTATACCTCACCCATACCTCACTAATACCTCACCGACCTCATTCGCACCTCACTCGTACCTCACTAACACCTCACCCGTATCTCATTCGTAACTCACTAACACCTCAATCATACCTCACCAACACCTCACTCGTACCTCACCAACACCTCACTCGTACCTCACCCGTACCTCACTAATTCCTCACCGACCTCACTCGTACCTCACCAACACCTCACTCGTACCTCACCAACACCTCACTCGTACCTCACCCGTACCTCACTAATTCCTCACCGACCTCACTCGTACCTCACCAACACCTCACTCGTACCTCACCAACACCTCACTCGTACCTCACCAACACCTCACTCGTACCTCACCCGTGCCTCACCCGTGCCTCACTAATTCCTCACCGACCTCACTCGTACCTCACCAACACCTCACTCGTACCTCACCAACACCTCACTCGTACCTCGCCCGTACCTCACCCGTAAATCACTAATTCCTCACCGACCTCACTCGTACCTCACCAACACCTCACTCGCACCTCACGCGAAATGATGATGCAGCAATTGCTTCGGCGCCTGGGCTATCAGTCTATCAGTTTTTGCCTTTTCCCTGTTGTCCTTCTATATATTATAGAGAAATTCTTTCTAAAATGTTCGCGTCATTATTGTATGTTCTCGACGTATTTCCAAGCTCAGCATTCTCCTGGTAAAAACTGTTCAATTTTTTTCATGATTTTTTTTTTTTAATGTATAACTGTAGTTAAAATTTGTCTGTAACGAAAAAAAAAGATTATCTCAAAAATGCTTATTCTCATATGTATTTATTTTTTCATTTGATACATTTGTCAACGTTCACAAATCAATGGACATAAATAAACAATTGGACGATTTAATTTCGAACGAAAGCCAACTGTACAACAGATACAACAACAAAAAAATCAATCAAGTTTAGATCGATTCCGGAATATTATGTTTTGTAAGTAACAGATACATATTTCTTTATTTACATAATATGTCCGAAGTCGTATCTGGTTCTGTAATTAGAATGAAGGTGATTAATGAGCAGTTCAGCTTTGCTTTATTGAACACGGCACTATGTAGCCAGGAACACATTGAAAAATAAAAGCCAAAATGGATTAATAAATTGGCCTGTCGCCACAGGGCACATTGGCTCGCCAATCGCATTTCTTCTTCTCCTCGTTGAACGCGCTGTTGCTAGGACACCGGATGCGGGCGACGACTCTGCCGTAGTTGCACTTGTAGAACCTGGCACAGTGGGTGGGGTCACTGACATCTCCGTTGGACGTACCCTCACAAGGCTTGTCCACGATAGGGCTAGCGGTTGCTGAGGGAATGAGAAGAAATCAACGTCAGTATCAGCTTGTGGAAGTCGTCTATGAATGATGTCAAACTTTCTTTCCCGATTCCTCTCTCTTCCCCACCCCCTCCCCCCCCCCCCCCCCCCCTTGTTAAATTTCGTTAAAAAAAAGGGCAAACCTTTCCCGTTTAAAAATTACGTCTCATTTCATCTTCCCTTTCACAAGAGTAACTTTTTTTAAAACAGCTTTTTTATTACTGCATTACTAATTGATTATGGTCAATAGTAAGTCAGTGTGTTGATCAAATTACATTAGATTCACAACTTGCATTTTTAAAACTGCTAAAATTAAGTTTAAACTTTATTTAAAATTTAAACTCAGAAATATGACGTCGCATATTCTTAACATCACTGCCCCTCGTCAAAAATTGCACAAGAATCGAAGTCACGTCAATGGGAAAGTTTTACAATAGAGTCGAAAGTTTCAGGCGGATTGTGAAATTAAAACAAGGCACTAACAAAAACAAGCAAATAAACGGTTACAAATAAAACACGTTCATAGAAATTGTGTTAAAGAGCGTAAGTCGTTGAAAGTATTCTTGTCTCAGAAATTGCAATAGCAAGCTTAATTTGCAGTGTTTCTTCCAGACTTTTTTCTCCGGTGGGGGGGGGGCACTTGAAATTTTCGGGGGGAGGGGGGGCGGTAGACTTTCTTCGGGGGGGGGGGGGCGGACACTGTTAAAAGTATATATTTTCTATATAAATTATATAAATTTCATTTCGTTCGGGGGGGGGGGGGGGCGGTAGAATTTTTCCGAATTCCCCCCCCCCCCCCCCCGAAGAGATGCCTAGAAGAAACTCTGTTAATTTGTAGGTAGCCGTTGATGTGCGACCTTTTGATAATCACGTGACAGGCACAAGACTTACTGGTAATCACGTGACCGACAAGACTGTGAGGATTACGTGACCAGACCGAAGACAGTGAGGATCACGTGACCAGACCCAAGACTTACTGACGATGACGTGACCGGGGATACTACGCTCCCTGCACTCTGAGGCCACCATAAAGCTGAGCTCGCACGTGTTGTTGCGGGTGGAGAAGAGGGTGTTGGTGGGGCACTCCATGGTGGCCACCACGGTCATGTTGACACAGGCCAGGAACTGGGCACAGTTCTCGGGGTCAGGGTTCATGCCACTCGGCTGTAGTGAGCACCGTGGGTCATCTGCAACAAACAAGATGAGGTCAAACTGGGGCTAATTATTTAATTATGTTAATCAAAGCTACTTACATATCATTAGTTTAATTTATAATCAGGGGCCATATCAACCATCACTTTTGTTTCAGCTTCTTATTCCGATTCCATTTTACATTTTAGGCAATTTCATTAAGGTGTGTAACGATTAACGTAATTTTATTTATAAAGATTTCGTGTGTTAAAATAATGTGTTAAATATTTGTACAGTTTAAAATGTGGTGTAAGTTTTTTAATTACACATTTTACATAACAAAAACAAAAGTTCTAATACAAAAAGGTTTAAGATTTTTCAAAAACATATTTAATATCCAAAATATTGTTTACGAATTTTTTAGATTTTCAATGTCAGTAATTTTTTTTTGTAGTTAATCAATTAAGGGAAGGTATATCATTAAAATTAGATCAGTCAAAAACAATCCAGCTTTAATTATTGCTGAGATTAACATTCCCGTTTAAAAACTAATGTTAGGGCTACACTACGAATTAAGGTTTTCAATATTATAGGTGATTTGTGATAGCTTTTAGAAAATGTTAAGGCCTGGGTCTGGCTTTAGCTACAATTTATTTTGGTTAAAGATTAGTACAGGGGTTAGCTATCAGAGTGACGGAAAGTACGAAATACACAATGTAATGTAATGTAATGTAATGTAATGTAATGTAATGTAATGTAATGTAATGTAATGTAATGTAATGTAATGTAATGTAATGTAATGGTAGCTATTGAACACTAGAAAGCGCGTACGATTTTTACGATTAGTTTATTACTTTCTCGTATATACGAAGTATAGAGAAATTCTTGAAATCGTTCAAAAAAAATCGAGATTTTTACAAATCTCGACGTTTTACACCTCACTGATACGGAAAAACATAATTTTGCAATCTTGTCCGTATGTCTGTGTGTGTGTGTGTGTGTGTGTGTGTATTTGTCTGTCTGTCTGTCTGTGTGTAAACACGATAACCTGAATACCGTTACAGCTAGGTTGAGGAAATTTCATATACAAGTATTTTATCAAAATTGTAGATCCGTATCAACTTTTGAGCGATTTCCGATAACCGGAAGTGGTACTTTTTCTACTTTGAATTTTTCAAAAGCCTATAACTTGAGTACTATTTCAAATAGATAAATGAAATTTCACATGTAATTAAAAGATCTAATTCTCTACCTTCTATCAAATTTTGAGTAATTTCCGTTGACCGGAAGTACTAATTTACGCTATTTTTGATTTCTCAAAAAACGCATGTGAATTTATAAAGTACTAATAATATTGCGCACTATTATGCACATTTCATTTGGCGTTCACATGGTGTGCAATTCTTTTTTTCTACGAGATTTTATTCTATTTTAAAAACTTTAAATATTTAAAATGGAGTTCCCATCCCCTGTTGTTTTATATAAGAATATTCGAGAAAGTTTAGGGGAGATCACTCCCGGTTTATTTTTCTATGAATCAGTGTTCGAATTTGATTGTTTGAAATAGTACCTATTCTGTAGCTTTTCAAAGAATTTGTTGTAATTTTATAAAATGCTACCTTGTTGAGTATTCTACATTCAGTACTAAACGGCGTTATAACACAAATGTATTTAGTTATTGACTGAAATGTATAAGCTATGAGTGTTTCATTTTATATTACGAGGAAATCAATTGTTAGCTTATCTGTGATCATTAAGTTAAACTCAACATTAGGGTTTACTTTAATTAAATAGCAATTAGCTTAATGAACCTAATTATCAGCTTGTAACATTGGTTCTAATTTAATTTTAAATCCGATTTAAAAAAATTAAGAATCTACATGGATACATATGTTGGATACTAACAACAAAATTATAGTTAAACCATAAACCACACCATAATTGATGTCTTCTAATTAGTAACTAATAGATCAGTATTGAAGCATCTCTCTTAAAGTTTCGGTTGTACCCCAATGCCAAACATCTTCAGTACAACGGCCTCGAGGAACAGAAATCGCTATCTTATCGAACATGTATGAACTATTAATTTCACAATTTATTTAATCAAACTGTAATCCAATTCATTATCGCGAAACCAAACGTCATTTTAAACATGTGTGTTCTTAAGTATTAGGGTTATGTTAATTAAAAATGTTCTTCTTTCTAAAAATTCTTATAAAAATTATATAAACGGTTTTAAATAAAATATTTGACCGCATATATTTTTACTACAGGCTAATAAAAAATCTGATATAACAAGCTGAACTAACATTAAGGCTTTACTAGAGCACAATAAGAAAGAATATAGGATAAAGTGTACGTACTGAGGGTCGGGGTCGTCATGACCTGGTTACAGTCGTCCCACTGGGACATGGGCTCCACACAGGCGTGACCCACGTTTGACCACACCCTCGTGTCATTGCAGTTGATGGTCCACTGCTTCTTGCCTTGGATGCAAAAATGGACCTGGAGAAAACAAAATAAGCCTGGCCGTTTAAAATATTCACGAATGTTGCTATAGTCCTGGACATTAAAATAATCCTGACCACTGTAATCATATTAATCACTTTTATGATGTTAACCACTGAAATTTTTATCTTATGTGTATATGTTGATTACTAAACACACCAGTCATGGTCCTTTACAGATAGGTTTTTCACAGAGGCCAGTGCAGGGCCTGGCCGGGACGGCTAATAATTATAATAAAATAAACTTTAATACCTCTGAAATAATAGGCCTACTTAATTTGAATAATTACAAAGCATTGATAGAAAAATGTTATAACTAAAAATTTAAAAATATGAATTCGTGTTTATAGAAAACAGAAATGTGATAACCAACCTACCTGCGTACAATCACTTGGATCTCTTGTCCACTCAGTGGTCCACGGGTCCTTACACCCAGGCTCCGCGCCTAAGTTGTCCTCAAGAAAATTGGGCTGGATCCTCTGCGACGACCGTTGTGTTGGCACCAGGCGTTGCCCCTGTAGCTGCAGCTGTCGCTTTTCCTCCTCACTGTAGCTCTGGTACAACGATCTCTGAGCTCGTACAATTCCCGTGGTGCAGATTCCAACTAGTACTAGAATAGTTATGTAATACATAACTGCTCTTTATTCTTATGTTTTATGTACTATATTTATAATCAGGCTTTATTAAATCTTTATATATTAAAGCAATGAAATTCGTGTATGCGCGTTTCAGATGCTTTAGCTGAAGTCGTAAGCAAGAGAATAAGACGAAGAAGCTGGAAAGTTAAGCAAGCTGGGAATCGTGTTAGTTTCAGCTATTTAAAGCTTTGACGGGAATCGGGTCTTTTCTGTTGATTGTTTCTTCAAATTTGTTTGACCGTCTTACATGTGCTGGCCGGGCTGTTGATTGTCTCGCAGACGTCAATATTAGACATGTAAGAAAGCCCGGATGTGGACGTGCCGGACGCTCGCTGTGTTGTGAGCTGGCGGTGGTGTGTTAGAGCAAACAAGTCATACGGAGCTGGGCCCGGCGATGTTGTGTGAAGTCAGGAGTTGTGGTGTCTGCTGGAGGCTGGTCACTCGGTCAACCAGTGTTTCTTCCAGCGGAGCCCCCCTCCACCCCCGAAGAGAGTCTACCGCCCGCCCCCGCCCCCCCCCCCCCCCAACCCCCCGAAGAGAGTCTACCGCCCCCACACCACACCCGAACGAAATGGGATTTATATAGGAAATATATACTTTTAACAGTGTCCGAAAATTTCAAGTGCTCCTTCTCCCCCCCCCCCTCCCCCCCCCCTCTCCCCCCCCCCCCCCCCCTCCGGAGAAAAAAGTCTGGAAGAAACACTGCGGTCAACGAAAGACTCTACAGGCAGTCTGGTCTTTAGGTCAACTCAGAGCGTAAATGTCAATCTGGTCTTAAGGTCAACTCAGAGCGTAAATGTCAATCTGGTCTTTAGGTCAACTCAGAGCGTAAATGTAAATCTGGTCTTTAGGTCAACACAGAACGTAAATGTCAATCTGGTCTTTAGGTCAACTCAGAGCGTAAATGTCAATCTGGTGTTTAGGTCAACTCAGAACGTAAATGTCAATCTGGTCTTTAGGTCAACTCAGAACGTAAATGTCAATCTGGTCTTTAGGTCAACTCAGAACGTAAATGTCAATCTGGTCTTTAGGTCAACTCAGAACGTAAATGTCAATCTGGTCTTTAGGTCAACACAGAACGTAAATGTCAATCTGGTCTTTAGGTCAACTCAGAACGTAAATGTCAATCTGGTCTTTAGGTCAACTCAGAGCGTAAATGTCAATCTGGTCTTTAGGTCAACTCAGAACGTAAATGTCAATCTGGTCTTTAGGTCAACTCAGAACGTAAATGTCAATCTGGTCTTTAGGTCAACTCAGAACGTAAATGTCAATCTGGTCTTTAGGTCAACTCAGAACGTAAATGTCAATCTGGTCTTTAGGTCAACTCAGAACGTAAATGTCAATCTGGTCTTTAGGTCAACTCAGAACGTAAATGTCAATCTGGTCTTTAGGTCAACTCAGAACGTAAATGTCAATCTGGTCTTTAGGTCAACTCAGAACGTAAATGTCAATCTGGTCTTTAGGTCAACTCAGAACGTAAATGTCAATCTGGTCTTTAGGTCAACTCAGAACGTAAATGTCAATCTTGTGTTTAGGTCAACTCAGAACGTAAATGTCAATCTGGTCTTTAGGTCAACTCAGAACGTAAATGTCAATCTGGTCTTTAGGTCAACTCAGAACGTAAATGTCAATCTGGTCTTTAGGTCAACTCAGAGCGTAAATGTCAATCTGGTCTTTAGGTCAACTCAGAGCGTAAATGTCAATCTGGTCTTTAGGTCAACTCAGAACATAAATGTCAATCTGGTCTTTAGGTCAACTCAGAACGTAAATGTCAATCTGGTCTTTAGGACAACTCAGAACGTAAATGTCAATCTGGTCTTTAGGACAACTCAGAACGTAAATGTCAATCTGGTCTTTAGGTCAACTCAGAACGTAAATGTCAATCTGGTCTTTAGGACAACTCAGAACGTAAATGTCAATCTGGTCTTTAGGTCAACTCAGAACGTAAATGTCAATCTGGTCTTTAGGTCAACTCAGAACGTAAATGTCAATCTGGTCTTTAGGACAACTCAGAACGTAAATGTCAATCTGGTCTTTAGGTCAACTCAGAACGTAAATGTCAATCTGGTCTTTAGGACAACTCAGAACGTAAATGTCAGCCTGGTTTGTAGTCAACAAAATGTCAAGCTGGTTTCTTTCAACAAATTTCAGTCAGGTCAGTTGGTCAACAGATGTCATACTGGCTTGTAGGTCAGCAAATATCAATCTTGTCTTTAGTAAACTAATAACTTGTTTTCTATAACAACTTAAAACCCAACATTTTCTTCTCAACCTTTCTGCTAGAATTGTGACTTTTTACAAAGCTACAACTGACGTGTCTTCTAGAATCCTCGACTAGCGTGTATAGATACACTCCATAAATTAGCACCACGCATTTAGTTAGGCATGTACGGCAGTGTTTGATGAAGGGGAGGCTCGTTTCATGCACACGACGCCACAGTACAATGGGATATTTATACAAGGATAGACTCATTCTCACAGCGACCGTACAATTTTGTAAAGGGGAAGTCACTGTTATGAACAGTTTGGGGATTACTTTAGACTAGATAATGTATTGAATCGTTAAAAATGTCCAATTTATTTAACATTCTTATATTTTGATAACTCTAATTTATTATTAAGCTCACATACATGTATGTTAGTTGTGTGTTTTTAAATACAAGTTAATTATTATTAAATTCAGAGGACACCGCCCCCCCCCCCAATCCCATAATTTTGAGGTACACATGCACTGACGTACGTGCTTAGCCTCACGTTAAATAGCGCCGTCTTTGAACAACCAATTAGCCTATCCCATGGTGATATTTTTGGAAGATTATGTAAAGTTTACTATTAAAGGACTGTCGAAAAATTAACTTGACTTAATTCTCTTTACTCCTTGTGGGACACAGGGCCTCAACCATACCCTTCCATTTTGTCCGGTCCCCGGCGGTGTGCTTGACCGTCTCCCAAAATATCCCTGCCGTTTTTAGTTTTTCGAGAAAACTCCGTCTCCAGGTCTATCTTGGCCACAAATTGCCCATAGAAATTTTGGCCAAATGTACCGCTCCTCTACGTCATGCCTATAACCCTTAATTTTATGACGTCACTTATGGACTACTAAAACATTAATTGTGGGTCGGCGTGGTCACGCGGTAAAGCGCTAGAATGCTACCCCCCCCCCCCCAGCTCTGATGGGTACCTAACTCAGGTTATGGAAAGTAAAGGCGGCATGGTTTTGTGTGACCACATTATCCTGTTATATGCCGACGTCAAAATATATATGAACTCTACTTCATCTGTCCAATGGATAGCTAGGTATTAAGTGGAATCTTTACTTTTTTTTATTCCATTCATTAATTTTAACTCGTCTCTGTGATAAACGTAACACACCGTGTACAATTTTTTCTCAGATCTCCTTATTTCTTTATGTCAGATACAACAACTTTCTATCTTCATTTTGAAATAGGTTTGTTTATTCGTATTTAAACAGTATAATGAATGAAAGTTTGTAAACACTTTAAATTGGCTTGATGTATTGAATGAGTTTTTAGTCTAACTTTCCGTGATAATTGATTTTTTCGTTTTTTGTTTGAACTTCTTAATTACTAATGTTTATGCAATAATAATCTGTTACGTAAAATTATAAACATAAAATTTTAAACTTATCTTAACACTCTTAATATTTCCATACGAAAAATTTGTTAGGGGAAGGAACAACAAAAAAGTTATTTTAAAAGGTTGTCTTTCTTTAAATATTTCAAAAAATTTGGCATCAACACATCAGTGATAAAACATGCTTTTTAAAAAAGCTTTTTAATGCATACAAATTGGGAATAATTAGAGTACCATTTCGTTATATATTTTTTTTAATTCTAATATATTCTGATGATATTAAGTAATGTATTATTTATCGAACTTCTGCGGGTTGAGTTAAAGTGTATAACCATGTCTGATGATTCTACGTTGTCTAGAAACCAGGTGTCTGTAAAACCTAGGCACTGAATTATATTTTGTTATCTTTTATTTACTCCGGACTATTTTTTTTAATGAGATTAAAATGTTATTAAATTAACTACTTTTTATATTGATATTGGTCCGGTGAAACAACCCATTAAAAGGCATTTTGAAGATAACGCTGGTAGAGTGGTCTCCCATTTATTTCTATCTAGCAGAATAGCGGGTCTTTATGAGAGCCCAAAATTATTTTGCCTTTCAAAAAGATTTTTCTAAATATACGAGTCTTTCTTAGTAGAAAACAAAATCCATTAAAAATCGTATAAATCTAGTGTATTTGCTGGCTATTTATTTGTAAAAGAAAAAAAACCTTGGCACATTTGTGAATTCTAATTTTTTTTTTTAAATTGTGTTCTAACTTGCCGTCTGGTAATGTCTTATTTCATCTAGTTTTTGTACACCCGTGTTGGCTGTGTAACCATATTAAAATATAAACTTACTGGGAACTTTTTCAGCTTTCACTACCAATCATCTTGTTCTCTTTAAGTCGTCATAGAATGTTAAACAACCTCTGAAGGCTCGGTGCGATGTGGGTAACCACACACGAGTTTCATGTTCACAATATGGGTGGCCAAGGTGAAGGCCACCCGAAACGACGCTGCCTCGTGTTGACTTTAAGTTATTGACGAGGATATGTTCTCGTGTCACCTCCAATATGCACTATTTCAAACACTTGAAGTCACTAAAGCACAGTTTACAATTTTAACAACAAACTGTCAATGCCACATGCAATTCGATGGTTGTGGTGTCATCGTTTCTGGGCGTCCTACATTCCTTAAAATGTTTATTCAGATTGTATTTTATAGCGTTTGCCTGCATAAAGAAATGTATCAAACATCTCAAAAATTTAGCAAACTATTTTTCACTCCTTTTTAAAACATTAAAAAAAAACAGGTGTATAGTATAACTGATAAAACTATTTAATAATGACAACAATCACTGATGAATATTGTCGATAATGATTGGAGGTTATGTGAGAATATAAAAAATTACAACGTGTATCGTTGTAAGACAAACATGTTAAATAAATATATCTAGGTGGTAATACAATCGTTTTAACTATGTATAATACAAAATGTCTTGTCTCCCAGCTCAATCTTCAGCGCCATGTTCAGAAATCGTAGGTATCCCTTCTTAGTAACTTACAGTAAAAAAAATCATTTGGTTTCAGTTACAAGATGCACCAATAAGGGGATTTGTAATCATAGCATAGCCATTGGGCTTGCCGTTAAGGACCAATGAAATATAATCCAAGTATTCTTGTGTGCTTTTATTTCCTCACCAGCCAGAAGAGCTAGATGGAAGTGACTTTGGTTTGATGTGGCCGTTATGTCCACGATACCGATGCGCCGACTCAGCTGACTCCGCGTCACTAACTGTCCAGCTGGGAATGTCGTTTTGGCCCTTGATAGCTGCGATGGAAACAAATCATTAAGTCGAGTTCGTCGACTTAATATATGTATAACTCTCTTAATTAATGTTTTTAAATTTGTATTAATTTGTTTTGAGTTACTTCCCATTACTAAAGGACTATAATAACAAGGTACATTACTTTCCTTCATCGTAAATGTATTTTTAATATACCCATTTTCGTATTTTAAAGTAGAAAATTATTAAATTATTATTCGCTATAAAGTTAAGACGTTGTATATAAATTATAAGAAATTCTCCACCGCGGTGAACTCAACAGATTGCCTCGCTCAACATGTTCAAGGTGTATCGGCTGTTTCATACATGATGTAGGCGCTTCAGTTACCCAGGTGTAACAGTTTCATACCTGATATAGGCGCTACAGTTACGACAGGTGTAACAGTTTCTTACCTGGTGCTGGCGGGCCCCGAACCTCCGGCATTGGATAACCTATTGGAAGCAAATGACGTCCATCTCGAGAGTCCGGCTGGCCAGTGAGGGGCAGCGCTGACGTGATGTTGTTTAGAGGTAGTGTCCCAACTTTAATCTCGTCGGCAAACTTGATAGAATCAGCCAGGAAGGCATCTGATACTAGCTCAAGCTGCGAGAGTGTCATTTGTTAGAATCATTCTTCCAGCTAGCCAAAATTTAGCAGTCACAAGTTTACTACGTAATTATATCCTTTGTCTATTTCATTGCAATTTTCTTTCAGGCATCTCTTCGGGAGCACTACCCCCCCTCCCATTTTATCGAAACATGTCCACACCTCCCCATATGCCTACCCCACTCACCCAAACCCCAGCCTCCACCCACCCAACCCCAGCCCCCCCCCCCCCCCCCACACACACCACCACCACCACCACGGACAAAATAGAAAACATTTATATAATTTAGAAAACAAACTTAAATCAGTGCCCGCGCCCCCTACCCCGGAAATTTAACCGCTCCACCACCCCGGAGAAAAATGTCTGAAAGAAACTCTTGCATACAGTCATCACCTCAAGCCAGTATCGAATGTCAATGACCCGGCTTCCTCCTAGACCAGTGGGCGGAAGTGGAGGGATGGCGATTTCCGGATTCCATTTCAGCACGTCTGAAGGATTTATATTTTTCTTCCCCTCATGTAATCTTTTGTCTATCTTCACGGTCTTCGTTTTAGCGTGGTAACTTGTACTCTGTTAACAGTTTGTGAAAGTATTTTGTGTTAACCTATATATTGGACAGTGCTAATAGCCAAAAAAATGTCAAATGAACAAAAACAAAAGATAGAATGCAGAGCTAATATACATGAGTTAGCCGCATTAACGTATGAAGCATGAGGCTATATAAGAAGTTTGAATAGATTCGATTGGTTGAATATTTTGAAAACAAAACACAACAGTAAAATACGACAATGCCACCGTACCATTTGAAACTTGAGTGTGAGGTGAAGTAAGGAACTGGTGTAGTTTCGTACACGTAGATCTATGACCATCTTCTCGCCAGGCACGTAGCCTCGTCTGCTGACGTAATATCTTACGTCAAAGAACCCAGGGGAACAGCAACTACAGCAGACGGTCACCTCTTCTCGACGTTTGATTGCTTTCTGGGAAGTTCCAAAAAATAGAATTTAGATACGTGCGGTAGAAATACATCTTATAAGGCTCATACTTAAAAATTACAGGACATATTTAATTAAATTCGTTGTTTTGAAAGTTGCTAGCAGTTTTAAATAGTTGAAAACAGATTTACTTAAAAAAGATAATGGGTGCGAGTTATCTTAATATTTAATAAGGACATCAGCCACGGGGGCTGTGTTCAGATTGCCTCCTCACCCCCTGACAACCACCACCCACAACACACACACAATTTACATAAGCCACAGGTTGATGTTCAGATTGACCCCTCCACCCCCACACATTCACCATCCCCCTCCCCATGTTATATTCGCCACCGGGTTTGTGTTCACATTGACCCCCACAATATACATCAGCCACAGGTTGTTCCAATTGATGCCCCCCTCCCCACACACACACACACACCCTACACCTCCCCAAACTTACATCAGCCACAGGTTGTCTGTTCAGATTGACACACCCCCCCCCTCCCCAAACTTACACCCTCCCCCTCCCCAAACTCACATCAGCCACCGGGTCCGTGTTGAGGTTGTACTTGCTGATGACGGTGAAAGCTTTCTTGGTGACCTGCTCCACGTGACCCACAACATCCAGCATACACTCCAGCCAGTAGCGCACATAGCCGTGGGTGCCTTCAAACGACGAGGGGAGGTCAGAGGGCACAGGAAGTTCAAATGGCATCGTGTGGTTGCCAGCAGGTAGTATGTGGTTGTAGGTGCTCTCGGGATCTGATAGGGGTCAAAGCTAGTCTCTTAAAACTAAGTACAGAATTCATGGGACGGAGTGGCCTAGTGGTAGATAGCTGGACTGCTAATCAGTAAGTCTCGAGTTCGAATACTGGTTCAAGTGCGTAGACCGTGCCTGAGTCCACCCAACTCTGATGGGTACCTAACGCACTTTAGGGTAAGTAAAGATCGCAGGAACTAGTGAACTCTACTTTACTAGCAAGTAGACCGTCAGGTTTGAAAAGGTTACTTATATCGCAATAAGATGCACAAATTAATGATGGGGAAAAGTAGGCAAAAATTAAATTATATCAAGTAGTACATTGCTGAATAAGACATACATGTTAGCTAGGGGCTGGTGAAGAAAAAAAGTTCCAGTGTTTCAAATAGCACATTTGCTATTTAAACGCCTGAGAATTTCGCATCATTTAAAAGCCAGTTGCAATAATATTAATTAATTAAAAATACTTTTTAAATAAACCGGGAGTGATCTCCCGCCGGGAGTGATCTCCCGGTTTAATAATCGTTTTAAATTATTTAAATCCGTGTGTTCTTTTAAACTTTGATGCACCACTCCTCAGCAAAAAAAAAAACTTTTTTTAAAAATTAATGTAGGACTATATAGGTTCTTTCCGGAAACTTCAACAAACGTTTTACTGATTAAAAGAAAAAGCATGAAGCCCCAAACACCTCTCTGCTTACATCGACACATTGTTGACGTTGCGACATAAGGGACATTGTGCTAATTACCAGCGACAGCTGAATAGTGGCAGTAAATGCGCGCATGCAAATATGACCTCATTAAAAATACACGGTGAATATGAATAATTCATTGCCCTTTTTTTTATTAAATTATTTGTCGCGCATAATAAAAAACGTTACATATTCTGAATATTTTCGCTGCGTGTACTAGTATAATGCGATAATGCGGACTACTATAAACTGTAAAATGTAGTTAGTGGGGATACTAAAATGTTACCTGTCCTCCTTTGAAATGTCACTCAATGTTAAATGTATGATAATTAACGCGCTAATGAATTAGATTAATGTTTCTTGTGTTTTCTGCTGTGTTATATAACTAAAGGTGTGTTGGTTTTCGTGTAACTGTTGATAGTTAGCAGGAAAAATTTTTTTTCATAACATAATCAACTTTAGGTTTAACTAAAGGTGTCGAATATAAACAATACATGAGCTTAAAACTAGTTAAAATTCTAGGCGTTGCATTCTAAAATAAGAATTTATTTATCTGAGTGTAGTAGGGGTGTAGGCCTACATACTTATCATCCAACAATGCTAGTGTCTTGAATGTTCAAAATGCTCTTTCAACGAAGCTACGATACAATTTAAAAGGCCATATTCAAATCTATAACAGTGGTAAATACCATATACGAATGTTTACATATAATTTTATGTTATCCAAAGAAAACGCCAATTAAGGTATTACATTCATTAACCTCGATGCATACATAGCTTTTATTTTTGTTAGTACATATACACATTAGAAAAATCCATAAAGTTATCTAACATTTTAACTAGTCTTAGTACAACGTGTCTTTAAGATCAAAGTGAACATAACATAAACTTTAAGTTTTCTTGTTTAACGAGTCAATAAGCTTTTGTCAATTTAGGTGGGTTTCTATATCTTTTACACACACAGCATTAAACAAAAATTGAATTTTATCAAGTTCAGACAATGCTTAAGGAAACTGTAGATTTCAGATTACCGGATTAGAAGTGATGAAGCATAGTCAGTTTTACCAACCCCAGCTTTGACACGTTTCATAAAAAAAGTAAACATTTAACAACCAGACAATACAGACTCGTAATAAGTATGCTACAGTGGTCGTAGTAGTTATATATGGCTGTTGTGATGTTGATACCCTACGATGTTGCAGTAGTTATATAAGGTACTGTGATGTTGATATCCTACAATGTTGCAGTAGTTACATAAGTCTAGTGTTATGTTCATATTCTACAATGTTGCAGTAGTTACATAATGTTGTTGTGATGTTGATATTCTACGATGTTACAGTAGTTATGTAAGGTTAGTGCGATGTTGATATCCTACAATGGTGCAGTACTTACATAAGATAAATGTGATATTTATATCCTACAATGTTGCAGTAGTTTTAAATAAGGTATTGTGATGTTAATATCCTACAATGTTGCAGTAGTTACATAAGGTTGGTGTGATGTTGATATCCCACAATGTTGCAGTATTTACATAAGGCTGGTGTGATGTTGATATTCTACGATGTTGCAGTAGTTACATACGGCTTATTAACGTTAAACGGCCTACCTGCGCCATACAGGATCGTTGTCGTCTTTGAGTAGATCTCAATGTCGTGGACAGTTCGAACATTCTTCCACACCCTCTTTGGTCTGCTCACTTGAGAGACGGCGTGACCTTCATCCCACTCAACTCGACCTTCACCAAAAAACGTCATCCTCACACCTGGGGGAAAGTCACAAACGTCCAAACGTGTTTGTATAATGATAATATTTCTTCGTCTGGTATACGTCTTAACATCGTTACATTCAGTGTTTGATAATATAATTTGTTTTCTTAAATTTTTCATACAAATATCCGAGTAGTAGTTAACAATGGCCGATACCCAACGATTACATTGGAACAAAAACATGGCAGTTAGCTAAAAAGACTTAAACATCATTGCAATTTATTTATTTTAAATTATCAACACCCCAAGAAAGGATAAATAGGTTGATTTGTTAACAAACTAGAATAGCAAATTGTTGCATATTAACATGAAGGGTTCTCATTCGCGAGCCACTATAGAAGTGTATCTGTAGCAGTCGGATTTTTTTTCTAAGGATATTTTTCTGTACATTCATTTAATGTGCTTTGCCAATATTTTTATTTAACCCTTTAAACTTTTGCCGCTCACTCTGCATACATGAACCAATTTTGATAGACAGGTATAGATGCGACCAATTCAGGAAGATTTTTGTTTTAAATTGTAGGTGGGGGAGAGTGTGTGTTTGTGTGTGGGGGGGGGGGGATGATACATTTATTTTCAACAGTACTATGAAGAATATGAAAATCATACATATTGATGGAATGCGGCTATGTATAACATAACCTCCTCTCATCCCCTTTTTTTTCCCCAAGCTTTTTTCTTTCTTAGTCTAGCTTTAGACCTATAAGAATTCATCGGACCTAAATTCTAGCTCTAGACATATATGAATTCACCTAAAGGATAGGCTCCAGAGGTAAGTGAATTCACCTGACCTAAAGTTTAGCTCTAGACCTCTACGAATTCACCGGACAAAGTAGACCTATATGAATTCATCATATCTACAGTTTAGCTCTAGACCTATATGAATTCACCGCACCTGAAGTTTACCTGCAAACCTATATAAATTCACCACATCAAAATTTTAGCTTTAGATCTATAAGAATTCACCGGACCTAAAGTTTAGCTCTAGATCTATGTGACGTCACCGGACCTAAAGTTAAACTCTAGATCTTTATAAATTCGCCGGACCTAAAGTTTAGCTCTAGACCTAAATGAATTCACCTAAAGTTTAGCTCTAGACCTATATGAATTCACCTAAAGTTTAGATCTAGACCCAAATGAATTCACCGGACCTAAAATTTAGACCTCAACTAATTCACCGCACTTTTACGAGGGCTGCGTTGACAAAAAAAAAACGCCATAACCTACTTTATTGTCCTTACGTTAATTTGTGCTCTCATTAATTTACGCGCTTGTACATTAGCCACGATTATGACGTCACATATATTAACTTTTATGTCAAAAATATTTAGAAACTCCTGACGCGCCGCCTGTTATATAGATAGGGATTTTAATCGCCGTTCTCTGTGGGCGACAACTCGCTAAGAATTTAATTTATGCCTCGCCCTATCTTATAATTCATGCATAAAACGGGCGTAGGCTTCACTCGAGGTTGTGTTAAATGTCCTGTTCGCTTGTCATAAAATACACACATACAAACACATGCATACACAAGCACGCTTAGGGCCTAAGCAAAAAACATAACTACAAACATACTGTTACACTTGTATATGTTTGTAGGCACGTAATCACGTATGTACGCATCCAAACACATATACACACAAACATTTAGGGCTTATTAAAAAAAAACTCAAATGCTTACAGATACCCATGTTAACAAACTAATATACGATAATTTAATTGTGAATGGTTACTTAAGTTCTCAAAGATCGAAAAAGTACATATAATATTGTCCCAATTGACATAATTAACTCTTAACGCTAACTTCGATTATAAACATTTTGCTGAAATAATTTTTTTTTTCACGAATAAGCAATCAGATTTTAGCTAACTACAAAGAAATGTTCATTTGCAATGATTATTATAAGATTAGTTCCAGAATATATAAGTATCAAGCCTGACACACACACACACACACACACACACACACACACATATATATATATATATATATATATATATATATATATATATATATATATGTGTGTGTGTGTGTGTGTGTGTGTGTAGAAAAATATTTTTTTTCTCACACTGTGAGAAAATATAAGATAATATTCGTACTGATAAACATGCATTTGCTGATCAAGTCCTCTAGACAATGCCAGGTTCTTACCTCTAACTGGCAGAGGTGTTGTGATATCCAAGGTGACTTTCCCGTCCAGTACACCGCCTGCCCAGCACACTGCCCTGGGGTCTGTTGTGAGTATAGCAAAGCACTGTACCCTGGCCATGGTGGTCAGTTCTCCTGACCTTTACCCTATAAGCCTTCATGTACACTGCAAAACATTCAAATTTTTCACGCTCATTCATATATATATATATATATATATATATATATATATATATATATATATATATATATATATATATATATATATATATATATATATATATATATATATATATATATATATATATATATGTAGGCCTATAGCCTTTGCAATATATATATATGTTATACACACACACATATATATATATGCATATTATATATATATAGCCTATACAATATATATATATATACATATGTATATTACATATATAGCCTATACAATATATATATATATATATATATATATATATATATATATATATATATATATATATATATATATATATATATATATATATATATATATATATATATATATATATATATATATATATATATATATATATATATATTGTATTGTATGTATATATATTATATAACCTAAACATTAATTCAGAAACATTTTAGAAGACCACCTAACGTAATGTAAAAGGCAAGAAAAAGTCCAGGAAATTTACACATGTCTTTATTATCCTAGGTGTACTTTCGACCTTGTCTTCGTATGTTTAGTAACAGTTAATTAATATTTGATAGACGGTCGGGTACTTTATGAAGCTCCGAAGATAAAAACATTGATTATAAAAGAATACCATTTCTATATAGTCTACGAGCGTCAAAAAATTCTATAAAATAGATGTTGTAATGTTATATAAGGGAGATTAGTGGTTCATTTTTTTTAAGTGCAATTAGACAATTTAGTTTAATACGGCATTATATTTTATTATAACAAATATAAATATTGTAATGACTTGCCTTTTAATATTCATGTCTCAATTTTCCAAAAATTCAAAGAATAACTAAATTCATTGAGTTGTTTCACTGTCATACTAATACCTTCATGAATTGTGTAACACTGTTATCATATTTTTTAAATGTAATTTAAATGTCCAGATTAAAAAATCTCCAGGTTAGAATTATAAAACTAATTTATCCAGCGAAATCAACAAGGACGGGTTTCATATCCTGGCGTGCTGTTGTATGTGTTGCTGTCTCCCTGATCTTGGGAGTAGCCGATCTTTCTCAACAGAAATGATGAATGACGGCCTAACCGGAGTGACAGGCCTTTGTCAAGCCTTCTCAATGGCGGGCCCTAGTGTTTTCTAGCTAAGCAGCTTTTTCTATCGTCTGCTGCAAGATTTTCACTGAATTCTTGGAGAAAAACTTGTTTTGGGAGCACTTTTAATTTGAAATAGTTTTTAAAGTACTAGCAAACTTAATAAAACAACATTGCATGCATTTGTTGTCTATTGTTTGTAACCTAACCATTATGCCATTTATACAATTATACGTTTTTCTAAAAATCTGAATTGATAACCAAGACATACCCTCTGATATAGACCCTAGATTTATTTCAAATAATAAGGTTATGACTTTAGCTCCATTTATTTCTATTGAAGTTGTAGGCTACAAGTTTGAGAAAGTAAAGGAAGCTGAGCATACTGATTATCATACTGGTGGTTGTCAGAAAAACAGGTAAACTCTACTTGACCTCCCCAATGGATGGTTATATCATAAAAATTATTGTACATTACTTTAAAAGTTATAATATTTTCCACCTTATCTTTAGCACAAAATATAAACTTAAGGTGAGCTGCCAAAATTATTATTTATCATAGACCATCGAAAGCCCAGATTAAAAATCAGTAACAAAACTTGAAAAAAAAACTTGAAACAATTTTTACGAAAAAACCCAAGTCAAAAAAAAATAGTATTTTACTTTATTGGGTTTTTTTTTAATTCACCATTATGTCAAGCCCTCAATTAGGCAAACGAACTTTTTTATTAACGTCATTTCTTTCCAAAATGGCTTGATTAGACCCAATCGAAGCTTCAATACCTGTCTTGGTCTCCTGCCTGTATCAAGGTGGGTCAGTAACGGCAGACTGACAGAACCGCCGATGAACGTCAAACTTGTCGGTTTCTTGTCAAGGCCTGGCCCTTGATTATAATTAATTTAAATTCTGTCTTTACGTCTGCGTGTGTGTGGGCTTATATTGTTATATTGGTCACATTTTTACTTTATTTTTATTTTTCAAACAACGAAGATTTTTTTTACGGCTTATAGATCGTTGAAAGATGGTCTGAATGGCATAGTTTAAAATTTAGAGACGTCCAAATATATAATGAAGCTGTGGGCGGGGTCGTGCATAAATGACGTAACACTCGTAGGGGTCCGTAACTTTGTGACGTTGTGTTGTTAAGGGGAAGGGGGGTCAGATAGTGTTACGTCACACTTTTGCATTATAAAAAAGCAACGTTAGTAAACTAATTTTAGTTGTTATTCTACGTTTTAGAGAATTGTTTTAATAAATTGTAATAGGAATTGATTAAAATACTCTGTTGACAGAGTTCAGACAAGATTTTAAGAAAAATTCAACTGCAATTTTGAGGGAGGGGGGTTGTAGGCGGAGGTGTGACGTCATTTTAGGAGGGGGGTCTGGCTTTCTAGGACGATGTGTGACGGAGGGGAGGGGGGGTGTAAAAATCATCCAAAAAAGCGTGACGTCATTTATGGATGACCCTTGGGCGTGTGTATAGAACTATTCGCTTGTTTGAGATACACCGGTAGCCTACGTGTTCGTGGTCTTTTGAACTTTTTATAGTTTTGTTTTACTGATCTTCATACTTAATGTGTGTGGGATTAATTTTTTTTAAAGCACCCAATTGCAATGTTCCTTTCAGGCATCTCTCCGTGGGGAAAAATAGAAAAAGTATTTTAAAAATGTATATAGAAAATATGTATGTTCCTCTCCACGACAGTTCTAAGCCCAACCCTACCCCCCTCCCCCCTTCCGATGTCACAGCATGTACAGTACAAATAAAAATTGCAGACCTTCCTAATCGAGAGACATAGACTTGTTTATAAAAGTTGCCTTGTTCAACAGTGCGCCTTAGAACTTGACCAGTCTTATCACGTCCTAGTGCAGATCTTTCCGGCCGTCTGACGTGTCTGAGCCGGACAGACATGAACGTATCGTATGCAGCGTTGACATTTTTTAACACAGGATACCCCACAGAGTTCATTTCGCGATGTGACGGAGTGGTCTAGCGGTAGAAAGCTGGACTGCTAACCCGTAAGTCTCGTGTTCTAATCCGGGTTCAAGTCAGACCGTCCATGAGTCCACCCAACTCTGATGGGTACCTAACTCACATTAGGGAAAGTAAAGGCGGCTGGGCATAGTGCTGACCACACTATCTCTTCATATGCCGAGGTCACAGAAATAAGTGAGCTCTACTTCACTTGCCCTATAGACCGTCAAGTTTGAAAAGGGAACCTTACTTTGCTTTTACCCCACAGATAAGCGGCCCTCTGTGGACCTCTGTCAGTCTTATCTGGATCTACCTCACACGCTTCACGTTCTACTTAACATGTGATCGATATTTCTCTAAATCCCCTATTCAATCTTATCTAGACCTACCTCCTTTAACTCAGGTTCTACCTTGTATGATGAGTTTGTGATCTGGTATTAGACCCACATCACTTTTCTCGTCAATCTTATCTAGACCTACCTCCTTTAACTCACATTCTACCTTTTAAGATGAGGTTGTGATCTGGTATGTAAGACCACATCAATTTTCTACCTCCACGCTTAACTTTCAACCTTGCGTGATAGGCCCTATGTTTCTGGTCGGGTGTTTACCGCAATTCTCTCACTCAATCATATCTAGATATCATCTATGTTACCTAGAACTACCTCCACGATAAACTTTCTACCTTATATGATTTGTGATCTGATGTTTACCTCAATTTTATCGTCAATGTTATCTAGATCTACCTCCATGATGAACTTTGGGGTCATCCATTTATGACGTCCACACGCGGGCGGGGGGGGGGGGGAGGTCCGAAAAAACTGACTTTTGTGGACGCATATGGACTTTTGTAAGGAAAAAAGTGGATTTTTGTGGACGGGGGACGGGGGGGGGGGGTCCAAAATCCAAAAACAATTGTGGACGTCATAAATGGATGACCCCTTTCTACCTTACACGGTCTATGATCCAGTGTTTACCTCAATTTTCTGCTCCACTAACTAGCTGATGGTAAGAGAAGTTAACAAGTACAACACAAACCCCGACATAACAGAGACCCTACCGGGACAGAGATGACACGTCCTAAACGTAATTAGCACTATTTGTATGTCATGTTTTATGCTCGTAACAAGGGGTGGACTCTTCATTAGCCTCGTTCGTTTCAAACTACATTGTTTTCTTCGTTAAAGTATGTCGCATGGGTAGGCCCTAAGGACCAAAATATAAAATAAACAATGTGGTTAACAATTAAAGAAGACACATAAACAGGTTTATTAACGATGAAATAGAAAGGGCAAAATGCGTATTATACACATTTCCTCTTGCCAAACATGCAAACAACCAAGTAGTTTGCCCTCGGAGAGATGCCTGAAAGAAACACTGCCTTTAAAATATCAAAATACACGTTTGACTTCTTTCGTCGAGGTGTTCAACAAATTTATTTATTCAGATTATATCAAAAAGTTCCTGCTTTTTATTAGACTTCAAACTTTTTTTAAAAGTTAAGATATTTTGGGAATGATAAATTCTTTTTGAGAAACTGATATAACGTACGAACTGACACGCGACGTAGCACACGCCGCTATTTAGTTGTTTTATTTCCTATTTTCCATATTTTGTGAATTCGACACTACCAATGCTGCGACTGAAAATATTTTGCTTCGAAACACTATCAGTATCTCCTCACTATCAGTTGTATCATCACCCTCACTTTCCACTCATCCCTCCTTCCCCCCCCCCCCCCCCCCTCCCATGTGAAAGCAGCCATCCGTGACGACAGTTTACAGACGACAATGAAAAGATCAAGTTGAACGTGTTATTACCTCCCCTTAGTTTCAAATCGTTTATAAAACTAAATTATCTGCCCCTAGTAGCCGTCACTACGATCGTAAATAGCTCACCAAACTGGTTGGGGTGGGGGTGGTTGCGATATGGTCTGTTGAGCTTACGTCTTGGTGGTGTCTCGCATGGTCCCAATGAAGATAATTATATATATAGATGTGAGGTTTTTAGGGATGGGGCGCCATCTATGCTAGGGTCAGAATCAAGTGTTCAGAGGGGAAGGAGTTTTAGAACTTATCTCCCAAGTAAGGGAATCCACTGAATGATTCACCATAAGTCTCTCGGTCTCGTCCAACTCACCCGCAAGAAGTAATGATGAAATAAACCAGGAGTGATCTCCCCTAAACTTTCTCGAGTATTCTTATATAAAACAACAGGGGATGGCTACTCGGGATGTAGACATGATTAAAATAATACTTAATCCATTATAAATACTTAAACCTTTTAAAATAGAATAGGGTCTCGTAGTCTAAATTTATGAGTTAAAAATTACTTTTGAAAGTGGGGTCGGCGTGGTCGAGTCGGTAAAGCTCATGGTTGCTAAACCGAAAAGTCTCGAGTTCGAACCCTCGGGCAGATAAGGCTCGTTAACTGCTGCCATGGACAAAGGAAGCAAATCCAAAAAGAAAAGCAGGCTGAAATCGGAGTCAATGGCCTCAATGGCGCATAACCAGTTGACACGTAACGCTTAATTGTGTTGGAGGCGTGGTCGAGTCGGCAAAAAGCTCATGGTTGATAAATTCGAACAGTCTCGAGTTCAACCCCACTGGCAAATAAATCTCGATCCCCTTCAACACTAATAATTAAGAACGAAGAAGAAGAAAAAGAACTATTGAAAGTGTTGCGAAATAATTTTCATTTTTCAAACTGATAGTAATAATTGTCGGCATGTTCGTTAAACACAATTTTTAAAAAAATATCATCTTTTACAAAAATTCTAATTATGTCTGAAAATTATTTATATTTAGTTCTTTAGCACTTACTTCCCTTTGATAAATTAGGAAAACACAATTACTTCCCTTTATAAAACATTGCATTAGTGGAAAAGAATTTACTTTTTATTACTTTGTTTTGGTGTTGGGAAAAAAATAATTACATAATTAGCGGGGATTGATCAAGTGCAAATGTTGTAGGTATTTTACGGTTAAGCTTGGAGTATTATAATTGTTCATTAAATTGAAACAGGCGCGTCCGCCGGCGCCCCACCAGGGTTCAATTTGGCGCTCTGGGCTATCCTGTGAGCGCTATGGTGCATAATTTCGCTTTAAACAGTGCGATAGAGTATGGATAAGAAAGCTTACTATAGTCTTTAAGTGAATCGAATCCGGGCGTCCTCTGGCGCCCAGACAGGGTGCTATTTGGGGCCCCGGACCTCCCGTGTTCGGTTTGGCGCCTACGTTAGTTTAAGTGACTGCAAAAGACTATGAATAAGTTGGGGTACTATAGTCGTTTATTTAGCTGAAACAGGCGATTCCGCCCCGGGCTAGACTGCGAGCACTTTGCGTTTATGTTCGCGTTAGTGTTTTCTTTGTGTTTAGGTTGGGTTTGCGTTAGTGGTTGCGTTTTGATTTGGTTCGTTTTTGTTCTTTCTTTTTTCGTTTGTGTTTTTTTTCTTTGGGTTTGTATTTGTGTTTGTGGTTGGTTTTGCGTTTGGATTTGGTTTGTTTTCGTTTGCTTTTTCATTTGTGTTTTTTTCTTTGGGTTTGTGTTTGTGGTTGGTTTTGAGTTTGGATTTGGTTTGTTTTCGTTTGCTTTTTCGTTTTTTTTTCTTTGTGTTCGTATTGGTGTTTGTGGTTGTGGTTGGGTTTGTTGTTAGGTTTTTGTTTTCGTTTGCTTTTTTGTTTGTTTTTTCTTTGTGTTTGTATTGGTGTTTGTGGTTGTGGTTGGGTTTGTTGTTAGTTTTTTGTTTTCGTTTGTATTTGTAATTGTATTAGCGTTATGTTTGCGTTTTGTTGTTTAGGTTTTGGTTGGTTGTGGTTTGGGTGGGCAATGCCGGGTTTATGATGATTAATAAACACACAGGTAATGGTCTTTAACAGAAAGGTTTTTCACAGAAGCCAGAGCAGGGCCTGGCCGGGACGGCTAGTACTTTTTAATTCACATGCGTTTTTTTTGAGAAATCGGAAATATCTTGGGTGACAGAGGCGTAGCGAGGGCGGGGCGGGGGTGCGGACCGCACCGGCTGACACCATTTATTGGGGTAACACCAAGGCAAAAAAATTGCTAAGTATATAGAAGAAAAATAATGTTATTTTGCCCGTCCCATTAAGGATTAATTAAGTTAAAAATACTTTTGAGTAAAAATCGACAATGCCGATAAAAGGCGTGGGGGTGATAACATGACGTAAATTGCTAATTATAGAAAAAACAGAGCTATATCCAACTGTATTATTAAAATGCTATACATAAACATTGTTACTATTGAGTGTGCACAGATTAAAGCTATCACCTTGGGGGGGGGGGGGGTCCAACTGCAAAATGTACAGAAGATCCGCCATTGTTATGCCATTGTTTCGCAATCGTGGATTTTCAACTTATCTTCGTTGGTTTTTTTTTTTAAAATGATAAAATGGTGAAAATGGCATGAGGTTAGCGTTAACAAAAACTCATCTGCAAATTTTGAAGTTGTTTTATAACATGGAATGTCAATGATCCCATTAAAGTATTAAACTATTTAAAATAAAACCACACAGTTTAACTTAAAAAAACTAAATTCGTTTTTAATTGCTTTATTAACATGCCTTTTTTTCACCTTATGGTAGTCGCGGGTCAGTTGGAAGGTTGCCGCCCGAAAGACCTGGGAACCTGTGCTCTAGTGATTCGCAATGTTTTAGTTATAATGAAACCAGCTATATCACAGTCAACACCTTATAGATCTAGTTATAGTAGGCCTACATTTCCCCCTTATTTATTTGGTTATATCACGCTAGAAAATAGCTTATCTAATGTATGGGTATGTCACGCTATGAAAGGAAATTAAAATAGTAAATCTATTTAGAGCTTCTAACTTGCTATTAGTCACGTGTAATCGACCCCTCCCTCACCTACCCACTCACACATACGCTCACACTCACACCCTTCTTCAGGACTTCAACCAGTAGACCTGTAGAGTTACTGTCTGTATACCGAGCATCAATTTTTTTCTTCTAAACCCGCAACCTATAGATCTAGATCTTTATACTACTGTTTTTAAATCCAAACTCTATGCTAATTTAAATATCTAAATCAGAATGAAGATTATTAATAATAATTAATATAATCCTAAAGAACGTATTGGCGGAAAGCCTAAATTAAAATGTTATCTGTAGGCCTACTTGTATTATAACACAACATCATCCGATCGGAAGACAAGCACTACTTTTTCTAGAACCTCGGATCTGTAAATCAAACTTGGTGATCCTTTTGCTTTTTATTTTTTAATTAAATCAAATTTACCTTACTTAATAGCAAATATTTTTAAAATTACCAACTATCTTTGCTTTTTACAAGAACTATATTCTGGGGCTCAGCTGTTGCAATGTGACATAATTTCCGGGAAAGGTGTAATAAGGCACCGGTGCTGATCAAGAACAAAGCCTAGCCTGTGTAATTGTTAAGGGAAACCTAATGTCTAATGTTATAAGTTGCGGCAATTAAAACTACACACTGTTTTGTGTATTTATTGTTAGCAATTAATGTAGATATCTGTGTTTTTCATCATTTTTAACACCAGTGTAGCTTAGTGAGTAAAGAATGTTCGTGGATTCAACTTTGGAACAGCTTCAGGCAGCAGTCGAAAATGCGGACGTGAGCATTGGCACTGTCGCGTTGGTAACTACGACGCTGGTCTTGAGTGCTACTTTAGCATATCGCACATTGTTAGGGGAAAAGGTAAATCAGTAATACCTAAATAATAGATTATATAATTGTATTTTGTTGCCATAAAACTAATTATTATTAATAGGTCCCCTTAGACTACTGAATTCTACTTCTAACTTAGTTATTTTTAGTTAGTAGTACTTTTACTACTTAAAGTTAGGCCAAGTTGAAGTTAGTCCTACTCACTAACACTAAGCAACTCACTCAATCACTGTGATTTATTCATTATCATTATTGGGGGAGGTTTTGAGTTTGGTTTTAGAGTTACATATACTACAGTTACAATTTTCAGTAGGGACATGGATAAAATTTGAATTTTAAAAAATTGAAAAATGTAATAGCACCATCTTATAGAGCTCATTTAGCCAGGAATAAAGATATTTTCATTTTAATTTTAGCTCAAACGGTTTCAAAGTTATGAATTTTTAACGTATTTAATTTTTGGGTTTTTTTATAATGGGGTTTTTCCAATTTCTGTGACCCTTATTTTTTGGATGTGAACAAAAACCTCTGTAACTTTTTAAATACCATGTATTTTTTAATAAAAATTGACTAGGATCAAGCTTATCATATCAGTAAAAGGATAAGATACAAATAATTTCAGTGGATGTGAAAAATTGTTAAAAGCAATGTTAACCAAGAGGGCCACCCCCCTAAAATTTTTGAGAAAATGTCTTATATAGGCAATACTAAATCTGCTGCCAAATTTTTATTATATGGAATATCTCAGTAAAAATTGGCTTAAATGATGCCAACAATGTACACATTCACAGAAAGTAAAAATATTTTACTTAGCTTATGTAGTTATGTTACAGTAATGGTTAAAATCAAAAAGTACTTTCTATTCTGCGCAATTACTTTCTTGCAAAAAAGAACTACAATGCCTAGCTTATTTTAGATAACTTTGCCTATATTCTTTAAAGATAGTATAAATGATGGTTATTATATACTTTAATATGCCCACTGATCAAAGTTGATAAAAGAAATATTTTATTTAAAAAAAGGGGGCATGAAACTATGGTACCCCCCCTTAATTTGTGACAAAGAATTCTCCAACAGACAACATACATCTGTTGCCAATTTTTAACCACTTGGAATATTTAACTGAAAATTTGCTGAAATGTTATCAATATTGTATACATTCACAGAAAGTTCAGATATGTCATCTAGCTTATGTGGTTTTGTTACTGTTTGTCAAAGTTAAAAGGTCATTTTTGTCCAGCGCAGCTACTTTCTAACAAGAAAGAGGTACAAAGCTAAACTGATTTTAATTTCTTTGCTTATATCATTCAAAAACAGTAAAATTTGAAGGTGATTATGTACTTTAAATACACATTGATGTAAGTTAATTAAAAAATATTTCATTTCATAAAAGTGGGTTTGAAGCATGGGTACCCTCCTTATTTTGTAACGAAAATTTTGCTATAGGCAACCTTGGAATATTAGCTGAAAATTGGCCTTTTTGTTGATACATTGTATACATTTCATCCATCGTGTTTATGCATCATCATAAACATGTGGTATTGAATTTTTAATGTAGGATACATAATAAACATCTGCCTGCAATTAAAAATACATGTCAAATTAAAATACATCTTTTATGTTTAAATGATGTAGATATTGTATTAGCTGACTGTGCATGGGGCAAATAAGTAAAGTTTGCTGTATCAGTGACCTTGGCATATGAAGGGATAGTGTGGTGAGCACTATGCCCATCTGCCTTAACTTTAACTGAAGTGAGTCAGGTACCCATCACAGCTGGGTGGACTCAGGGACGCTCTACAAACTTGAACCAGGCAGTCTGATACCCTGTGGAAATAGCTATTCTGGCAGTGAATTTTACCAGGCCTAACCATGCACAATCCTGAGGAAGTGGCTACTCCAGCAGTGAAGGCTGTGACTTCAATTCAGCTGAACTTCTAAACCTGTTTAGAATAGATTTACAATTACATTTACGTTTTTATCTTTACATCTTTTGTGACTATTTATTTTTAGTTATTTTATTACAGAAGATCTGTGTTAACACAGACAGATATAGATCTAGTTAAAAGTAGGTGTAGAATTTTGAAAAGATCTACTTATTTAAAATGTATTGCAAATCCAAAAAGCCTAAACTAGAACGATTTTCTTCTTTCAGTGAATTTAATTAAAAATGATCTACAGGTACAATAAAATGATATCTCCTACTACCCACTGTCACCCATTATCACAAAAAGCCACAGTCCCCCCCCCCCCCCCTCCCCCTATTAAAATGACCAGAGCCTAAAACCCCTTCAAAATTGCAGCTTTATTTTTAACTTTATTTTTAACATAGCTCATGGTTTCTTTCTCAAATATTGACTATGGTCACTCTGGTCAAAAAGTATATTAATCAATTTCTATTAGTCTATTGCAATTTAAAAAAAAAAAAAAAAAGTTTAAAACGCAAATTAGAGGCTATAACAAACTCATCACACATTGTGAAAAAATGACGAAGTGTGGTCCCCCCCCCCCCCCCCCCCCCGACAGAAATGTGACATTTTTGGACACCAGCATTAAAAGCAAAGTTAGATTCTAGATCTATTATGATATAGTATTTTTGTTAAAAGTATTCTAGATTTAAGTTTATTGTTATTCATAATATATTTATAGTTCAATTTATACATGAAAAAGTTACAAATGGGCTCGATATTACAAAAAAGAGAAATTATCATAGTATCCAATATTAACAACGCAACTTCAAAGAAACTTATGTGGGAAACTTAACTCCAGTAAAATAATTCATATTAAATAAATATGTAATTATAACACGAAATATAACTACAACATCAGGAAAGAATCAATGTTTTATCAATAGAAGTGAAAATCAGTCAATAAAAAGCAAAAGGGGATGATGGATGGCTCTGATTGTAAAATCAGCTCTAATATTTTTGCTTTCGCGTCATTGACAATATTTGGGAAATTCCGATTTTTACTAACTTCCGGTTTTAGTTTCATTATTTAAATCACTATTATTATAAGCATCCGGTTTGTTGAAATCAGAGATGCTTTCTTGGTCCCAAATAAAACCTTTTTGGGTCCGATTGTCGCTAAAAATTTTTGATATTCATATAGAAAAATGGTTGTTCTATTTGTGCCTTTAAACTTATTACTGTGCCATAAAATGCTATATCTGAAAAAATTGCTCAAACTTACCTTATTTTCAATGAAAAACTCCATAAAATAATAATCCATTGGAACAAAAAACAACTTGTAAGTAAAAACGATGTCCATTTCTAGTTGTAAATCTATTAAAACCATGACAATAATCATTTGGGTTGTAGGAAAATTTTTTTTTTTCGAAACTGCCCATCGCAAAAAACGCCGTAGCGCAAAATCACGGTATCGGCGAACAGCTCTCCTCGCCCGCGGCAAATCGCGCGTCATGTCCATGTCCCTAATTTTCAGTCATATACTTCATTCACTGTGGTTGAATCAGTCATATCATGATTCTGACTAATTCAGATTTTGTTCAAGTTTAACTTTAGATCAGTGAATATGTGTTAAGTAAATCTTAAACTTCAGTTAAAAGTAGTGTAGGCATCTCCAAATATGTTATAGATAATTATAGGCCTAGGTCTTGTAGTTGGCTAAATGAAATCAAAATAGTATCAGCTAACCATTATCATCTTGACATGTCTTGAAAATTAAATTCAAATAGTCTCTAAGCTGATCAAAGGTAGTTTAGCTATAGTTTAGCATGAATGTACCCAAAAACATCATCAGCTAACCATTATCATCTTGACATGTCTTGAAAATTAAATTCAAATAGTCTCTAAGCTGATCAAAGGTGGTTTAGCTATAGTTTAGCATGAATGTACCCAAAAACATCTATGGAACACTTGTAACAGCGAAATACAACAAAACCCTGACCCTGTATAGTGCTTCCTTGCCTGCTTTTTAAAAAAATAGACGTACTAAAACCTTCCAGCATTCTTTTAGTGGAGGGTTTTGTTATCTATTTCTTAGGCTTATATTTTAGAGTAGAGCAGTATGTTTAAATATATATTTCTGTGTATCCTACACAACAGGTTTAGTTAAGTCTGATTATTGACCCTATTTTTTTATATTGATTTCCTTATTTTAGAGTACTGGAAAGCGTCCGCCACATATACCTTCCAGCATCCCGTTTTTGGGTCAGGCTGTTAGTTTTGGATCTAGTCCTATTGAGTTTCTTTTGGCAGCATATGAAAAGGTAATTTTTATAACTCAATTTTAAATATTCACCTTGGATCGGAATGGTCTTAATTGAATTTCATTAGTTAACTGGCGATTAAACATGTTTAAAATTTCCTGTTATCATGAAGACATACTTTTTTCAGTATGGCCCTGTCTTCAGCTTCACCATGGTTGGGAAGACGTTTACTTATCTTGTTGGATCAGATGCTGCTGCATTGCTTTTTAACAGCAAAAATGAAAATCTGAATGCTGAGGATGTCTATAGTCGTTTAGTGACACCAGTTTTTGGAAAAGGAGTTGCCTACGATGTGCCTAATCCAGTAAAAACCTATTTATTTGTCAAATTTTAAAGTATTTTTATTTATAAGGCATCCTAAAATGTTACTTTAGACACAAATGGCAAAATTTCAGACTGAAGTTATGTTAGAGCTTTGAAAAAAACATGAACACCCCCTGTTTAATATACAAGTTATTTAAGTCTGTATCTCACCTTCTGTTGGTAGCATAACAAAATTCCTTTGCTTTTTTTTTTTTTTTTTTTTAAAAGAACATGTTAAAGTATTTTGAAGTTTGTGTGGAACTATAGAATTAAATTAGGATGATTATTCATTTTTATTCTTTTTTTTAACAATTAATGACCCATTCATTCTACCAAAATACCATTCTTGACGGCCCAATGTAAGGAGCATAACTCTGTATGAACAAGTGAACCCTTTCACAAAATATTCGTTTTTGTCTTAATGAAATAATTGAAATAAAAACTACTGTGTAATGTTGGAATTAAATCTAGCTTTCCAGCAATATTTAAAAGAACAAAATATATTCAGAGAAAATCCAAAATTGGTCATTTTGGGTAGTCAAATTTATTTATTTTTATCTAAACAACTATGCATCGAATTTAACAGTTTAAGATAAATAATTAGTAAAATACATGCCTAGATACTTTCTTAGGCATGTTTTTATTTTATTTTAAATCAGCTAGAAATAGGACAGATGAGTCTAAAATTTTGGGATGGAAAGAGACGCATATTATGTATATTTCAAAATCGCCATTGAAACTAGTAAACCGATAAGGATGCTGAAACTATCCAACTTCCTGTTTAGTTAATATTAGGATTTGTAGGCCAAATTTTTATGAAACAAATTAAATTTTCTATGCGTATTGTAAGCGGGCGTAACAGGGCATCATGTGTCATTAATGGTTAAATTGTGTTTTTTACTTATGCAGTGAGCTGAACACTTACCAAAATCTGACTATAATATAATTGTATTCGATTAGTATGATAATATGAAAATGTTGCAATTGAATTAAAATGTAACTAAGTTTTATTCTGCTTCAGATTTTCATGGAACAAAAAAAGATGTTTAAAACTGGCTTAAACATTGCTAGATTCCGTGAGCATGTGACTATTATTGAAGATGAAACAAGAGACTATTTTAAGCGATGGGGAACTAGTGGAAAACAGGGTAAGTTCCTCATTCAATCACATAATCAAATCTAAAAGTATACTTTTAAAACTGTCAGACCGTAGTTTAATGTTAAAATGCCAGGATTAAAATCTGAATTCCTTATTCACAGATATTTTTCAAGCCCTTTCCGAACTCATCATTTTGACTGCAAGTCATTGCTTACATGGTAAATAAATATCTCTTTTTAAATTAAATAACTTGACTTATTAAAGACTTAATGTATACATTAATTAATTTAAATTATACACATGAACCAAATAAAAAGTTAAAAGCCTCAATAATTAAATTTTAATATTTCTTATATAGGTCGTGAGATTCGTTCACGCTTGGATGAACACGTTGCTCAGTTATATGCAGACTTAGATGGGGGTTTTACTCACCTTGCATGGTTATTACCAGGATGGCTGCCATTTCCAAGCTTTCGGTTAGCTATTTTTCAATATATAATTTGCTAAATGCACTGGTGGAAAGTAGCTAGAAAGTGTTTCCTCAATCCTTCTATCATCTATTTTTATTATGTTGAGCTAAAAATGCAATTAATATTGCTATTTACTATGTTTATAGCAAAAGAGACAGAGCTCAGGTGGAAATGAAAAAAATATTCCATGAAGCAATCGCCAAGAGAAGAGCAGATCCCAATCCTGATGATGACATGCTGCAGACACTCATAGAATCTAAATACAAGTAAGCCTAATAAAGAGTTTAATTAGTAGATTGCACAATCATAATGTAAAATATTATTTCTGGCAACTATTTAATTTTTAATGTTAAACAATGTTGAAAACATACTTTAATTAGTAATCTGATATAAATTAGTATACTGTCATATTAAAATGTTTCAAAAATTATTTTGATACTTTATAGATATAAAATTTTAGATAAAATTTGTCTAAATTTAAAAATGAAAATTTTTAGATCAGGGCAAAGTTTAACTGATGATGAAATATCAGGAATGCTGATTGGACTTCTGCTAGCAGGACAGCATACCTCTTCCACCACAAGTTCTTGGCTTGCTTTCTTTTTAGCTAAAGATAAGAAACTCCAGGTATTTCCAAGTAGTGTAATAAATTATCAACAACTGAAAAATATTTTAAGGTTTTTGTTATATTTTAGTTGCTGCAAGTATTCAAAATTGTTTAAATTGGCTTTATAATTTCATTTGTTTTCCTTTTTTTATTCTCATAGGAACAAGTGTATGAAGAACAAAAGCGTATATGTGGTGATTCTTTGGCACCTGTAGATTATGATCAATTAAAAGAGATGCAAGTGCTGGATCGTTGTCTAAAGGAAACTCTGAGACTACGTCCGCCAATTATGACTATGATGCGCATGTGCAGGACACCTCAGGTATTATTTTCAAAATATGGTACTTATATAAGTATTTCTAAATATTTTACTTTGTAAAACTTAATGTATAAACATACATGTATTTCTATAGTAACATTTTTAATGAAACTAGCTTAAAATGTTTTTTAGATCAAACCATAACAACCCCTCCATCGAAATCTTTAAAATTTGGTTGCTTAAATAATGTGAAAGAAATTTGTACGCATATTTTATACAATTGTGTAGTCACCATGAATAAGGTGATTCTAAAGCATTTTCTCTAATTGTCTAATAAATACCAATTATATTTAGACGGTTCTCGGCTATACTATTCCTCCTGGTCATCAAGTGTGTGTTTCTCCTACTACTAACCATCGTCTTCCAGATACATGGAAAGATTTTGACAAGTTTATGCCAGATAGGTAAGACAATGTTGTTGAATGGTTTTACATAGTATTATCCATCTCTTTTTTATTATCTGGTAAAAATTTTATATTTTCAATGTTTATAAATTTTTTTTCAGATTTCTTGACCCTGATGTGTCCAACAGTGAAAAGTTTGCATATATTCCATTTGGGGCTGGACGTCACCGTTGTATAGGAGAATCTTTTGCATATGTACAGATCAAAACTATCTTCTCAGTTCTTATACGAACTTACGCCTTAGATCTAGTTGATGGCTACTTCCCTGAGGTTAATGTTTCCACCATGATCCATACACCAACCAATCCAGTAATTAGCTATAAACTTAGAGACAAATAAACCTTATAGTTAGTTTATTGTGGGGTTTTTCTGTTAATGCATTTCAGCATTATTTTTAGCATTGATCAACATTAAGTGGTTGTGCTACATCTAATTTAATAAAGTCTGATTTATGAATCAGTGCTAATTTTTTTTAGATGGAAGTCGAATCTTAGAAGAAAAAAACTCAGCTAAAGGCTGTATTAATAATTATAGCAATATACTGTAGGCCTACGTGTTACTTAAACTTTGGCTTATGAAATGGATAAAAGCAAATTATCACATTTTAACTGTTCTGTAGCTATTTTACAACTTAACTTATACAATATTTGTTTTGCTTTTTTAAGGCTTTGTATTAAAATTTATGAAAACTGTTGATTCTTTAAATATTATATTAACCCATATTTATTTAAATTGGTTTTTGCAACATAATGGTAATTAACAAGAACAATGTTTGATTTTTTTCTAGGGGTTAGTACATTTCTAATGGTTTACTATTTCTAGAAATATTTATATATTTTTCACTGCATTTGTCAATTTGATTGTGCTTAAAATAGTTTATTTAAATGGGTAAAGTGACTTCTTTTTTCCTATCATAAATGTGCATGTGTGTTGTTTTTTGAAGGTTATTCTTCATCATCAGTGTTTGTTAATTCACAGACTATCAAGTTGATTGAGCAATTGAGATGATTTTTGACAAATTATATATCCATTCTATGAACAAAATTATGCAATCAGAAATAGTTTCTGTGTTCTAAATATATTTATAATTACATATAACCATGAATAATCAATTTTCTAATAAAACTTTTGTTTGCAAGTAATGAATTATCATTTTTTAAGCTTGTACTTACATTTAAAATTATATGGAAACAATTTAAAATTATTTTTCTGCTAGTAACATTTTAAAAGTGTATGAAGTTTGAAATTCATATAGAAACTTCTGTAATGAAACCCAAAATTTTGAATAAACTTTTCTTTTTCATGTTATGTTCATTATTTTTTTATAATAAATAATTAACAGGTTTTCCAAAAATGTTATTGAAGTGCATTGTAATCATTTATTAAATCACTTAAATAACTGGTTATGTTAATAGTCTGGTGGATGAAGTAACACTTGGAAAATAGTGAACATTTTGGGAAAAACTAATTGGGAAAATTCATGAATAAATGAGGTGTGTTTATTTTATTTTGAGTCTCATTGTTCACAACAGTACAGCACTTAACAAAGCAAAGAACAATCCATGAGATGAGAACAGTGTTATAAAAATACCCCATGTAACCTTTCAGTTCCAGACTTTATTAATTAGAGCAAATGAGTTATTTGTGGTCAGCACCATGCAACCGTTATGTCAAGGTTTATCTTGTCTTTTCTCTTTTTGCAAGCAAGTGAAGAGGCAGAGAAACAAAAAATATTTTGATTCATTTGTTCTTTATTGCATGCTTGTTGACTTTGTTCACATGAAGGAAATTTGAAAAATGTACATTTAACATTTCTAAATGAAGTAACCACCGTTTGAAGAAAGTGTCAAGAATTAAATAATCTGGTATACATATAACCTAAACAGCTTTCAAAGTTGTCTCTTGCTTAGTATATTTACAAACAAGTTTAACATACCAAATTTATATAAAGAATTAGCTTTCAAAACAATTGAATTTAACCATGGCAATACATTTAATGAGTTGAATGGCTTTACAGTGTAATTAATAATAATAGTTAAACATTTGACCATTGCATAGCTTTATTAAGTTACATAAATCATTTTGCAAACCAGGTTATAATTACAGCTTTAAAAAATTGTTTTATCTTTAATAAATTAAAATGTATATATTAATTAGTCATATTACCATTTAAATTTTCCACCTGAATAAAACAGCTAAAAATGGAAATTTATTTCTTCTTGTTTTAACTAGTGACTATTATATTATGTTGATATAACTGCTCTGGCTTCCAGTAACAACCATTGTATAATAAGTAATAATAAAATAATAGATTTAGTCTTAATTTTGAAAATGCAAAGAAAAAATTTCAAGTGCAAAGAAAATATGGAATGCCTTATAAATATTTTGAAACATTTTAATTAATTATAAACAATACTGTACAATTTACTTTAAATAAAGTATACTGTACAAAACAAAATAACAAGGCATCAACATTTATAATTTGCATCATTCTCATTTACAGTTATAGATACAGTATCCAAAAAATTCACTACAAATTATTTTTTTAAGGAATGTTTCATTACAGGAGATGTTAACAAATATAATGGGACTAGTTTGTTTGGTTGTTTAAAAAAATATATATTTGAAAGATGAAAAACAACAATAGAGGAAAAAGATTTCAAAATTATTTCCATTAATCAGATAGATGTTTTTTTAGAACTTCGCCAAATAAGTTAAAACTTCATACTTTGCTACAACTAAGTTCATTTTTTTAAAAAACCACGAGGTAGACTAATTGTAAGCTCATTCAAAGCTTTAGCTCTAGAAAAGAAAGAAATCTAATGGAAAAAATACATTAAGTGTACAGATTATTCCAATTAGTAACTAATAATTAAATAATCCGTTATGACATAGAATCTACTTTCAATTAAAATTTTTAAGAAAGATTATGCACTACAGACATTTTTAACTATCTTATGTACAGTGACAACCAAATGTGTTCTAAGGTCAAACCCATCACAACTTCTCAATATAAAGAATATATTTTCTTATGAAAGACAACAACAAAACATGGAGTTAAAAGAAAAGAAAATGTATCTGTATGGAAGCCTTATTCAATGACAGTAAGATTTTAAAAGCTTTGTTGTATATTACATAGTAATTAAATTCATTAACTGAAACCAAACACCACATGTTAACACTAAAGATAAATTGCTAGGGTTGCAGTTAGTCAAATTATGCAACATTTTTTTTAAAACAATAAATACTTTCAAACAAACAGGAAATTTTAAAATGTAAGTGTAACAAAACAAAAATCTTTTAAAATTTAATGGTAAATGTATTTTCTTTAAAAGAAAAGGAATATTTCTTTTTAGATAATATTCTAAACATTACTCTAAACATATTTTTAATAATTGTGCCCATCTTCTAAGAAAAAAACAATGAAATAAAATTGGTTATTACTTTTCTGCCATGAAATAATTTAATCATTAAACAAATCATAGGAATGATTGTTCATTAAATAATACTGTAATAAAGGTACACAAAAATATTTTAAATAATTTCAAAACAGGAAAAGAATGTGTGATTAACTTCAAAAAAAGTCATTTCAAGTTTTAAAAATGCTGTACATTTTTTCAAATTAAAGGAATATAGAAATTTTAACAATGAAGAATTTTTAAAGGCATCAAAAAATAAATGTATACATAAAAAGTTCTGAATAATAATTTAAAGGTTAATACTATTTTGACAAAATTTAAGTCGATTTAACAATTTCTGTTTGTTGTAAAATGACAATTAAATTTAGTCTTAAGTTATTTTCAATTTTTTTTAATACAGGACTATTGTAAAATTTAGGGTTTAAGTACCAATTTTTATACAAATGAGACCTGTACAGTTAAACTTTTTGTTGACACAAGATTTGTCTAAACTGATTTTAGTGTATTCTTTTAGTATATTTTACTGTTCAAGATAAATATTTTTAAAACCCAAATTGACATGAATGTGCATTCTAAAAAATATATATATTTTAAATTTACAAATTTAAATATGAATTATTATTGTACTTTTTTAAAATACAACAACCTCACAGCAATGTATACCATCAATATTTATCCTTCTGTCATTATTTAAATAATTCTTTAAACTCCAGAAGCATAAATTCCACTATTTTGCTCTGATAAACTGTTTGAACAGCTAAACTTCCTCCTTCCTCTTCCTGCCATAATAAAGTTGGACCAAAAACTATTGCAACATTTTGGGTTTGCATACGATTCACAGCACTCATTTCCACAACTCTGAGGATGATTTAAAATAAATTCATTTAACAACTTAAAACTTGAAGAGAGTTGTAATATATTTTAAAAATTAAGTGGAAGTAATTTCCCGTTAACATTCGCTTACATACTTATATAACAGTAAGGGGAAGGCACTTCCAGTGCAATCATACCATAGAATTGTTTTTATTGGTTTTTGATACTCAATTTTTTTTTAATAGAATAAAATTTAATTGTATAGAGGAAGGAATTGCGCAGCAAGTGCACACAAACAATATGTGTAGAGTAAATAGTGATTTCCAGTCACCAGAAATCACTCCAAGTTTGAAAAAAATTTAGTGAAGAAGATCTTTAAACTAAGAATAAAATTTTGTCCACCTAACTACAAATATATTATCAGTATTTTAGAAAATGGAAATAGAATCAAGTACCACTTTCAAATACGGGGGGGGGGGGGGGGGGGGGGGTCACTCAAAATTTGAGAGTAATCCAAGTATTAGATCTTATACTTATAAATGAAAATTTGTCTACCTATATGAACCAGAACAAGTTATTTTGTTCACAGGTAAATAAAGAAAAATACCAATTCTGATTACTGGAAATAGTTCAGAAGTTGATAGAAACCTGAACATACTACAAATTTGATATAATATTTAAATATGAATGATATTTTGTCAACCTAACTAAAACTCAAGTTATTGTGTTTATGTGTACACACAGACAGGCAGATAAAATTTGCAAAAATAAGTTTTCCAGATCCAGTGTAACATAAAACGTTAAACTTTGACAAAATCTTGAATTCAGACTGTATACACAATTACAATACTTCCATTATATTTCAAATACGATAAAAGTAGGTTGTAAATTGTCAAAATACATGTTAAATACTTCCTCTATAACTCTATTACTGAGAACGTAATTTAAAACTAAAATTATTTGCTGAAGTGAGTTTACTTTTAATTAACCTAAAATTTTTGTTAGGGAAAGTTTTACTTTCACGACCTTTACAAATTGAAAAATAAACATACTTGCATAAATGTGAAAACAACTCTTTTAAAGTGTGATAGTTGCATCTAGGTAAGTCTGACACAGCAGATTTAAACAAAGATAACTTTTCTTTCCTTGTTTCCTTTTCTGAAGAACAAACATTATTTGGATCAGTTATTTTCAACAATCTTTATTTAACAGTCACTCTAATATACATTTACAAAAGAAAAAGATCAACTCTACTTTATAAGCCATCAGGTAAGCCAATTAACAACAGACATGTTTAAAAATAATAGTTTAGAAAACCTTGAAGTAGTTATTTTATCAGGCAAACATTTTAAATAAATATTACAACAGAACATTACGCCATGTACTTACTTATAGCTTCAAAAAATTTGTTATACATATGAAAAGGAAAGACAGGTTCCTTAAGTTCTCTAAAAAATAGTTTAAGAGCTCCTGTGAGTACATGAATATCCCACTGGTCATCATACAAATTGTAAGAGTTATCTGTGGATTCAAATGGTAAAAAAATGATGAGAGCAACATATACTTCTTATTAAAATTCTAGACATTTTAATAACAGATAGCATTGAGTTGATGTAATGTAACTATGACATATTAGAAGCAATAACTGAGTCAACCATCCAGGACCATTGGCCAGCTCAAGCTAACCAACCAGCGATCATATGACAGGTCACAAAATTACATGATCAGAAACATTTGAGACAAAGGCAACATGCTTAGATAGAAGTCCATTATGTAGGTAGCTTTGGTAGGATAAGTCACCTAATCAGGTTTAGTAGGAGAGAGAATTATTAGTAGGAATCATTGATAAGGAGTTAAAATTAGAATTAGGTGTTGTGTTAGTATTTTCTATTTATATATAATAACTGGCCTTTGTAAATATGGACGTTAGAAAAAAAAATCACACACAACCCAAAGTTTTAACTTTATTATAAGTTTTGGTTTTTTCCGCTAAGATTATTTCTCCTTAGTTTCAAGTGGGATCTTCCTGTTTGCCTGTGAAAGTTTTTAATTTTGGGTTTTTTACTATATGAATGTCTTCCACAAACTTACATACAGAGGCACAAAGTCCATTTCATATTAAATGTTCAACTGGTGGGGGTAAAAATGGTTATTTTGTTGTTTGTACAAGTGGCTATGTGTATGTTAATTTAGCTTAAATATGAAAAGTCAAGACAGGTGCAAAAACTACCACAATACCACAAGTACCTCTGTCTACAGCACAACGCAACCTTTGGATTTCTGCCATATTACCACTGATACGATACAACCCATCGTGAGTTAATCCTTAAAAAAAAGATAATAAATACTTTTTTAACTAAAGAACATAAAATAGTGACTGATTTCAACCAATAATTTTTTGTTATTTTCTAATACTTTTCTAATACATTGTTTTTTAAAAAACTAATAATTTGATTTACCTAGTAAATAAATGTACCATACAATTCCTAAGGGTAGAACAAAAATTAGTAGAACTTACCTTTTCTTTCTACTGCTTGTATACAACTATGTACAAAATTCGGTACATGAACTTTTTCTCTATCACACAGTTCAACCAGTTTAGAACCAAAAACAGAATCTAAGATTAAAAAACAATATTTTCTACAATGACCATGAACAAAGTTATAGCTAGTCACCTCATCAGACTCTCTCTTTTTCTTACAGCATAATTTAAATTTTACATGTGGCATTTGTGAAAAATTGTATTTAACACTTAAAACCTCATTGAACCTTTAATAAATGTAGTTTTAATTAAGTAATGCTAATGTTATGTTTGGTTCTTAAACAGAAATTACCTTTGATAATCCCCCTCTTATAAAGATCTTCCTGTGTAGGACGCCGTGAAATAAAGCCTAATAGCTTTGCCCTTATCCCTACCATGTTTTTGTTCTTATCAATATTATGAATGTTTTTATTATCATCAGTTGAAATACTTCTATTAAATGCTGAAAGTAGATAATTGTAAAAGAAATCAAAATTTTATCATCCCATTGATAATTCAAATAGGAGTATAACCATTTCTTGTAGGTATATAGAATTGTTAAAAGGATTAATAATGCTTTCCTTTTGGTTTTTTACCTTTTTTGTCATCTTTTTTGTCATCCTTTTTATCATCTTTTTTATCATCTTTAATATCAAAATCTCGAGGACTAGAATCTGATAACTGAAATAAAAAGAGTTAAGATACAATGCATATTGTAAATTTATTTTTCTTTCCAATATACTGAGTTAAAAATTGAAATATAAAGTTTAAATAGCAGATAAAATAAAATTATTAGCTTAATAATGAACACTACAGCACCTACGTTTAATTGTTTAAAATATATTAAAACACCTGTTAAAATGTCGGATTATAAACAGATGACAAATCAGATAGGTACTAAAGGTAAAATGTAAACTAAATCTATTTTTTTCATCCACTACAAGCAATAGCAAAACAGGATACACCCATATAAAAGATAGAAAGCCATGCAGTTTCTTAGTCTGATTAGCAAAGAATTTTTAGAGAAAGATTCTGCAAAGAATTAAATGACTAATTAGCTTTTGTCTCTTATGAAGTACTTACAGGTGAAACATCATTGGCGATTATCTTCATCCTAAAAAAAACTTCTCGAATAAATTTCTCATTGTCAGATTGAAAAAGAAATATCCCAGTGCTGACATTTAGCTGCAGAAGAAAGACAGTCAAAATAGTAAAGAAAAATGTCCACATTTTATTGAAACTGTTTAAATTTTAAACACAAGTGAGTTACAGTACAGATAATTTTATATTCAACACAAACTAAAATATACCATAATTGTATTTTTCCTGTTTGTTATCTCTTTGGACGGGTTGAAGTCAATGTGTGCACCCTGTAGACTAACCACTGTTTCTGGTTTACCATGTGGGGAGTTTATTTTATTTGAAGCAGCCTTCTGGTCTTTGTAAAAAATTAAATTGGATCCTTGAATCACTAAATAAATCTGTGACCAGTTTTTCCTAGAAAATATAAAGCCATATATAAATATAATTCATGTTAACTAAAAATAAGCACTGAATGTAAGATTAAAAATCCACTTATTGTCATGTTTTGGTTTTCATGTAAATAAGTACATTTTAGAAATTCAAAATTTTTATTGGATTTAAACTGCACATCAAAACAATTTATATTTCATGTTTTCAAAAGAAAAAGATAAATTTGAACATACTTGATTTTCTTTTTACCTCCCACATCAGTAATCTTGGCCTTATTTATGTACCCTTCAAGAGCACCCTGTTAAAGGACGAATGACACAAAGCATTATAATAAGTTAATTATCTTCTTAACTCATTAGTCAAGAGAAGTTTTAATCATTGATTAAAAAATTTAAAAATTTAACATCCTTGTTGCTTTTTTTTTAAAAAGTAGATGTAAAAAGTATTAATCTTGTCAGTTATAGAGCAATTATATACGTTATCTGTCACATATTAAAGAAGATTTTATTGATTAAAACTTTTCCTTTTGATTCTGTCTGTTTAAGTTAACCTTATGATACCTGACAATTACCACTACTGAGTTTATTTTTTGTTAAATCTTAATGATGAATGGAAAATCTTACTGAAATTTTATTAGTCAATCATTTATTGAAGATATAATGAGTGAAGTGGGAAAATGAGGGTAAATTTCAGACCAAAATTTCATGTAAGAGAAAAATATATGAATCATAGGAACACGAATTAGGAAGTATAAAAGATAAGTTACATTTAAAGTGTGCTATATTCCATTTTCTATAGCTAGTACACATGCAAATGAATCTTGTTTTAGCCCAAAAGAAGAAGATCTTTTAAAGAATGCAAGAATTGTATTTAAATTTTTTTAAACATTTGTAACAGCATAGAGGAAATTCTCCTAACATTTTGTTATCATAAATACAATTATTGTTTGATGTTTCAAATTGGGCTGGAGAAAATGTTAGCCAAGAGTAATTGGTTCAGTGTAAAAGGTATCACAATTTACTTCCTCTTAGTTCAATTGATGCTTAATTTATCATTTCCTGCAATCACATCTAAACTTGTACATATTTTTTTCTACTGTAGGTTAAAAATATGTTAAAATGCATAGCCCATATAAAACAAAAACCATTATCTTTTGAATGACAATATTTAAATTATTTAACATGCACCACATGAAGAAAAAATCAATGTATAGCTATAATTTTTGTTTATAAGATGTTTACAAAGAAAAACATAAATTAGTTTATGTTTACATCCCAAAAACATGCAACCATGCAAATCAAATAATAATGGAAAAACACAAACTAGAAGGGGAAAAACAATATTTATCAAAAGACAACTTACAGTGTTCATAAATGGTTGAAGCTGTATCATTAAAGTAGTAAAAAGGAGAATGACTTGAAATACTACCTTCTATAGCACTACTCAAATATAAATTACAATACAGTAGGAGAATCTTACATTTCCTTAATGAAAATTTTAAATATTTTCTTCATTTATTTAAAACAATAAAAAAAACTTCATTTATTTTCAAGTAGACTTTAAAAAGTTACCTCTTGAGGCGCTAATGAACTTGTGTTGGAAGTCGGAAGATTATTGGGCCGCTGTGGGCCTGTACTGGTAGAGCTAACTTGAGTGGGGCTTCGACTACGCTCCTTGAAAAAAAGATTTAACAAAAAATTATTTATATTAGGAAGCCAAAATATTCCTTAAATTGAATGATTAATGAAAACATTTATATTAAAATGAGAACAAAAAAAAATTATATTTTCTTAATTACTACTTTTCAGTATAATTTGACATGCAAGAGAAAGAACGGCAATAAAAACATTCAAATAAAAAAAAATATTAAAACAAGATTTAAAAAAAAAAAAAAACAATGTCAAAATAATATGCTTGTTACCCCAATGCAAAACACTACCCGATTTTGATATTTAAATAATAAAATAAAATATGTATATTATATGTATGTGTGTATATATATATATATATATATATATATATATATATATATATACATGTATATACATGTATGTGTATATATATATATATATATATATGTATATATATATATATGTATGTATATATATATATATGTATATATATATATATATATATATATATATATATATATATATGTATATATATATATATGTATATATATATTTATGTATATATATATATATGTATATATATATATATATATATATATATATATATATATATATATATATATATATATATATATATATATATATATATATATATACACACACACAAAAAAATATAAACAAGGAAGCAACATACAACATATTACGATACAAACAATAAAATTTATAATCTTATTTAATTGCAATTGTTTCTTTAATTGTGCACTGTCTTTATTAATTTCTGTATTTTTTCTTTTGGTAAAATAGACTACATACAACAAGTAATAAAAACAAGCATTTGAAGTTATGTATTATAAAAGGCTATTTTCTTATAAGATATAAAGTGAATCGCTAGAACTAAGTAATAAAGCATTTTAGCCAATCTAACTATTTGCAAGAAATATGAGTACACACATTTACTAATGTATTCAAGGATTGTTAATTAACTAAGTAACACTGATGTAAGAAATAAAAAGTTAAACAAATATGAGAAATGAAAATTTGAGCACATTTAAAAGAATAATACCAAAGGAAATCAAGAGTCATAACCATATCCAAAGTAATTGTAAAATTCTGTTGTAATAATTTTTCCTTATTTTTTATTAAACTTTTAGTCAAATATGTATAAGAATAAAAATCAGAAAATTGTTTAAAATTAGTGTTTGATTTCAATTTTATCTAGATAAATTAGTCAGAGCTAAATTGAGTTTACTTTAAACATTTTTATCTCTAATAGTAGCAATACTTGTTTAGAACCCCAAAGAGGACAAAATATTAATAAGAGCAGAAAACTACCTTAAAAGTTAATTACTAACTATGTTTGTCAATAGTATGTGTTGTATCCATTGATAATTCATTTTACTTTAAAATTTGAATAGCAAAAAATCTTTTCCTAACTGTGACATTGTCTTTATTTCAATCTAGACATTTGTTTACTAAAACCAAACAAAATTGAAACATTTAACAATTGCCACTGAATACTGAAACATATTTCAATATTAGCTAATGATTTCAATAACTAGCAACTGAGTGTGACCCTCATTTAATATTTTAAGCAAGAGCAAACAAGAAATTACATTGGAAACTGGCACAGGTTTAACAGCCATAAAGTTTGATGGAAGTGTGGATGCCCTGTTGATAGGATTTGATATTTCAAGTTGGCCATATGAAGACATTGCTTTTGTTGCTCTCACAGACTTTGTTCCAAATGTGCTCATGCGAAGGCCTTGTGATTCCCATTTCACTTCCCGTGACTGAGTAGCAAGCAATATATTATATGAGACAAAAAGATATAATAATCTTTTTATACATTTGATGCAACCAGATAAAAGCACATATCATGACCTAAATCATTTTAATTCCAAAATCTTAAATACATTATGGAATTATATGATACTACCAAAATGAAAGTGCTGCAATCTTAAAATTGCCCATGCTTCTCAAGTAAACAAATTTGATTATTTTCCAACTTAAGTAAAAGAAAACAAGAACTACATTTAAAATGTATGACTTTTTAAAATAGAACTATTTCTTAACATTTAAATTGGTTAATGTTGATATACTTAAAACTGAACTTGAGAAAATGGGCTGCCTTTAATTTAGCACTTCTTCTTTTGACAGTAAGACTACTCCTATAATTTCAAGCAAGTGGTTTCTTCTATTGACATTAACCAGGTTCCATTAAAACAGCATGCAGACCAAATTAGTTAATGATTCTTTTGTTCAAAATTCTAAAATGTGTACATTTATAATAACTCTTATATGATTTACTGTTTTAAAAAATAATACTATTAACATTAATTTCAAAATCATACTATTTTGTAGTTTTAAAAACCGGTGTTTTTTTTTATTTGAATATAATGTGTAAGAAAAATTATTTTAGTCAACTGTCTTTTATTGTGCAACTTCATATTTTCATTATATTTATTTGTATTGTGCAGGGAGGGTTACAAATATCAATTTCTATTCAATAGGATATATAAACAACGCTTTTGATTTATGACTATTTATCTTTTTAATATTAATAGAGATATACAAAGATATATATATTATAAGTTATTGATAGTAAAACAATTATTAAATATATTTTCAACACAATTTTATAAGCATAATATATGGATGTTTGACAAATTCAATTTCATTAAGATACTAATTTAGTTCTAATTTTCCTTCTCTTTTAACTTTTTTTGGTTAGGATTCTTTTTAATATAATATATTATAATATATTATAATAAATTATATAATAATATAATTTTAATTAATTTGATTACTATAAATCATGCAGTAGTCACGTATCTAGTCTAGAAAGGCAAGAGAAATTATCAATCTATACCTCGTTGATTACAAGTTATTGACTATGTATCAGAGACTTTTTTTTTGCATTACACAGTTTAACAGCTTCAAATTTTAAAATCTAGCAAATTAAAATCGCCTTGAAATAGTATGGCCAGGTGGTATTTGAAGCTTGGTAAAATAACTTAGCAAAAGGCATAAATGAATAAACATTGAAAAAGTCAAATCCAATTTTATAGCTGTATTTATGATTGATAATATACTACTTAAGTACAAAAAAAAAAGCATATATGCTTTCTTTTAATATATTAGCAATAACTGGAAAAAAAACTGACAACTGTTAGATCTGTGATAATACAATTTAAGATTTTTTTTTTAAATAGAGGTAACTTACAAATAAAAGTAAAAGGAGAGGTAAATATGCAGCTGTCAAAAACAGGAGAGACTCTGATATTTAAATTGCTATGAGGCAAAAGCATGTATCTAAGCAAGGAGAGATTATATGGAATGTGAATAGAAATGCAGCTGTGTGTTAATATTTTTGTATACATTAGGTGATATGTGAATAATTTGATATATTTAGATACCAAAAATCATAATATTTATCTTTAATTTAAAAGGAAGGCCTAAATTTATTTATTCATCAGTAATTTAGTATAAATAATTATTTTTCAGAGAATTGATTCTTGCAAAAGGATAATTTTTAATTAAAGAGATATTTATCATATTTATTTTAATGTTTAAAGATAATATTAATGGCCCATGCAGAACTTATTCTGTGAAATTGGGCATTGGAATACCTGTACAACTTGCTCAGTGTTTTGCGAAGCTAAATCTTTATCAATGGTCAAAGGCGTTGTAGGAAGGGTCCACAGAGTTTCAGAGGAACCCACCTTGTGGAAATACTTGCGACCCACCTTGTCAACTAAGCTCTTCCACTGAACATCATGCAAAATTGTGTAATATATAGAAGACAGTAAATATGATTATATTCTTTAAATGCTATAAAATCAAAACAAGAAGATATTAAAGATTTAGAGAAGCAAGAATTTTTTTCTTATACAAATTACTAAATTAACCAAATGTTAGATTTTCTATTTATAAAAATTGACTTTTTTAATGCAAACACATCATCTTTTAAATGTTGCATCTAGAATGAATATTATAGTTAAAAATTCATGATGCTTCCACCAAATGATTTTTATTGTTAAGAAATGTATGATAAAATGAACATGCAAACACATTCTTCAAGTTTAAAGAGGCTGTTTGAAAACAATGACTAATCTATAAATGCATACTTTCATTCACTTTCTAGCTGACTGCAATTCTTCTGGCACATGCATGCTTTTGATACATTTTTAAATTAAAACAGCATCAACACAGAAGCACATAGAAGGGAAACTTTCCATAAATTTTTTTCTTCCTTGCTTTCAATTAATCACTCATTTAATAAAATGTATATTAAATCAAACAAATAAATAAGCAACTTAGATTTTAAAAGAAAGCATTATTGAAATTTTACTAATTTACTTCAATCTAAATTGTTAATGTTATTTTTTAATAACTTTTTATACGCATTGAAAAACCAAAAACAAATTGTTTGATGTAGAGAATATACTTATGTTGTCATCAATTTTCTGTTAGTAAAAAGTTTTCTTTACTATCAAAGATAAAATAAATGAATTACTTAATTGTAGAAGTGTAGTAGTTTATTAAAATGAGGTTAATTTATGTTTATATTGTCAACTTGTGTTGATATTCCCTAATTGTAACAATCATAATGTCATCAAAATGGTAAAAACCTTCAATCTCTAAGAGATATCACTGATTTAACGAATTTAATATTTTATAAAAGTTTTAAAAAACCATTTAACCAGCATACAAACCAAAAACATTCTTGGGGAATCATTAAATATCAGACAGAATGAATTGTGCAACTACAGTTTTTACTTACTAATGATTTAAGAACATATAAGATAAAGATTAAGACTTTAGAAAGTTTTTATTAAAAACATTAACAAAAATGAAAGAATCTAGTAAAATATCTTATTTTTAGTAGAGTAATAGTGTTTTCAATTGTGTGATAAACAGGTATTTTGTTTCTTTTATGCAATAAATTGAGTAAATAAAATTAACATTTTTTAAATATCCTGGCAGACTTGTAAACCATGTATAAACATTTCAAAACTTAACTAAAATGTGTAACTGCATAAATTTAATATGCAAAATAAAATTACAAAAATAGATAAGACTTTATTGAAAGAGTTTTCAAAAATAAGAAAAGTTGATAGGGGAAAGATGTTTTATTTACATTACAAACAATTTATTAAAAACATATTTAAAGAAACTAATATTTCTCTTTGCTTTATCACAAATTTTATTTATTATTTTGGGCAGAATAATAAATTAATAATGGGTTTGGTGACAGAATAATTTTTGAATTATCTTTTTAATTACAATTATAATTTTACAAAAATGTTTTTTAGAATAAACAACAATTCACAAAAACAGCTCAAGCTTATAAAAGACTTAATTGTTTATCATATACTGCACTAAATCCTTTTTGTAAAATAACCAACTAAGCTTAATATATTTAAAGTAAAAAGAAGTTTGGACCAACAGCTTAAATACTTTAACAAATTCATTACTGTTTTCTTCAATTTGTTTTTATAATAAATTGTGTACCTTTTTGTTTGTTGAATTTCTGTGTCAAATTTGTAAATGTAATATAAAATTTTAAGAAAATGTCTAACATGTATAAAAAGGCAAAATAGTTATCAAAAAGGGACCAGGTGTGATCAGGATTTTTATCAGTATATAATAAGTTCAACAAATAGAATTTTTTTTATATATAGAGAGGTACTTATTACTTACACATCACTACTTTGACAGAGAAGGAAAGAAAATTTGAAACTGTTAAACTTCTATGTAAATCTGAAACTTTTAAAAAAACTTTTATAAAAGATAAAAGTTGCATTAGAGGTCTTACCTTTTCTTGGGTAGATTTATGAATAAAATATACACTTCCATTATCATGAACTTGTTCATACTCTGGTGGAATGCCTGGCCAGCTTTCAGCGCTGGATACTGCATTTTGGGGTGGAGTTATGGGGCTTTTTGGCTAGAAATTTAGTAAATGTGTGCTTATTTACAACCATAGGAAATAAGAATTTTAAACATCGTTTTAAGAATAATGAACTAATATTAATTTACCTGTTCTGATGACGGTTTGTCTTTCCTGGGAGGTTTCCACATTCTTTCTCCAGTTTCCCTGTTTACATAATAGTTCCTTCCTAATGTAGGCTCTTTATAAATATCCCATGGTAATCCCTTCACAAGCACTTTAACAAAAGTACCTTCAGTTGGTAAAGGTGGTGGAATAGATCCTTGAATTAATTCCTGGGAGACAGGTGGCTTACTTACAGGTTCATTGATACTGTGAGTATTGCTTGGTTTCGCAGAGGGCTTTACAAATATCAAAAGTCAACAATTAATTGTATACTTGTTTTTAGGTTATAAAAATGATTATAAAATATTTTTTTATAAAAATAGTTCATATAGTTAAAACAAACAAATGTATTGTTGATCATAACAGCTATTACAATCAGTTAACTTACAAAGCTATCTTTATGATATAATATGAATGGATAATAACTGAATGCCAAAAAAAAAAGGCTTCTAATATTTTACTTTATAATAATTTTTTGTAATGCCTTAGGTTCATTATAATTTTTTTTTAAATTAGTGAAAAATTATATAACAGATTTTTTTTTAATTACCTGAGTTGTTATGCCAGCAGTTTTACGAAATTCGTCCAAGTTTACATATTCTCCATCATCACTGTTATTAACTATTTTTGGTAGTACATTCGTATCAATTCGAACATCCATTTGTGTTGTTGCATTATTGGAAGCTGTTATATTTTGTTTTGATTCAGTTTCAGAGATACATATTTTAGGATCATTTATTGGTGACTCAGGGTCATTTATTGGTGACTCTGATGAATCACTATCTTCCCCATCATCTTCTCCAAAAGTTAACACTTTGTCCAAATCAGATAATGCTTTCCATGGACTTTTTTCAGGAACAATTTCAACATACTGTGCAGGTACAAAGAATGATTCCCCATCATATTCTGTAGGATCATATACTTCCCACCACTCTGTATTGGTTTTTTCAATAAGTCTATATATATCACCTTGTTTTATTTCAACTTTTCCATTGTCCTCTGAATAAGTATAATCATAAAGGACTTTAACTACCTCTTCTAGTTCATCAGTCATTGTAATTTCTGAAAACAAATCATTCAATAAACATAAAAATTTGGTAAGTGATTAAATCAAGGTTTATACCAATTTTAAATTTTTACATTACTTTTTTTTATCATGCAGCCTACATAGAAACATTGCAGACAAGTAGAGTGCTTCTCTTGACCTTAATAAAATACCAATACTTTCTAAACCCAAGACCTACCATTAGCCTTACCTGAGGTCTTAGTCTTAGCCACCTAATGGCCCTTACCCTATGGCATGGCTATGGCAATACCTTATAAGTTAAAAACTATAGGCTAACTAAATTTGATAATCACTACTAACAACTTAACATTAACAAGACAAGAGTTAAACAAACAAACAGTGTCATACACTTATTTCTAATTTTAAAGTAGAATCTAATGCTAATGTAGATTACTAGACTTAGATCTAGACTATTTTCAAACAAGTCCATTCTCGAACTGGTAACAACAACAATAACAATTATAATTTTTAATAGAGCTACTGAACTTGTAAAGTACTGTATACTATTTCACTAATCTTGAGAGTATTCTAGAGTAGACACTAGATCTAGATTCTACTTTAACAACTTTAGGTAGGCCTATACTATAGACTAGTAGACTTCACTAGACAACTAGATATTAGTAGATAGAATAGATTGCATCTATATGGACCCAGGGCTGAATTGTATAAAATAGCTGTATGTAGGGCTACAACTACAACAGGGGTGACAAATAAAAGTGACATCAACGACAATCTCAAATAGAAATGGTCTTTCTATGACAAATTCTATATGGCTACACTATTCATTTCAAATTTCTAAACCCATGTGAACTTACAGTGACTCTAGCTAGACCGTGTTGGTATTTTTCTTGCACTGACAAGAAAAAGTGAACGGGCAATCATCGAGCAAAGACATTTGGAATTGGCATATTTAAAAACCTAAAATTATTTTTAAAAAAGATTAAAAAAATAACACAAATCAACTATCTAGACAGATCTACAAATTTAGTTGAATACTTTCTTCCCGCACATAACTGACTGATTACCCGGTAATCCAAGTTTAGTTAGGTTCCGAACTGAGAATTGGAAAGTGTGACGTTCTCCACAAGGCCATGACCTCTTACAATAAACAACTGATAATTGAGGATTTTGTATAGGTAGCTAAATTGGCATCGGGAATTAAGAAATAACCTAACACTAGCAAATTCAACTAAACACAACAAAAATCCACAAGAAAAATCAAATAATCATAAAAGTAAAAGCTATAGCCTAAATTAATTTTAAGCAGAATTAACCATTATTTGTTTTTTAGAAAGGTGTGGGTGGATTTCTAGATCTTTAGCTCTCAAAGTCTCAGCCCTCAGTTCAAGCTTTTTTTTACACAGTAACAGACAACATTTTACACAGTTGAGTTGACTAACAAGTTAACAACACAGTTGATTAACAGCTAAGCCTTAGGGCAAGGCTTAGGCTTAACTGTTTAAACTTTTACTTTTACAATTTACTGTAGGCCTACTTACTTATTTTATATTTTATGTTTGATACTTAGTCTTACTTACTTAATAGTATAAATACTTAGTTTTGTTTACCCTGTCGGATGATTTTAGATACTGATGTCCGATAATTATAATCTCGACTAACTTTATCATTAGAAATTAGTTAATTAGGATTAGGCGTATGGTAGGACTAGGCTTGACTAGGGTAGGGTTAGGGACAGGGTTAGCATTGACATTAGCCAGCAATGTGTATTTATTTAGTTAACTACCCAGTAACTTTAACTTAACACCCCTTTTTTACAGAAGATTTTATTATGATTATCGGACACTTTTATAAAAATTCCCTCACACAGTGTGTGTATCAGTGTATTGACTCAGTACTGAAGTATTGAATATGTAAAATTATGTAGGCCTATAATATTATAAGTTATAAGACATAAGAGTAGTGTAAGACTAAGTACAGAGTACAGTAGTACAGTTTGTACACACAGTACAGAACACAGTACTAAGTACACAGATCTACACTACACTCAACACTGACTTAACTGACTAGAGTCTAGACAGTGAGTCCAGTGACTATCACTAAGTGACATAATCACTATCCTCATTCTAGTCTCAGAGTCATTCTGCGAATGCACCATTCTAGCTCTAACTCTAGCTAGTAGCTAGATCTAGCTAGTCTAGAATAAGATCGAGACTCTTACGATCTAGATAACATCAATATAATAATATATCATGTACTTACTTTAGAACGGGTATTTTAGGTATTAATAAATCCAGTGCTTCTACACCATCATAAAAAGTAAAATTTTCTCCTTATTAGAGAGATACTTTACTTTACAAATGTACTACATAAAGTCAATACGGAAGCTTAAGGTCAGCCATTAAAAATCGCCTACTAAGACAACACCGCGGAGATGATTGCGAAAGATTTCCATTGGTCTAGATCAGGGGTCTCCAAACTACGGCCCGCGGGCCGGATGCGGCCCGCGAACTCCTCTAATCCGGCCCGCGTAGATGTTTTTGCCCAACGAAATATCGTTTGTCGGTGATTGTTGAGGAACTTTGCCCAGAAAAATCGAATGCATGCCTGGAAGAAACTGGCCCCCGAACTGAAATTCGATAGTTAATGCGGCCCTCGGACTGAAAAGTTTGGAGACCCCTGGTCTAGATTCTAGATCTATAACTTTATTTAATAACACGGCCAGTTTCTATTATACCACCTTAAGCCCTCATGGACCCTATCATTAATTTTAATTAACTAAAATCCAGTCTATATCCGAAAAAAAATAGAATCTACTTATTTTTACTTTGTTTTCATTGGTTTCTTACGTCAACAGTCAATAAGAAACGTGATTTATCGTTATAATCCAGCAAACTATACAAGCTGCTCTGCTCTAGTTAAAGGATAAAAAAAGTCTTAATTTACTTCCTAGAGGATTATAAATATTTAAAAATATAAAAATAAACCGTTTCAAATCATTGTATCTTTAACGGCAGCCTATGTGTTTATTTCCACCCCGCCTGCGTATGACGTCATTACTGTATTTTTTAAATTGAATTAATAGGGTCGTTTATAAGGGCGGCTGCCCCGGGCGCCGACAGTAGATGATAGGGGTTGAATTCATCTACGGTGGGCGCCAAAGCATGTAGAAAAATAACAGTTAGTGTTATTTTTTACTTTGCTCTTTCGAATGAGCGAGCTTTTTAATCATTATTATTTTGTGTGTTATTTCGTTCCACTTTTTTTTTTTTAAATTTCACTTATACAGAGTATAAAGAATGTATTGCAATCGTGCACAAAAATTAAAAGACATGTTGACAGTTTTCGTTGTGTTACATTTCACACCTCGGTAGAGAGCTGGGCTGCTGGCCCGTAAGTGTCGAGTTCGAATCCGGGTTCAAGTCAGTAGACCATCCCTGAGTCCACCCAACTCTGATGGGACCTAACTCACGTTAGGGAAAGTAAAGGCGGCTGGGCATAGTGCTGACCACACTATCTTTTCATATGCCGAGGTCACAGAAACAAGTGAACTCTACTTCACTTGCCCTATAGACCGTCAGATTTGAAAGGGAACTTTACTTACTTACAATTACACCTCACACTATATCATATTCGGAATATAAAATGGATATATTAATATCTTGAAATCATGACCAAATCTAAATCGTGATTTTGACAAATTTTTACATTTGACATCCTTCCAGTACCGGAAAAAAACTTAGCTTCCTGTCCGTATATGTATGTGTTTATCTGTAACCAAGATAACTTAAGTACCTTTTCAATTATGTTAACCAAATTTCATATACAATTATATTATGTCAAATGTGTAGTTTCCTACCTATTTCGGGGCGAATTCCGGTAAACGGAAGTGGTACGTACTTTATTTCCGGTCTCTTAAAAGCCGATAACTTAAGTACTATTAATGCTAGGTATACATGACTCACTTTCGATTTTTTAGTTAACTTCCTCTATTCTGAAGTGGTATTTTACTCTAAAATATTGATACCATAATTACCGTTTCAGCTAGGTGGAGGAAATTGTATACGGAGGTAACAGATCTTATTTTCTTGTTATTTCTTTTTCATATTGTTAGTAGTTACTGGTGACCGGAAAAGTACTTTACGGTATTTTCGATTTCTCAAAAAATAATACTTCGGATCACGTACGGCAAGACTTGTTGAAATTGCACTGTGACATAAACTGTGACTTAATTTGACTTGACTTAGTCCTCTTTGCTCCTAAATGGAACATAGGTCCTCCACCATTTCCTTCCATGTCATACGATCCCCCCCCCCACCCCCCAAATTGCAGTTGAAGTTTTCTTAAAACATCGATTTTTTTCCAAAATCGTGTCTGAACATAGAGTATTTTAATCAATTCCTATTACAATTTATTAAAACAGTTGTCTAAAACGCGAAATAGCGTCTAAAATTCGTTTTCTAACATTGCTGTTTTATATTGCAAAAGTGTGACGTCCCACCATCAGACCCCCTTACCCTCATCACACACCATCACAAAATTACGGACCCCCCCTCCCCCCTACGAGTGTGACGTCATTTATGGACGACCCAATAAAACATATGCATATCTTGTTCGGCAGGCCTTATTTTTTATAATATTTTATCTATTATAAGAAATAGTATGTTTTAATTTAAGGGTCATCTTTCTATGACTTCCATAAATGAGCCGGTTACATGCTGTTCCAACTCAGTGTGTGGGGAGAGGGGTCCCAATTCCTACAGTATGTTTGTAGGTTATCAAAACAAAATGCCGTTATCCTCTAAACATATCGTATACCATACATTTACGCTTCTGTGCTCGCTTTTAAGCAACATATCTTTACTTTTGTAAATTAAACATTATCAACATTTTAGAATTTGTGGAATTTAACTGTTAAGGGCTCGATTTGTTTGTGAATTGATGTTGGTTCATAAAAAACAATTTCATTCAGGCATTTAAAAGAGATTATAGTGGTAGTGGAGGTAGGACAAAGCGGTTACTTTTATGCCAATAGTGGTCATGCGATTCATTTGTCTGGAGCCAATAAGTCGGGAGTCATTTTGTCTGAAGCCAATAAGTCGGGAGCCAATATGTCGGAAGCCCATTTGTCGGTAGCCAATATGTCGGGAGACCATTTGTCGGGAGCCCATTTGTTGGGAGTTCATTTTTCGAGAGCCTAAATGTCCGGAGCCCATTTGACGGGAGCCAATAAGTCGGGGCCCTTTTGATGGGGCTATGTTGACTGAGCCGTTTTGTCGAAGTCGATTTGACGGGGTCATAATAACGGGGCCGATTTGTCCCGGGCCGTTTTGAAGATGCACCGTCATCAATAGCCCGCCGTATCTTTAAGGTAGGGCGCTTGTTAAAACGAATGGAGGCGACATAGTGTTCTTAGGTCATCGAGTAATTGGGATGCTCCTTATCACAAGAGGATGCTACTGTATAGTATGACCTTTGAATAAGCAATACTACTTAACAATAACCATTTTACAATCATATCATATGTCTCTGAATGTGTTTTGCTCCTCAAATAAATTATATTTAGGCCTAGATCACAAATTATTTATTAACATTGTAGAAAGTGATGAAATAAAAAGTTTTGAAATTTAAAAAATATTTTATTTTCAAACAATAAAGATGCTTACTATTTCTCATGATCAACCTTATAGTTATATTGTTGAACACTCGATTCATACTGTCATTCAATGTATCATAAATTCATAACAGTTACATATAGACTAGGCTAACCTATAGGTTTTTCTAGCTTTCTTATTTTCTTTTTGATAAATAGACTGATCAAGCAATCACTCAGGGACAGTCACTCTCAACAAAATGGCTTCAAAATCTATAGATACTGTTCCACATGTTCAAGCTAAATTTTTTACCAAGCACGAAAAGTAAGCCAATGTTTATTAAGATTATGTGTTAACCTTCAGCGTTAAATGTTTTTCTAAATACTAAATAAATCTAGATCTAGTATAATTTCGTTTTGCTTTCGGAAATTCAAAAGTTGAAGTAACAGCAGAATTAAAAAAAGCAGTAGGCCCAGGTGATTTAGTTGCAAGTCAGTTACTCAGTAATGAGTAAATCATAGTGACAGTCAAAGTGACTCAAAGTCTAACTTTTTAAGACTGACTTATTTAGTTAAAACATTAGTTTAGCATTGGTTATTATTCCGGAATGGTATAGCAATAAAAAGCAGTAAAACAATGGCAGGTAAAATCTTAGTTTAGCGTCGTAAATTCGGCCAAAACTAGTAATGTGGGAGAGAGTGAATTAATGAATATGTCATTAAATATGAGTATATTTTCGTATATTTTGATAAAGTATTATAGATAATTGAATAATAGATCACCATTGATGGTTAAATCAATTTAAATTTCCTGAAATTAATTTTTATCAACCCTGTTCGAGATAGTAAATTTGCTATTAAAAACAGCAGCCATCTTAAGAAAATGTTATTGAGAGTAGCTTCCCTTTCATTTCTATTCGTATGAAAATGTATTTAAATATGATCGTCTTGTTGTATAGTCCATATTACAAAGCATTTTTTTTAAATGTGAATTTCCTAACAAACAACTTTATTAATTCTAGAAGCATTGTGAGATGCAACTTGTATCCATGTATTAAATCACGTTTTTTTTTAAGCTAATGTTTATTTGATCTTACTATTACTAAATAGTTGTGAGTTTTTTCTTATTGTTTTAATGTTCACTATTTTCATTTCAGGTTTTTCTTTTCATCAATTAGTAATTCTATCGTAACTTATGACATTTTTTTTTACTTCTCTTTACCTTAATTAAACCCCAACCTCCGTCATAGTTTTGTCGTCAATGTCACAACAAGTCATAATGTAAAAAATTACGCTTCACTCTGCCTTATCTAAGATCTCTAACCATAATTTTGACAACATTAAATGTTTGTCATCATTTATATATACAGAGAGACAAAATGTATTATCCACCAGCTTCCCTCGTAAAACATCATCTAAAACAATGAGCCAGTCCACCCCTTAAGTGCGTGTTGTCATTATGGTCGATCCCAAGTCTCCACCTGCCAGACACATTTTGGTTATCCTTTGTTGTCAAATTGTCAATATCAAGTACACAAGTGAGTGATATGGGGTTGTCCATAAATGATGTCACATATGATTTGCTACGAGAGTGAGTGAAGATTTGTGACGTCAACTCAGGCGGCTTTGCAATTTATGACGTGTCGGTCTCATGAAAGGAGGTGAACGGGGAAAAATAACTAGATGGTTGATGGAGAACCTCTATAATGCTTTGTTCAATCAAAATAACGATAAATAAACATTAGTATACGTATACCTTGCTTAAAACGAATCATCACAAATGTTGCAAGCCTGCTAGTTTAAGACATTCGGCAAAACGACCGCAACACATTATCCCCGTCAAAAAGGCTTGCCACCAAATGCCTGCCGACGAATAAGCCGCGTCTAATGCGGGGCGTTAGGAATACGGCCATTAGCATGGGGCCGCGTTAGAGCACCAGTAGGCTATCGCGCTTTGTAAGATGACGTAAATACTTAAATTCAATTTCGCTAAACTGCGCGAAAATTTAGTAATGTTCCATCGTTTGAGGAAATTTATTTTCTTGGACTTAAACTTAAATTGAAATATCATGTTGACTGTCTGGCTCTTAATTTCCGAATATCACTTTTAATGTATCAAGATTCAGAACTATTATTTACTTTAATATAAGTGTCATCTTATCGTTTATTGTGGTTTTTATAAAGCGCAGAGCAGCTACAAAATCGGACGGCCATCCTGTTTTCACCAAGCTTCTTTTGGAGCTTAATATGGGTAGTCTAGTTCTATACAGTGTGAGCTTAATATATTTTTAAAGGGCCGAAAGTCTCAAGACAGCAAGCTTGCAGAAATAACTACGTACGTTTAAATGGACGAGTGATAGATGTGTTAGGGGCTGTTTAATGAACACAAACTTATGTAATCAAATTAAACGTCGCAAAAGCGTCAAAAAGGCAGTGCTTGTTGTTTTTTTTTATAAAATTAGCCTAACGGTCGGCGGTACCGCTACATGACGTCACGTGCGAGCGTTAACTCGGTGACGATGTGCTAAGTGGGGGAATGAAAAAGGTGGGGTTCAAGAAATGCGACTCGGCAAGCTTTTTGCATTTCTTGACCCTTCTTAATAGTTCTTTCGTCCCCACTGAGAAAATGTATCACCAATGAATGACACGTCATACTTCTACAGCTGGTCTTTCTCCCACAACCATCCCGTTTTCACGAAAAAAAAACCTGACCCATCTCCAAAATCACATCGCTGAGTTCTACTCAACCTCTCCTCACCACAAATCACAATTTCTATCTGAAACAATATGTTCATATGTTTGCTCTGTAATAATGCACGCTGTCATTACTATCTTAAGAGCGACGTCATTTGTGAGCGATCTAATATTGATTTGCTTACTGCAAATAAAGTGTTAAAAAGTTCGACCTCCCAACAATTGTTGTGGTCTTGGATGCACACTATTAAGTCTGATACGGTCTATTAGTCATTCATGTCAACTATATTTTAAAAAAAAAAAAAAAATTACTATACAGGGGGTCATCCATAAATGATGTCACGCTTTTTTTTACTATTTTTACCTCCCCCCCCCCCTCCCCTCCGTCACACGTCGTCACAAAAAGCCAGACCCCCCCCTAAAATGACGTCACACCTCAGCCTACAACCCCCCCCCCCCCCCCTCCAAATTGCAGTTGAATTGTTTTTAAAGAGCTATATTTTTCCAAAGTCTTGCCTGAACTCTGTCAAAATAGAGTATTTTAATCAATTGTTATTACAATGTATTAAAACAGTTTTTTAAAACGCAAAATAACATCTAAAATTCGTTTTTCAAATGCAAAAGTGTGACGTCGCACCATCTGAACCCCTCCCCCTCATCACACAACGTCACAAAATTACGGACCCCCCCTCCCCCCTACGAGTGTGACGTCATTTATGGACGACCCCCGGCATATATTAAAACAATACAAAACAATCATATTAAACCACAAAATCAACACAAAAGACATGCGAATAGACAAATTATTGTTTTTAAAACATGGCCGCTGCTTGTATTTACTCATTGTTGTCTCGAACGGGGTAGTTTAAAGTTTATTCCAGGATATTTATGACTGGTTTGGTCTTGGATTGTGATTTGTTATTCAAATATCTGTTATATTATGTAAAATATGACATAAATATGGCCAAATGAAAGAAATATTCATTAGTTACCTTCATCGCACATTACTAGCTACGTTGGAATTTACGACGCTAAACTAAGATTTTACCCAATGGCAAAGTCTGTCACACATTTCTGGGGTAAAACTCCATTTTAGCGTATTTTATTCCCCCGCTTCACATTCACCTCCAGTTGAGCGTATTTTATTATAAACACAACCAAAACACACAAAAACGTTAGGAAAACACTAGATCTACTTATTTGTTATGAATGTGATTTTTAATTAGAAAATGTAAAAAAAAAACAACATAAAAAAGCATTAGAACAGTTCCAATTAAATATCGTGTGATCGTCAGCGGGAGAAAAATCCTTACACGGTCGAGGGTTCACCGTGAGTTCACATTGACTTTAATTATCAGCATACGTCATAGCTCGGGCAATAGCTGTTTTAAATTGTGTTGGCCTCAGTTTTGGGGTCATTGCAAGTTCATAAATGTTTATTTTGTAATATTTATAGTATGCCTGGGAGATACTTGTAACAATACAAACTTAACCGCCTTGCAATCGTCACATTGTGAATACGTACTTCACCCATTGCCATGAAAATTCTAACTGACACACAAACATAGATCTAGCACATTCAATATTCTAAAATTGGATTTTTCTCAAGTTTTGACAAAAGTTAATTATCAAAATCTAAAACAAAGTCAGTCTCTTTGGGTTTTTTTATTCATTTTTATTCATTTGTTAAAACAAAAATACAATACAAATAAATAAATCGTGTTTTCCTAATGTTTTGGTTGTTATAATAAAATATGCTCAGCTGGAGGTAAACAAGCAACGGAGAATAAAATACGCTAAAATGGAGTTTTACCCATTTCTGATTCTGGTATCCACTGGAAGTACTCAAGTACTGTAAAGTTAAGTAAACTAATGTAAACTGTAAACCATACTTTATTTGGTAGGCCGGCTTGTTGCTTAGATGGCTGGATTGACTTCTGACCCTGAAACGTCACGCGTCGTTTTCTGACGGTTTTTACGTTTAATTTAGGGGTCCTATCCACGACAAATGAAAAAAACTGTTAATTTCGCAAATTCTTAGCATTATTTTAACACAGGATGCTAATAAAATGGATAATATGCCTTAGAATGCCAGAAAAAAATCGTGAGAATTGTGGTTGTAAATAATGAGAGGATTTCTAGTGGAGCACTCTCCGTATAAACTGAGCTGTGGCCAAAAACAACTGTATAATGGGGAAAACGGTCCGTATAACAGTAGATTAATATATAATTGAGATATTTACCATGTATATTTACAGTATTTTGATTATCTTTTCCAAAAATCCAATTCCCCTGTAAGTAACAATTTCTCTCTGCTATTTTTTGTAACTTTGCGTCATTGTTATGCTAGTTGCCAGACAGAAACAACTAGTTTTTGTTTTTTGCAGAATGAACTGTTAAGTCTAGTATTTTAATTATAATTCAATTGTTGCATGTGCGGAAAAAGTAAAATTATTGACATAATTATTGTATTAGTAATTTTATTTGTATATTGATTTTTTTCTTCTCTGTGGGCCGACAGTAGCTGCATTGAATTTAATTCGTGACCGGTGGTTAACCTCGTCAATAATTTCTGACGCCAAACTAAGGTTTTACCCTTACTTAAAATAATATTAATTGAGCATCGAGTAAATTGCCATTTATTTCATGAACAGTTTCCATGTCAGGTTTTTACTTTAAACAGCCTTGTTTGCTAGCAAGATTTGCTATATAACCAGCTGCCATCTGTAAATTAGAGTGGTTTCCCCTGAATCTCTAGCTAAAATGTTACCTAAAAACTTAAACAAGATGGCTGCTAAAGTAAATGAGCTTGGTTGCATCTGATCTATTTATTACTGAAAAGTTTTAATACAATTGTTTAAAAACAGGTACATGAATGAAAGTTTGAAACATTTTTGTAACTTTTAAAACATAAATTTTTTTAAACATGTGAAATAATTTTAAAAATGTGACCCTTTTTTCACATTACTAGCCTCGGCCGATTTTTACGTATTTAAATCGATAAATTACCAATGTTTTATACTATACCACACCTGATGAAGTGACCCCTGCAAAAATCTAGGGTCAGAGGGTTAGGCTGAGTGGCATAACTTGAACCAAACAATGTTAAATGTAAAGCGAAAAGATTATACTAAAAATAGCTTCTATATAAGTATAGCCGCTTAGGCCTTTATGTCTATAATTATATAATTAACTATAAAGAGATCTGCATTGTAAATTTGATACTTAGTAGTTAATGTGGTTTTTTTCTACTTATACAAGAAAAGAAGGGTTGTTAGCAGAAATATTGCAATTTTTTGGCTCTCACATTGGGCAAACTATAGTTAAAGGCCTAAAGGTTTTTAAAAATTTAATGTAATCACTTTCTGGGAGAATTTTTACACCGGTGTCCGATAATGGCATCTTCTTTAAAAAAGGGGGTGTTAGGTTACTGGTTGTTAACTAAATACACACATGGCTGGCTAATGTCAATGTTAACCCTGTCCCTAACCCCAACCCTCGTCCTGCCATACACCTAACCCTAATTTCTGACCATAAAATTAGTCGAGATTACATACAATACTACTAACAACCTAACACACCTTTTTTTGGAAGAGTCTATTATCGGACACCGGTATCTAAAATCATCCCACTTTCTTTTGAATTCAATTCAAAGTTTCTTGCGGTAATAAAATATAGTATTGTAAGATAAACTAAATTACCTAAGTTAATTATTGTACCATCTGTAAACTTGACAATACACATAGTTTTATTTGTCATTACCTCTTCCCCCCCCCCCCCCCTACATTTTTCATTAATTTAAAAAAAACTTTTTTTTTAAGGTATTCCATTCCTGATGCACCATATTCACTCCCCTCTTCAGTTTCTACAAAAGAATTGAATAACATACTTTACAGTGTTTTATTTGATGGTAAGTAACTTTTATTTAGGACTACTTTTTGCTTTGTAAATTAGGTCAGTTAAAATAGTTTATTCTCAGTTACTTAAGTTTTTTGTTGGATAAATCTAATGTTATTTTTGTTCTTTTACTTTGGTTTACATACAGCAGCTGCTTAAGTTTATAGCATGGGTCTGTCTGACAGTTGATTGATGTGTAGGCCTATTGACTTTATATTTTATTGTAACATTATTGCTAGACAATACACATTTTCATTTAGGTAACACTGATAATGAACCGATCGAGTTTGATTTTCTTATTGACGGGGAATTCCTGCGATCCACTCTTGGAGATTACATTGAAGAAAAGACTGCATCCTTTGTAAGTAAAAGCAAGTTCATAACAGTATTTTAAATAAATTTGTTAGTGATTTATTTTGTAAAGAAAAAAATGTATGCTGTTAATACCTTTTTTGAAATACAGGAAACTGTTTATGAAATCGAGTATATTGAAAGACAAGCAGCACCACGCCCTGAAACCTCCTTATCTCATGATGACTGGGTCAGCTGTGTTCGAGGAAACGGAAACTTGTAAATTTATTAATTTTTTTAGTAATAAAAAAATATCTATCATTGTACCAGAATTATTTGTTTGATAATGAGGGGTGGTGGTATTTAAAAACAGACTGCTTATTCTACTAGTTATTCTGTAATATTGTATGTACTGAATAAATATTTATCGTGCTGTGTACTAGTTTGCATTGGGCAAATGAATAGTCACACATTTTTAAAAAATTTGTACTCCATTTGCGGTCTTACTTTTCCACTTTTTTGTGGAAGTCTGTCCCCATGACAGTTGTTAAAACCGATTAGTTTACAAAATTAAAGTAATTCCATAAGTATTTTTTTTATTATTATTACAGAATTTTGTGTGGTTGCTATGACAATACCTTGCGCCTGTGGACAAAAGATGGTAACTGCTTGATGACTATTCCAGGCCATTCAGCTCCAGTAAAGTGTGTAGCCTGGCTCAATACATTGGGTAAGGATAGCTCATATAATATTAAAATGCCTTGATTATTGACTTTTTTTTAATTAAAAAACCTCTTGAAATAGTCAAATTTGACTGGATATATTTCTCATTTATTAAAAATAAATGAATGAATAAATATTAAAAATTCTATTATCAAGACAAATTTAAATTTACAACAAAGAAGAAGTCTTCCATGCGGTTGTTTACCAGATCTCATTTATATTTCCATCTTTTAATACTGATACTTGAGAATGATTTTCTCAACATTATACATCCAAAGATTTGATTAATTTTGTTGGTAAATCAATAATACACTTAGCAACTCTAAGCAATTCTTCTTCATGGCAAGTACTAGGTGTTTTTTAAGGTAAAGCAGATAGAAATTCACTTAGAGCATAACCCTTTTTGATATAATATTGGGTTAAAACATGTTGTTAGCACTTGTGTGTATAGACTACACCATTCTCTTGTGTGCTCTGACAAATGGAAGCAGGCTGTTCTGTAAGCCTCTTTGATTATCAGATTTCAAAGTTCAGTTTATTTTTTTACTCCAAGTATTGATAAATTATTTTTTTTTACAAAATAACTTCTAAAAGTGAGTTTTGGACTTCAGTTGATGGCCCATGAATGTCATGCAATTTCTTTTTTTAACATTCTAGAAACAGATGAGCACATGTTTGTCAGTGGCTCTCATGATCAGACATTATTTGTCTGGTGCTGGAAGGAGTCAAAGAAAGAAGTAGATTGTATCTATGCTTGCAAGGGACATGCTAACAGTGTTGATTGTGTGGCAGTTAACAATGATGGAGCAAGGGTAAAAACCCAGTAGTTTTTTCTAAATAGTAATTTTCAGAGCTAATGCTAGTTTAACATTTTTGAATTTCAAAGTTAAAAAGCGTGTATTTCTTCAGGGTTGGTGCTGCCTTCTCACTCATGAATTTTTTTTAGAAATCTTACAAAATTTCCTGTTCTGCAAAACTCTGACAATTTAGCAAGTTAATTAGCAAGTTGTAGCCTATCTAGATCTATAAGATGGGCAAGCAGAAGTGATAATATAATTTTTTTTTTTATTTCTTGATCTAAATTTTTATGAAATTTTTAAAAATAAGTTATTCGAGAAATATGCTAATGCCAAACTCAAGATGTTAACATTTGTCTCAGATGTTTTTTCAAACATTAATTCCAAAATCACTATTTAAAATAACTTTCAGATTGTGACAGGTTCTTGGGACAAAATGGTGAAGTTGTGGTCCATAAGTAAGAATTTTTTCCTTCACATTTCTTTCCTTTTGTATGAATTTTATATTTCAATGCTAGATGGAGACAAAATAATTTTTAAAATAAACAATAAATCTTCTCATTTTGCCATTCTTTATGTCTGATATACTGTTTAACTGGCCACCAAAATTTTTTTGTTCAAGCTGAAACAAATATTCAGGGTGAAGAGGATAATGAAGGTAAAACTGAAGAAGAGCGGAAAAGGAAAAAGATGAAGAGTGTAAATCCAAAAGTTACAACACAAGTTCCCTTAGTCACATTATCAGGTCACAAGGAGGCTGTCTCCTCTGCAGTTTGGATTGATGGGTCAAACGTTTGTACATCTTCATGGGACCATACACTTCGTGTTTGGGATATGTCACGCACAGAACAAGTTCAAGTTTTGGTACATTTTTATTTTAATAATTGTCATTACTGTTGTTTTAATTACAACAATAGTAAAAAACTATATAACTGATTCAAATCTTTTTTTATTTTAGGAAAGTTCCAAAGCATTTTTTTCAATTTCACACTCGCCTCTTTCTAACTTGATAGTGTCTGCATCAGCTGATAAGCATGTGAGGCTACATGATATTAGAACAAAAGGTGGGAAGTCATTTTGTTTATATTTGGTCATTTATTTTCTTTTTTGAAAAATAAGCTTACATGATGTTATTAATGTCAACAACCCCTTGTACTGCATTTAAAGAGAAATTCCAGCCTTTGAAATGCATTGAAAAAATTTTAACTTTCAGAAATGAAAGGAACATACACTTCACATACAGGGTGGGTTTCCAGTGTGGACTGGTCAAAGTCAAATGAATATTTATTTATTTCTGGATCACATGACATGCTAATGAAACTTTGGGACACCAGAAGGTATTTTATCTTTCTATAGCTCAAATTTTTGTTTCAGCTAAAACATTTTAACTACATTGTTTTTGTGTAATAAAATTTAAAATTGATAATCAACAAACATTATTTTAGTGGCTTCTTTTAATGTCTTTTGCAATTTGACCACTACTGTTTTTAATAAATTCCCCATTATTAAAAGTGTATTGTATTATATTGAATATATTTAAGTAAACATTTTCTTTTTTATATTTTAGCCCCAAAGCACCACTCTACAATCTGATTGGTCAAGATGATAAAATTCTTGCTGTGGACTGGTCCATTCCAGATTTAATGTTGTCTGGAGGGGCAGACAACCAACTTAAAATATTCAATTACAACAAATAAAAAGAAATTTAAAATAAACTGTTTTGTTATTTTTCACACCATATAGTTGATAATGGAAAGTGCTTTGACAACAGTAGGTGCACATTCTTTCCAAATACTTTTATAAGTTTATTGTTGAATAATTTTAAACTAATTTAGTAGCAGGTTAAATTATAAAACAAGAAATAAATTATCTTTGTAAATATCTACATGACTCTGGTGTTGAGATTGTGAAATGTCTTTACCCTTAGTACTATAGAAGTTAGAAAAAAATGATCCACATGCTACAGAAATGCTAATGCATGTTATGAGAGACAGCAATTGTTTTAAGCTATTCTTAAAAATTAGATCACAAATATTTTTCTTAATGCAAATCTGTCAATTTGACCCACTTTGAATGCATGGATTTTGTTCAAACATTCGAGGTGCATTTGTCACTTATGACTAGATCTATTTAATTCTTAAAGTGATATTAAATTAATCATTAAACATTAATTAAAAGATTACATACTAGGTCTAGAGAGGATTCTTCACTTTTATAAGAATAATACAAGCCACCAAAATACACCATAAATAAACGGTTTCTTTAAAAAGCACTTACTTGTTGCTCACATTTTATTCACCAATGCATCTAAACAAACAAGTCTGTTTTACTTTCTGATTTCCATTAAGAATTTTTCTCATTTAAGTTCTATAATTAGAGGCTCTAAGAAACTGTCATATTGTGCCTGTTTGACATAGCTCAAAAATCTTAACATGAATGAAAAGTTATCAGTGGAATAGAAATTAGCCTACTGTTACCTCCCCACTATTTTTTTGTTGGACAGTGCACACCACTGAAAGGCCAAAAAATTCCACAAGGAAAGGTAAAAATTGCTTTTGAGATCTATTTTTAAAAAAAATGTCCACTAGTTGGTATTTATAGAATTTTAAATCAAAGTGTCATAGATAATTTGACTAAAGCAATTAAAAAATAGATTAATCAATGTGTGATATAAGCAAAAAAACCTAAGATTTCATTATGGTTTATAAATAAGATGCTCCATTTTATAAATGCCATCTAAATGAGGTGCATAAGATTAATTGCAAGGATTTTTCAAATTACATGTCTTTATATAATTGTTAACACGTAAGAATGCTTTACAACTTTTATTATTTTTACATGTTGCACATTACAACAATCTGTACAATTAAGATTCAACATGTTACAAAAATGTGGAGCAGTAGGATATAACAATATATCCTATATGGTTAAAATATTTACACCATATTTACAGACTTGTTCCAAATTATTACTTTACAAGACAGACCAAGAACAAAGAAAGTAAAAGAATTTTTAAGAGCAAAGAAAACAATACTAAACTAATTCACCATTAAAATTTTTAAACTAAAAATTTATAATCTCTTCCCCCATCTTCCCTGATTTATTAATTAATTGATTTATTAATTACTGACTAAAATACTACTAATAGTGATGAAGTATTATCTAACTAGGACCAAGATTTCCATATTAAAAAAACAAAAATTACATTAACAGAATGTTTAAAAGAAATCGATAAATATTTAAAAGAAAATTTGATGTACATGAATAATTTTTTTACCTTTTACACCTATTTAAAATTGAATAGAAATTATCCCCTGAACTTAATTGCCTATAAAATAAAATAAATTCTACTGTGTTGAAAAGTTATTAAAATTTGTAACATTAAAAATAAAATAAGTTCTCTTAGCACATTATTAATTACTAATATACAATCCATTAATTAAGGCTGCCATCATTTATCACTATAATACAGTAATACATCAAAAGTATGTAAAATGTTTTAACATAATGAACTAGTTTATGTTATTGTTAGATTAAAATTCAAATATTTAAACTGATGCAAATGAAATAATATTTAAGTAATAGATATTAGAAGTGGGAAATGTTTGCACAAAATAGTAACTGAAAAGCTTTTTCCTATTTTAACAAAACTCATTTTGGAGATTTAGCACCAAATGGTGAAAGGCTTAGTTAAAAAAATAATATAGTAACTATTTTTACTTCAAATATTGCTTAATCGATTACTAATCAACTGAAACAATTGAACATTGCATGTGATAAACTTAACATTCTATAATTACACTGAAAATCCCAGTTACGGAATACATATATGTTAAACCAGGGAGTGAGGGAAATATCAATTATTATTACATTTCAACAGCTAAAAAATAACAAATCATACAAGTTAAATTACAAAAAAAAAAGTATAAAAAATCTCATTTTAATCATTGAATTTACAAATAAAATTAAGTAATTGAAATGTGGACTCATTTCTTAGAAACATTTACCAACCAAAAGAGTCTTTTAAAAATGTGGACTGAAAAATAAATCCATAAAATTATTTACGTCAACATTAAAATAAATTAAAGTAGACCACTCAAACAAAGCTGTCCACACAACAAGATTTGTAGTTTCTGTTACCACATCATGAAATATTTTTAAGATAGATGAAAGATGAGAGAACACTAGGACAAACTACATGCAGCTTCATCTCATATTCAGTCTTGTAAGTAAAAAAAAAAGAGCCTCAGTAGCTATTGCATGCTCTTCAACCTGACAACCTAGAAGTGTTTTAAACTACTGAATTTAGGCACATCAAAGCAATCACACATGTTTAAGCTAAGTTAAATCACAGCAGCAAAAATATTTTTGGGAGAATTTTCTTTACTTTGAAAAAAGTAGTGCTTAGAATAGCTATTGATGGTTTTAATTTTGTATTAATAAGTAAAGATAATCATTAATAAGTTAAGATAATTTAAAATACATCTTGAATGGACCTTCTTGTTAAAATGTTTCTGCTTTTTAATATAAAATATGTACTTCCAGAAAACTAGCCTTTTGTAGCACTTCACTATATTTTTGTTTTAAACATGTCGGTGTCAGTGTATAATATAGAAGATAAGTATAAAAACAAAGACTAATGTAATTTTAATGTTTGACTAATTTTTATAATATACTTAATATATTTATTGTTTCACTAGGTCCTACTTGGTTCTCTAGCAAAGCAACTGCAAAGAACACTGCTTCACAAACTTTGTTTTTATCAAGTTTAAAAGCGGTGTGAAACAAAGCTGTTTGAGATGGATTTTTTAAAAAATGTTACATGTTTAACTAACTTATCTTTTAAAATTTTAAACTTATATGTAGTATTTTGAAAAATAATTTATAAAAGATATTAAACAATAAATTAAGTTCAGATATATGCAACAACAATTTTATTAAAACTTTTTTATTTAATTGGTGATATTTTAATATTTTAATAGAGAGGATTTTGAAATATTTACTTTTAAACTAAATCAAGTTTACCCGTAAACTATTTACATTGGGCCTTTAGATTACAGAGGCCAGGACCTACATGTTTCACATGTGGTTTAATTGTATACTGAAAAAAAAATGGAAGGATCTTACACGTTGTTCAGAACGGTATTTGTTTTTTAGCTTAAACTGTCCAATGATAATTAAAATATGAAAGCTAAAATATGATAAGATGTCAGTGCTTTTTGGAATGCACACTGTTAATTTTTAATCGATTAATAGGAGTCATTGGTCCTGAGCTTGTAATCTCCCAAGGAATTTCAAATTCTCTGAAAAACAAAATATTTAGATTTTTACCTTTACTAGATTTTTACTTTTTACTCTAAAGATGACAAACTAAAATGGACACTCAAACATTCAACCTAAACTAAAGAGTTAACAAAAATTACTACTTACGCAGGACATACATATGGTACTGGTTGACCAAAAGCCATAACTGGTATTGATTCTGTTATTTCAATGTGCTTTACTTGAGTGGAAAAAAAATCTCGGTTAATGATGTACATTTTTTAAATGCAATATCACTTGTCTGGTCATTATTCTAATAAACTAATGTTTAAATTAAATTTTTTTTTAAATTAGGTAATTATAGTGTTTAAAGTAACATTTGAATTTTCTAGATAAATTATTCTCTTAGGGGTAGAGACATAGTCTAAGAAATTTCAGCAAAGAATGAGAGCAAAGTATATAGTGTGAATTTAGTGTATGTCGCTAAATCTCAGTCCATTAAAGCTTAAGATATGTACAACATTCCAGCTGCCAAATGTACAATTATATAAGAAAATACAATCAGCTGAATCTCAGAATGCATATATAAAAAAATTTACAAACTTACAGTCATGAACAGAGGGCAAAAAGGTTTCAACATCAACTTCATCCTGGCTCGCCCTTATTGCGTCTTCTCTTTGTCTCTGTAACTTTTCAAAAAGTCGCAGTTCACGTAGCCTCTGAAGATCCCACCTACATTGCATTATACACAGGTTAATGTACAAAAACTTTAAAACTTGCTTGTCTTGGTAAAATACATTAAGTTATAAGGCAAATATGACTATTTTGTGCATTTTATTACTGAAAAATAAATGTGTAAAAAACAAATAACATTTAATGGGATATTTTTCAGAACTGCATAGTTATTAGCAGAACAATGGGAATTAAATACTTTACTCAAAGAAAGTAATGAAATTGTACAAAATATTGAAGGTTGGCACACAAGGAAAAAGAAATTTAAAACAGAATCAAGAAAGCTTGAAGGACGAGGCAGCAAAACTAACAATGAGACAGAAGGAAAAGTGCCTTACACTTACAGTATGAACAAAATATTAAATAAAGTAGAAAATACAATTTTATCCAGAAAAGAAAGAACTGCAGAAAATTGGTATTTTGTCACATGGTGTGGCCTTTCCAGCAGATTCCTAGCTTGGAAATTATTATCTTTTATTTTCAAAGCAAAAGTTTATTTCCTATTTGTTTTCTACTTGAAGTAACTCTTCATAAGAAAATAATACCCTGTGAACTAACTTTTTTGGTTTAACTATAGCATTAGTTAAAGTTAAATATTTAAAAAAAATTATTTTACCATAATTATCAGTAGGGTAACAGAAAATGAATAACTACTTTGTAGACCTTACCGCTTTCGTCTTTTTTCTTCCATTTCAAACTTTTGATGCCTTTTATTATAAGCTTCATCAGTAATATTCTTAAATATAAAATCATAAGTTAGTATTTAATGTATTACTTCAAGGAGCATTCTTTCTTACAAGGTGCTATATCTATATAAAACTTCTTTTAAATATCTATTTATATAATAATCTTCTTGGAGACCCTAGAAAACACCAAGCTGTAAGCGCGTTCCCTACCACCCCCACCCCTACATGGTCTGGTGAAATGTGGTTCACGCTAAATGTTTACAATCGTAAAGCCGGGTTTAGTGACGGCTATTAGGGGCAGATAATGTAGTTTGAAACGATTTTAAACTTAGGGGAGATAACTAAGAGGAGTTTGTTTTCACGGGGGGGGGGGGGGGGTAGGGAGCGCGCTTACAGCGGCGGGTCTAGATACGCAGCGGGTCGGCTCGTACAAATATATTTATTACGAGCCGGCCCGCAGCATAACATACGCCGCTACTTAGTTGTTGTTTTTTCTACTTTTCAGTAATTCATAATTTGTGAATTCGACAGTACCAACGCTGACACTGAAAATATTTCTTTAAAACGCTATAAGTAGCTCGTTAAGGACCATAACTCTCCCCCCCCCCCCCCAACGTTTAAAATCATTTCAAACTAAATTATCTGCCCCTAATAGCCGTCACTAAAACCGACTCCACAAAGGTAAACATAGCGTGAACCACAGCTCACTAAGACCACGTAGGGGTGGGGATGGTAGGGAGCGCATTTACAGCTTGTTTTCTAGCGTTTCCCAGAAGAGAATTATATATATAGATAGTGATCTTCATATTTTTAAAATTGTACAAATAATAAAGTTTTGATGTTTAAAAGAAGTTTAAAACAGATTTAGCACTATTTCTTTTTAGCTTAGACAATTTTAAAAAATGTTAGCAAAAGTAATTTTGGATAGTATTGAAATGTGTATTGTTTAAATATTTATTTTTAACTGCTTTGATTATCTGTTACTTTCAAAACTTTCAGCTCAATATTTTTCAGACGATGACTTAATCTGCCAAAACTGATCAGCATTGATTTGCTAGCAAACATATGAGAAACTTAGTATTATATAAGCAAACTATGGGTAGAAATGATATTCAAATATCAAAATAGTGACAAACCAACCTCATTTATGGAAAGAGGAGTATTGTGTTTATTGCTTAATACTTTCAATGGTAAAAATACATGAAGTTAATTAACAAATATTACTACCTTTTTCTTAGCTTTTTAAAAGAAATTAAATTAATATTTAAAGCTGCTAAAATTAGAATTGTATAATTCTATATCCTTATAAACTACACATACCTCAGTTCCCTCCAATTGATACATGTTTGTTAAGGGTTTCAGCCTCCATGAAGGTGTCTCTACTATAAAGTTGAAACATTGTATATAGTTAGAGCTAATAGATCCAAAATTTTTAATACTTGTACATTTATCTTATAAGTTATTGTAATTGTTTGCTATTTGATTTTTATTTAAATTTTGTATAATTCACAACAAATGAATTTAAAAATTACCCTCTGACTGTTCATGAATTTTTTTAGCATCAGGACTAGAACAAACATGTTTTGGATAATACAGATGATAAAGTGTCTCTGTTAGCATAATAGGATAATCAATAGTTTTTTCTTCTTGCTGGGGAATATCTGCTTTGTTTTTACATTCTTCTTCCCCTTTAGGAATTTCTGATTGATCAGTTTCATTTTCACTATCCTCATTATCTTCACCAGATACTATATTTGAAGATTTATCTCCCTCTTCATTTTCATCCATTTCACTGTCTTCTTGGACATCTTTTTCTTTGAATGCAACTGTGGAGTGCAAGTATTTTGGTTTCTTGTGTCCTTTTTTTTGGGAAAAAAGTAGCTTGTGTCTTCTTTTCTTCTTGAATTCTATTTTTGTTATTTCATTTTGTCTGTAACAATATACAAGTATAAATAATAGTTAAAAAAAAACTAATTAAAAATGAACAAAAAACATTAATAGCAGTAAAGCCAACATTAACAACACTGACAAGACACATTGAAATAGAAGAGGTAGAAACATGATTTACAAAAGATTTTAACGGTAATAATATGTAAATCCAAATGTAGTATTTTAAATTCACAACTAAAATTGTAAAGTGCTAAAAAATGGAAATCTGATTAAAAGAAACATGAATAATGTTAAAGTGAAAAAACTGGGCTGAAAGATATAATGTAATTAAATTAAATAAAAAATAAAATTTGTGTGAATGAATTTTCATATTAAAAATACTAAAAGTAATCTTTAAAAGAAATTACCCCCTAAAAGTTGAAGAATGTGATGGGGCTGTTGGTTTAAGAGAAGTTTCTTCAGAAAAGGTTCCCTGTATTTCGTGTGACTCTTCTTTGTGTTTTAAAATTGACATTCGCCTTTCCATCCGTTCTAGGCGACATTGTAGCTATAAAAGAAATGAAAATATTGTTAGTTATAGCAGTAAACAATCAAAACTAAAAGAAATTTAGAAACAAATTTTAGCTTTAATTATTTTGTCATTACAAGTTTGAAAGTAATTAATTTTGTTTTCAACAGGTTTTTGTCTAAATTAAATTCAAGTGCTTTTAAAAGATACTCCATTGCAATTTTAAGTTTGTAACATTGCTGTCATGGCATTCAAATGTTGACTATAGAGACATAAAGCAATAACTGTAACTGAACTTCCATTTTGTAGATTAGTGGGGGGAAGGGAGGTGTTCTAAACCCTCAACATCCCATCTACACCACTGGTATGACAGGTAAAAGGTAACACATTTATACAAAGTAAAAATATAATTTAAGTGCTGCCTTTGCATGATTTTGTTTTATCAACAAATTAAGGGATCGATGACAGTTGAAGTACAGTAGGTTATATGTTTCTGTGACCCCCGGCATAAGAAGGAAAGTGTGGTCAGCCACATTTACTTCCCCTAGGGTAACTCAGGTAACCATCAGAGCTGGGTGGACTCTGGGACATTCTACAAACTATAATACTTAATCCAAACATTGATGTTGAAGAGAAAAGTTCAGTGGCTTAAAGGTACTCAGAAAGAAAATATTCTTTAAGTAATTAGTAATGTGCATTTAACATCAAGGTCATTCCACACTAAATCAAAAAAACTTTTGATACTGAAAATATTTGCTGTTTGGTTTTGAAAGTTTTAAATTCTATAAATAAAAACTTCCTTACAGATAATACAAACAAAATGTTTATTATGATGTGGAGAAAAAAGAAATCACAATTTTCTTGATGTGATCTTAAGTTATTTAAAGCTCAGAGACAAAACAACCAAACCTATAAATAAAAAAAAAACTACCAAGAAGGGGCTTTAGATTACTTTTATTCTGAAATCTTGATTTCTCTGGATTGTTTTCTGTTTGTAGTTTAAACTTCAAAGGCACATATTTCTGACAAAACTTCCCTTATATATATTATAAATTAGGTAAATGTGACGCAATTTTAATAAACAAAATTCAGAAATCATTACTCAGGTAGGCTACTGTTTTGATTTTATGTGGAATGACAATATTGAAATAAGTATTGTTTACCTGTTGATAAATATATTGTCCAAATCCAAAAATTACTTTCATGGCATGGATCCTATAAAAATCTACTTTTAAAATATTTATAGAAATTATTTTCAGGCCCTGTATAGTTTACTTATTTTTTGTGTAATTAGGCTAGATATATTTTAGAATTTAACAGATATATTTAGTCTTTGACCTGTAATTTATAAAAGATGCTTGCAAATATAGCTTTTACTGGCCTAATCAATATTAATATAGGGCCTACTAATATAGTAAAAAAATTTAAATGTTGAACATCTATGGATGTAGTTTTTTGTAGATGTTTTAGATATTCAAAAGTTTAATTTTTGTATGCCTACACCTGATTTTAATTTGACTTCTAGGCCTATACAAATATTATATAGTTATAGGCCTAATACTTATTAGTAAAAATTATGTCATTGCTTGACCATTATATTTTTAAAGCAGAACGTAAGTTGTAAATTAAAATCTACAAGATGGTTTTTTAACTTCTGTAATTTAAAGCTCTAGGCCTATTCAATTTTCCTTGTACCTCAAAAAATGGAGAGTAATATTAATAGCAAACAATTTAACCTGTTCAACATTTAAAATAAACCGGGAGTGATCTCCCCGAAACTTTCTCGAATATTCTTATATAAAACAACAGGGGATGGGAACTCTGGCTATAGACATGATTTTTAATCCATTTTAAATACTTAAAGTTTTAAAAATAGAATAAAATCTCGTAGACAAAAGAATTGCACACCAAGTGAACGCCAAATAAAAAAGTGCATAATAGTGCGCAATATTATTAGTACTTTAAAAATTTACTTTAGTTTTTTGAGAAATCGGAAGTAGCGTAAATTACTACTTCTGGTCAACGAAAATTACTCAAAATTTAACAGAAGGTAGAAAATTAGATCTTTTACTCACATGTGAAATTTCATTTATCTATCTGAAATAGTACTCAAGTTTTAGGCTTTTGAAAAATTCAAAGTAGAAAAAGTACCACTCCGGTTATCGGAAATCGCTCAAAAGTTGATACGGATCTACGATTTTGATAAAATACTTATATATGAAATTTCATCAACCTAGCTGTAACGGTAGTCAAGTAATCGTTTTTACACACACACAGACAGACACACAGACATATGGACAGGATTGCAAAGCCCAGTTTTTCAGAATGGATTACGCATAAAACCTCTTAATTTTGATAAATCTGGATTGATAATTTTTGCCCGATTAAAATAAGTCCTCTATACTTCTGATGTGATGAAGGACTGAGGTGTAATACGGTGAAAATTGTTAAAATTTCAAGAGATTTTTTTGCACAATTACAATACTTTCTCTATACTTCGTGTACACGAGAAAGTAAAAAGGACATATCTCTAAACTTTGAAAAGTACTGCCTTACTTATAGCAGTATAGCAGTACCCAGACATTATAAAGTGCAGTAACATAAGAAATGAGACCTTAAAATATATATATATGTAAGTTACATTATAACTGGTTATAAAATATAGTGCGTTTGTGTGTTAACTTAGACATATAGCATAGCAATTTTTTTCTAAATTAGCTAGGCCTGATCATTAGTAAATTAGCTGCATATCCGTGCTCCACCATGGTGAATCTTTTTTAAATGTACCAACTTGGGAACAGAACAAAACCAAACAACGAAAACGCAAAAGACTACACTACTACTTGGCCTATCTCTACTCTAATCTCCTTCCAAGGTTTTTTTTAAATAATAATTTTTTTATTAGGTCTAATACATAAAGCAATTTCTTAACCAGCTAAGGAAAGACTAAAAAAAGTAAAGTCAAGTTCCCTTTTCAAACATGACGGTCTATAGGGCAAGTGAAGTAGAGTTCACTTGTTTCTGTGACCTCGGCATATGAAGAGATAGTGTGGTCAGCACTATGCCCAGCCGCCTTTACTTTCCCTAACGTGAGTTAGGTCCCATCAGAGTTAGGTGGACTCAGGGACAGTCTACTGACTTGAACCCAGATTCGAACTCAAGACTTACTGGTTAGCAGTCCAGCTCTCTACCGCTAGGCCACTCCGTCCCTTAAGGAAAGACATAAGTACATATTTAACATAGGCCTATCAGTGGACCTTTGACTATCACTCTAGTGAACTAGTCTGGTGAGACTGAGTAGATTCAAAGTAGATTGTAATAAAGCAAAGCCACAAAGCAAGACCATGTCTACTAACTTGTGTAAGTCAAAGTCAATTATAATTTTAATATTGTGCATTTGCCAGTTGGGTATCATGTAGGTTATGCTATAGATCTAGATCTTTTTTTTTAAAATTGTGTTTCATTAATTTAGTTTCAAATCTAATCTAGATCTTGACTAGCTAAGCCTCAAAAATTCGGGGCCAGTTCACAGCTAGATCTAGAATCTAGATCTAGTCTTCTGGACCATAACGAACTTTTTTCTGGTCTGCTAGATCTAGATCTAGGTCTAGCTAGTAGTATAGTAGCTAGGCTAGACTCAGAAGAGAAGACTAGCCTACTCTAGCTAGATCTAGATCTAGTCTAGATTAGATCTAATCTAGATCTAGAAATCTAGTAGCTAGAATCTAGAGATCTTGAGATCGAGAATTCTGGATACTGGTAGATAGATCTACTGATATTGAGTTATTGACTGATATGCATTTATTTAGGCCCCTAATCAATGGTTTTGTCTTTAGTTATCATTAATAGAATTATACATGTAAGTTTTCATTTATTGAGCAACTGCTGTTTTAGCTACTTTACAAAAACTATACTGATGCTGAGAACAATAAACTCTAAACTGGTTAAAAATGGCTACTACTGAGAATAAGACGCCTCAGACTATTTTTTAAAACGCTTTCATTGGTCACATGATAGATCACGTGACTGCTTAAAATAATCAAGACCTTCAAAATTGAATTCCTCCCTCCATTTCAACTACAATCAAAATAACCAAATTATGAAATTTACCGCATCGTTTGCTGAAATCAGCGCTTTAATTTCTTTATCTTTTTTTGCCATTTCTTCTTGTTGACACTGAATAAGTTCCGCTTGGCTTAAAACCAAATCTTTCAAGCGACCCACTTCCTCAGTTAGGGAGACCGAATCGGATGAAGGTGCAGCCATAGCAGAGAAATTTGACTTGGTTGCTTTGTTAAAATTTGGTTGAGTCTGGGCCTTTACGTTACTGAAAATCGCTGGTTCCCTTTTATTTTCATAATCACTAGAATCACTCGATACACACAAACCGTTTTCTCTCATTTCCTCTCGTTTCTCTTGCTGGGCATACTTCAAACTTTCTTTGATAGCCAACGATAACTCCATGTCAAAATCACCAACGCCATTAAGAAGCGAAGCTTTAGTAGCAACTTTTCTTCTAGGAAACAGTCTACCTTCTGGTCGACACCTTTGTTGTAACGTGATATTTGATTTCATTGTTGATCGCTTCATTGATATTTCCAATAATGTATTTATTATCATTAAGAAATCGAATAAAATTTGCTGAACACAGCATCTCACGAAAACAACTTGAACTCTTTTGTTGATATTATTTGTCTTATTATACGCTAAACGTTAGAGAGCTCTATAATGCCAATGGTTTGAGTTTAACGAAACAACTTCAAAAAATATCTAGGTTAGCCTTGGCGGCGGTAAAACATTAATTTATCGTAGTTTAAAACCTACTTAAGGGTAGGCCTAGTCTTTAAAAAGCAGAGGAAGGGAGATATATTTAGATGCCTTCAAACTTCCATTTTGCTTCAAAATAAAATGTATTCGCGATAGCACAAGTGACTTCAGAAGTGAAGAGTCGTGATTCGAGTATTCACTTTTTTTGGCCAAAGCCCTCGTACACAAAATACTTGATAGTACTGTACTAGTACACAAAATACTTGGTAGTATAGGATTACCCCAATGGACGGCAACTTTTTTCTGAATTTAAAAAAAAAATCGTTTGTATCTGTCACTACTAGATCTATCAAATTAAAAATATTCGCGGCATAAAAACGACAACGATCCTGACAGTTCTAAACAAGCGACGACAAAAAGGCTCCAACCAATAGTGCTCCCGACTGCTGCTGTCATTACGGTTGCGTTACTGACGTGCGGCGTCAAAACGGCCAATGACAAAACGGTCCCGACATAAGAGCCCCGTCAAAAGGGCCAGCGACATATGAGCCCCGTCATATAGGCTTCCGACAAATAGGCTCCAGTCAATAAGGCTCCCGACATGTAGTCTCCCATCATTTAGGCTCTCGACAAAACGGCTCCCGTCGTTACGACTCCCGACAAAAAGGCCCCTATCATTACTACTCTCGACAAAACGGCTAACGTCATTTTGACTCCCGACAAATAGACTCCAGTCAATTTGGCTCCCGACAAAAGGACCCATGTCAATACAGTTTCCGTAGAGCCGGCGAAACACACCCGACTCAAATGATTTGCGATCGGATTTTGTTGATGCGGACGATAGAACGAACGGCCGCTGCCGACAACATCTCAAACGTGACAGTCAGCAAGACAAAGTGTGTCTAATTTTTTTCGGAGGATTTGGATCAGCAACAGTAGCGTAGCGAGGGGGGGGGGCGGGGACATATGTCCCCGGGCGCCGACCTTAGGGGGGGGGCGCCAAATTGAAAGTTTGAGGGGGGGTGCAAATGAAAAGTTCGAGGGGGGGTGCAAATCGAAAGTTTGAGGGGGGGGTGCAAATGAAAAGTTCGAGGGGGGGGGGTGCAAATCGAAAGTTTGAGGGGGGGTGCAAATGAAAAGTTCGAGGAGGGGGGTGCAAATCGAAAATTTGCTCTCGAGGGGGCGCCAAATTGGAAGTATGTCCCCGGGCGCCGGGAAGGGTCGCTACGCCTCTGATCAGCAAGCCAGATTTTTCAATATCATTGAACCCTCAACATACTTATCCTAACCCAAAGCCACTTATACAGGTGCTCGTTGATTGCTTATATTTTTGCTGTGACGAACATACTTTTTATTTGTATATGGTGGCCCAGTTGTCGACTGTTCTGATCATCAGAATGGTACGGCGTGTGGTTTCTTTCTTATTATTAACGCGCTGACCGCGACCCGCGACGTTGCATACACCGCTATTTAGTTGTTTTATTTTCTACTTTTCAGTAATTCATAATTTGTGAATTCGACGATACCAATGCTGCGACTAAAAATATTTTTTTTTGTTTAAAACACTATCAGTTCAGTAGCTCGTGAAGGACGATTATCCTCAATCCCCCCCCCCCCAAAAAAAAACTTGAGGGGGGGGGGGGTGTGCAAATCGAAAGTTTGAGGGGGGGGGGGGGGGGCTGCAAATCGAAAATTTGAAAGTTTGTCCCCGGGAAGGGTCGCTATGCCTCTGGGGGGTGACACCATTAAGTGCCGCACCGGGTGACACCCGACCTCGCTACGCCACTGCCCAAATGAATAGTAAGGGTATATCTTAATGAAGGCTCCAATTAATAACTGCAGTAGAAAGGTGTATTTGTTCAATCTGCTGATGTGCTAGAGGCCTGTTTACTTTCTGCTAGAAAGGAAATACCATAGAAAAGCAAATATTAAGTTCTAAGGGACACACTCAGAACATTAAAAAAAAACAGTTACCTTATGCCATCAGACTGGTTATGAAATTACTAACCCGATGAAAGTAGAAAAAGACCTCCCATTTAACTTTTCAGTTAATAACATAATGCGAGGCAAACTCAAGGTTGACACCTCAAAAACATTTATACACTTGTAGTTAGTTGGACTGACTGACCCAGCACAGTACGTAAAAAAACTGTGCTTGCTGATCCAAATCCTCCGAAAAAAATTAGACACAGACAGAAAGAAAGCTGGAAAGGGATTGAAAATGCTAACCAACCAAGAGTCATTTGTATAGATCCTATAAATGAGAGAATAATCGAAAGAAAGGAGGCTGGGGAAAATGTCAAATGGGAGGGCGAAGATGGATGACCACAACTTCAATTTCAAAAGAAAAAGACCAAGAAGCAGACCTTGCAATCTGGTGTGCAAACAAAAAGCTTGGAGTCCAGTTTGGAAAGTTTACATGACGCGCTTGAATGAAGTAAAATGGTGAAGCGTGGCGCGTAATTTTTTTTTTAGACATACCTCTTCCCCCCCCCCCCCCTTACCTCTATAACAGCCCCACCCCGCAATATAAACCGCATGGACATAAACCCCCTTCCGACTTTAACCCCACCTCCCTGGGGAAACAATAATACCCCCCCCCCCCCCCCCCCCCCCCACACACACACACTCACTGGTTTAAGTTTAAAATACCTGGAAATACTTTGACGTCTGAAGTAACGACGTTTGTGGGCAACCTGGCATTAGCATCTTCGCCTAAATTAGCATGGAGTGCGTGATGTTTTGCTGGAGTGTTGCTTCAGTTTTTCTGTCACTCTTGTCCTCTGCTGCAATGATATGCACACTTCGAGATGCAATGAATCTCGTCGATGCGAATGTTCATTACAACGTCTAACAAGCTGTTCACCAAGCAGTGTTTCTTCCAGACTTTTTTCTCCGGGGGGGGGGGGGGCACTTGAAATTTTCGGGGGGGCGGTAAACTTTCTTCGGGGGGGGGGGGCGGACACTGTTAAAAGTATATATTTTCTATATAAATTATATAAATTTCATTCCGTTCGGGGGGGGGGGGGGGCGGTAAAAAAATTTCGGGGGGGGGGGGGGGGGGGCTTTGCCCCCCCCCCCCCCCCCCCCCCCCCCCCCGAGGAGTTGCCTGGAAGAAACTCTGCTTTCTTTTAGCTTTGCATTCTGTTTTATTACGTCTTTTTGTACCCTTAAATGACAACGCCGTTTGGCAGACCTTTTTTCTTTATATACAGCCTTCAAATACCACATTATAAGAATAAGTGTCTTTTATTAGATTGTACGAACTCAAGTCCAAAAATTATACATGCGGAGGAAGAATTGCCGTGATATATTTATACCAAGTTTCTGTGTGCCGAGCAGGATTTGAACTACTATGCTTCCGCCGGTGAATCCATCATATCTTTTGTATTGTTAATTAAAGATTAGAATTTTTTGGTACTATGTAGCTTTTGAACCGTAGGCGCACAGCTCGCACACTTGAGTGGCCAATATCTCAGGTGTTGTCGGTACTCGCTTTTCGCATTGTCCATGTGGTTTATAATATATATCGTGTTTTTTTTTTTTTTTTTTTTTTTTTTTTTTTTTTTTTTTTTTTTGTTGTTGTCCAGGAGGTATATGCCTAGATCTATATGTTCAATTATGTTCAGAGGGTTATTGTCCGGGAGCCCTGTGGAGCCCCAAGGATGGATGGATGATGTAATTTTATTGTAAACAGCAGACGCAGAGATGCTAAAGAGGACTAACGAATTGTGAAGAAAAGTCGCATTGTATCGTTCTTGCCCAGTGTTGAACTAGGCGTCGAGTGACAATGCGAAAAAAGTGCTTTTTGGTGGGTTTTAGAAAAAAAAAAATTAAGTCTTAGTTCATGAAAGTTTTTTTTTTTACTCTAGCATCTTTACAATATGATATCTAGATTCTAGATCTAAATACTGAAAAAAAAAGAGAAGTACACGTTCACAACATGTACATATGTCTAGGCTGTAGTGGAGCACATGTCTACATGCCGGGATCTGACAATTAAAATAAATGCACTGAAATTAAGGAAATAAAACATACATTCCCTATTTAGTAAAAAGCATTTATAAAAAATTGATCTAGACTAGATCTAGATCTATTCATTGTTGTTTTTCTAAACGGAGAAAATGTGTTTTATTGTTTTATGTAAACAAACTGAACGCGCATAGCTAGACTATACACTACAAGACACAAGAGCTAAACGCAACTTTACATAATACATAGGCTATCTAAATATAGAGATCTAGATCTAACTAATCATATCCCTAGATTACAGATCTAGATCTAAATCAAGATTCTAGATCTAGATTAGATCTAGATCTAGTCTAGAATCTAGAATAAAGGCCTAATTTTAAAAACTTTAGAACCTTTTTCTAACACCTCAACGTTTCGGCCAATCAAAAAATAATATTTATCGTGAAAAAAAAATGGCAGCAGATGGGCCAACCACTGATGGCAATGATGAGTTTGATCCTAGATCAAGCGATTTAGAATATTTAGAAGAGCATGTAGGCGTTGAATTAACTGCTCCAGATGAAAAACTGTAAGAAGTTCTAATTTCATACTGCAGTACAATACTTATGTTTTATCTAGGCGTTTCATTTTACAATGGATTTTGTTACAAGATCTAGAAATCTAGACTGGCTGAATCAGTGAATGAATTCAGTTTCAGTATGAATGATCGTGATGATGCTCTGGCGCTGCTATGCTATTTCTCTACAAAACAAGTACTCAACAACACTCTACTAAACCTTTTCTAGATCTAGATCGACTCTAGATTTAGTCTAGTCTAGATACTATCACATAGGGTTACAGTACTCTACAATAAACTTATAAAACTACACTTAGTTGTTTACTACACACTACAACACTCCCTTTAATTTTTTTAAACCACTCACCAAGTACTGAAAGTAGGGTACTGAGTCAACTACTGAGGTAACACTACTCAACTACTCATTTGACAGTAGAGTCACTGTACTGTTGAATTTTGAGTATTGTTGCGTGATTTGACTGAAATAGAGATTACAGTTACAAGTTGAACACAGACACAGCAATTTTTATAGAGATTTGCAACTAGTAGACTAGGTCATCAAATTCGACAAATTGAGATCTGCACTAGTACTGACTAACAAGTACTTTCATTACTTAGTACTTGGCCTTGCATTAGGGCCTTAGGCCTAACTAACAGTTGATCACATTACAGTTGTTACATTTTATCTTGCAGTTTATTGCATACTGTGTTAGTGTACTGTTAGTCTAATTAATTATGCTAGTATTAATTGGTTAAGTGCAGAGACATCTGAACAAATTTAATTGCACCCAGTTTAACATGCAGAGGCAGAAGATTGATTAGCATTACTTTCTAATTCTGAAGACTTTTAACACCAGTTTACTGTTTTGAAGTTTATTTTTGTAAATTGTACAAGCTATTCGTACCTGTTACATTTCAATTATAGGCCTGTATTTTAAATGTTATACTTATTTGAGAAATATATTTTATAAATAGTTATTGGTCAGACGCAATGTGGTTTACTACACATTAAACAATATTAGTAATAAATAAAAGAAATAACTAAATAGCTAAAAATCTGACACATTTAATATTGGCCTAACATAGGCTTGCAATAGCTATTAGAAAAATTAAAACCAAATTATATACGTTATTAGTCAACACAACACCATATTATAATTATATGCCTAAACTGATTAAGTATGTCACTTAGTTAAAGCCCGACTATTCAATCGCATTTTGGAATTTTGTATTGTATGTAGCCACAGCCTCAGATGTTTCTTGCAATGTGTAAAGAAGTTGTAAAAGAGATTAGTTTACCAGTAGTTCAGCTGGATTATTCACATTTTACCAATACCTCTTTTCAAATTTGGCCTATGATTTGTTATCCACGTATGCTATTTATCAATATTCACATACAGTTGGTACCATGGACGCTTGGATCGTCAATCAGCAGAGGAATATCTTATTAGCAGTGGCAAAGTTGGAAGTTATCTTATTCGTGAAAGTGACAGCAAACCTGGATCTTTTGTTTTATCTTATCTTGGACAATCAGGACCCCCTACACATTTTAGGTAATTGTTGTGATTAATAGTTTAAATAGAAATTTAAATGTAGTTTAAATTTCTGAAAATCTATCACAGTAAAATCCAAAAGAGTAAAATTGATAACATGATCGTGCTGATATGCATGATCACTTGAATGGTTTCCTTAGGCCTTGCTTTTATTTCTACATCCAGATTGTAGTTTATACTCTAATAATATGACTCACGTTAGATATCTTTTTTCTTAATTAGGAAGAAGTAAAATTTCAGTCAGTGAATAATTTTGAAAATTTAATTTGAATGCTACACAATTTTAAAGAGATCATGAGAGGTTGATTGGTTGTGTAATTATAATAGGAATAAGAAGAATTTTTAAAATCAACAAATATTTTTGGAAATTCTTTTTTACAAGTCAATGCGTCAACTTTTTCTTACAAAAAGTCAAGTATTTCAAAAACATGTTTTTTCCTTTTTAAGAATCATTGCTATGTGTGGAGACTATTACATAGGAGGACGCCAGTTTGAATCTCTGTCTGATCTTATAGGCTACTATTCATCCTACTCTTGCTTATTAAAAAATGAGCAACTTCGATTCCCAGTGCCGCCAGCAGAAGTAAGAGAAAACTTTTAAAATATTTAATGTCAATTTTAGTAATTTTTGCTTTAATCAATTACTGAATAATTTATGGTGTTCAGAAAATAATTTTATTTTTAATAATCAGCCAGTGGACCATAGACGAAGAGTTTTAGCTATGCTATCATACAGAAAAATGCCTGAGACAGATGAGTTAAAGTAAGTAATGTTAAAGTTTAGTGACATTGCAAAAATTTATAAAGGTTTGGGACGTTCTGTTTTATTTTTGAAACTATTGTTTTTCAATAATAACTTCAGGTTTACATCTTAAAATTAAATCTTTCTCCTAACTGACTAACACCAAATACACCTCACTTTAACAAATTAGCTGTCAGATTATTGTTTCGTTTGGCACAAAGCCATCAGTGTTAATGTTGAACCACCATACAGTAGTTTATTAAGTCCATTAATTGTGTCTTTTAAAATTAACCCTTTTTTAACTGACAACATAAAGAAAAGAAATTCTTGACAGTTAAATTATTTCACACTGACAAATTTTTCTTTTTAAAACAAACAGCTTTGATAAAGGAGATACTTTTGTTGTACACAATGAATTGGAAAATGAATGGTTGTGGGTCACTGCTGAAAGAACTAAAGAAAGTGGATTGGTTCCTTCACAGTTTGTTGAAGAATTGGTAAGATTATGAAGTTTTTAAACATATAGACTCATTTTTTTTTTAATCAACAGTAAAATATTAACTTTAGCCGTATATTTATTGAAATAATTAAGTTGTTTACAGTATGTAAATGATAACGGTTAGGATAATGGTATTGTAATGACTGTCTTGATATTTTTATAGCCTGTGTATTTTTATTGCCTATTAATTTTTTAATTTTATTAGTTATTAAAATAAATTGTAAAAAGTTTAAAGAATTTATTAATGATAATAATAATATAATAATAATTATTAACTAAACCAAAACACTTAAATAATGACTCTTGAAAATATTTTCAGACTTGTAATGGTGATCCAGTTGAAGCACTCCCATACTTTCATGGAAATATCACAAAAGAGGTTGCAGTGGAAAAGCTTATGAAATGTATGTTTGTTACACAATTATACCTTTAAAAGTTGCATTTTTAATTTTACAATTTTATTACACTTCTATTTTATATTGATTAAGTTATTTATCTGTTTATATTAATTTATCAATGAGTGTCTTAATCAAAATAATTGTATTTTAATTAAAAGTTTAAAGAAAGTTCAATTACAATTTATCAATTATACATTTTTGTTCAGCTGGTGAAGGAAGCTATTTGGTGAGACCAAGTGAAAATTCTCCTGGAGACTACTCATTATTCTTTCTTTGTGGGAAGGATGTTAGAAGGTTTCGAATTGAAAAGAAAGGGAGATATTTACATCTGGGTGGACGGTATTTTGATAGGTATGTAACAAGCTATAGAGAATTGAATAGTTTAGTGATCCCCATTAATTAGTTTTTTATCAAGTTAACTTCTACTACCTTGCACTGTTTTAAGTTTTCCCTTGGGCTAAATAATCACTATTGATTATTGAGAATACTGTTTTATTTTATTTGTCTTTCTTCTAGCTTACTTAACTATTTTTTTTTATTAATCAGTTGTTTGTTTAAGACATGACATACCAACACTGTTTGAAATTTTTCTATCTATAGTTTGGATGATATAATCAAAAGATATACTTCAGAAGAAATAGTTGAAGGTTCAAAGCTTGTGTCTGCAGTTTATCGCAGCAGTCGTGTATGTATTTTAAAAACATGTTTGTTTACTTTGAAATATTGCTTTACCAATTTAAAAGCCAGTTCAGATTTTGTGTTTATTTGGGATAGGGCGTATACATCACACTCTTTTATTTTAAAAATAATTTAAAGTATATTATTACAGTTTTTTTTGCGTTTAAAAAAAAAATGTCATTAAAAAGTATACATATATTAGAGTTTAGAGGGGGGGGGGGAATTGGCTGAACAACAACATTAATTTTGGTAGTGCAGTAAAGTCAGTAACTTATGGACTATCCCTAATGTATCTTATAAAGTTTTGTTGTGTATGTCCAAAAGCGCTTCATAATTGTCTACCTTTATTTGATAATATTAAACAGAAATATAAAATGTAACTGCTTATTAATTCTTTTTTTCTTGTGTAACTAACTTTACTTACTTACTTTTAAGGGTAAATAACATCATAATTAACTATGTGTTCAAAATGAAATATGTAAGCTAGAATATACTTGCAAAAATGGTTTCAGTAAAATTGTTTAACTTCCATAGCATTTCAATGATATTGATGAGAAATTTGAAGCTGTTGATGGCACAGATGAAACATACTCTTCTATACGCCAAAGTTCAGGTCCCAGTCTGCTTACTCGATCCAATGATAGGATAGATATGACTGGATTTCTTAACAAAAGAAGTAAGTATATTGTTATGAATTTATTGGAATAAAATTATGTAAAACAAATATTTAAACTTGTCATATCTTTTTCTCTATTAGTTTAAAATGTTCGAAATAACTGGTTGGTTTACAATACTTTTGGTCTAGATCCAACTTATTTTAAAACATTGCATTAACGCTTTTTTTCCAGGTGACCGAAGAAAAGTGTGGAAAGCATTCTATTTTGTTTTGAATGGCACTGACAAATATCTCTATTATTTTGAGAATGACAAAGTAAAGTGTACTAATAAGTTTTAAGCTATAACAGTTTTAGATTTACATAATAGATATTTGTTTTAGTAAAATATTTAAAATCAATACATTTTTAGTTAAGTAAAACTTAACATTGGCAAAAATGTTTAAAAAATTATAATTACAGAAATCCAAACCAAAAGGAATTATCGATTTAAATTATAGTGCATTGTATCCTGTTCATGACAGCCTTTTTGGGAGGTAAAAAGTTGAACTTTACTGCAATAATATACTTTAATATTTTACTAAGTTGACTTTATTTTGTTATAAATTTTGTATAACATTACATTTTTAAAAACTTTTTTCAGACCCAATTGCTTTCAGATTGTTAGTAATTACGATAACAATACTGAGCAGATTTGTTATGTGTGTGCTGATAGTGTGGATCTTGCTCAGGTACAGTGTACTATACAGTCATTTAAAGTAAAATAATCTTAATACAATATATTTTTAAAAGCAACAACCGTTTGATTTTTGTGGGCTGTGGCAAATCTTGTAATTCAATTTTAACCCACTATAATGCACTGAAAATCAGAAAATAAAATAAATTTGCTTTCCATAATAAAAGCTTAGAACACTCATGGGCTTTCTTACATATTTTAGTTACCCTAGCTTTCATTAAAGAAAGCAAGTTTGTTTTGTTTTCTGATTTCAGTGTATTTAATGATTATTATTATTATTTTAAAAAATGTATTTAGCATTCACAACTGCTTCAATTTCCTTAGTCTCTGAGAAACATATTTCATTGTTGAATTATTTTACACACTTTTTTCCAAGTTTTTTACAATAGTTATTGGTGCACAATCTAAACAGATATTTTCTTTTAAACCTTGCTGCAAGGCTACTCCGTCAACTGCTGTCTGTGATCATGATAAACTGACTAATTAGTTATGTTAGCTATGTGACTATTCAAAATGAATAGATATTTTGTGACCAACTACCCCTCTTTATCATTGAAATATTTCAAACGTTAGCCTGCTAATGAATCAGTATGTACAATGTAGTAAATACTTGAGTATACTGTGTATATAAAACCGTTTTTCCTTTCTTTCTAGAAATGGATTCAGGTTTTGAAACCATATTGTGACAACTCCAAAGGAAATAAATCACAGCACCATGCATCACTTAAAGAGTTCCATAAACTGGAAGTGAGCATATTAGATGCACACCGCTTTTCACCTAAAGTTTTGAATCATTCATACTGTGTGCTTAGCTTGAATAATGTCAGAGTAGGAAAAACAGATGTGGTTGAAGGCTCAAGTCCATTTTGGTCAACAGATTTCTTTTTAGAGTAAGTAAATGAATAACTCAAAAATCATATCCTCAACAATAGTTTTTACTCCTTATAGTTATAGACTTAAAGAATAAAAAAAAGTTTTAACCTACTTCAACCCTTTGAACCTGCGTAACGCATTATCAGTCGGAGCCTTAAATATCCATGCCTTGAGGTACCCATAAAGCGGTACTAGACACCTTACCCCAGATTGGCAGTTTGTACATAAAATTGCTATATTAAAAAAGTATGTAACTGGTATTGATCGACTTATTGATCCGTTTTTTGTTTGTAAATGTATTTAAATACTTTTTTCTTTTATATTTAAAAATAAATTATTTTTTTCAGTGACATTCCACCTATAGTTGAATCATTTACAGTCTTGTTATTCAACAAAATTAAACGGCTTAAAGATACAGAAATAGGTAAACAGCAGTATTTTTCTTGTGCTTATTTGAGTTTGACATTTGGGCCATTGTATGAATCCCTGTTTGTCAAAGTTTATGTTCACTATAATGTAATACAATAAATGTAGCCAATATATTTTATGTCAGATGTCCCTTGCTAAAGTTCAGTTGTTCAACATACTGTGTTCCCAATTCTTGAAACACCCAGTACTGAAAAGCTAGTTTATCACTTATTTTTACACAGACATGTTTTGTCTAGTAATAGGTGTGTATGTTAATGCCTTGCAACAAAATAAAATACATGTTCTACAGCTTTATAACATAAATCTAACATAATTTCTAGCTTCAGTGACAGTTTCATTGTCAGAATTAGCTGGTAAAGGCTTTGTTGATGAAACCTATACACTTCAGCCAACACCAGGTATGAAAGGTGAAATGGGAACATTGCGCTTAAAATCTCGTTACCAGCATGAGATTATTATGCCTCAAGAGGAATATACAAGTTTAAAAGAGGTAGCTTTTTTTATAACTAATTAGCTATAATTATTTTTACAGATTTGCTAAAAAATCACAACTGGTATTTGCAAAATATTTTAGTCAAAAAGGTATTTATTTCAGTTATTGCTGGATGATGGCTATGAGCACATAATGGCATTGTCTCAAATATCAGGGGAAAGTGAGCGCACAACACTAGCTTATGCACTATTACAGATCTTTCGGCATGAACGTAAAGAAGCTGGTTTACTCTGTGCTTTAAATGACAGAGAAATAGAAAAAGAAGGTTAGAAAAAACTTAGCAACATTTTACATAAAATTTAAAAAAGGTGCATTGTCCTTTAAATTTATCCTTTAATAAAAACAAAACTGGAAAATACATTTAAAAATAAATTTTAAACCCATTTTCTCCATTATCATTTTACCTTCTGGAAAAAAGTTTTCTTTTTTTAAATCTATAGCTGAAGTTTCAACATTGTTCAGGGCTGGTTCCCTAGCCACAACACTTATGGTGCAATACATGAAATTGACATCAACTAATTTTGTACATAAAGCTGTCAAGGAGTCTGTTCAAAAGATTGTAGAACTAAAGCAGTCATGTGAGGTAACTAAATTTTAAATTTAAAAAAAAAATCTATCTTTTGTCAACAAAACTGATAATTTAGAAAACTTTTAAAAAAATTATAAAACTGCATATGTGTTAATGATATAACTTTGAAATATAAACATTTCATTTTAGCTTGATCCAAAGTTTTTGGAAAACTCTACAGACAAGCAATCAAATTCTGAATTCTTTCTTCGTCTCCTTACAGAAGTTGTGGAATCCATATTTTCTTCTATAGATTATTGCCCTATGTAGGTGTAACTTTAATTGTTAAATTGATCTTTATTGCAAATAATTCTACTAGGATATCTGAATGTTTATTAAAAAGTAATTATTTGACTCATATATTAACTACTACAAAAATCAAACTTACTCTGTTTCATGGACACACTTATTTAAGGTCCAGGGTGGGTTGTATATTTTCTTTTATTCAGAAGGAAAAATATGAATCTCATACATTTGGAAATGAACTTAATAAATAAAGATAATATAATTATAATAAATAAACACTTAAAGATCATATCAGCCATCATATCCTCAATAACATCAAGTAATTATAAGTATTAAGTTCTCTGTGTGTTAATTAATGCAACAAAAAGTATATATTTTTTTTTAGCTAAGGGTTGTTCATAAATGACATTGTGCCAACATATAGCCATTGCAACATGATTATGAGATGACCACTTAAATCTTAGGCATAAATCTTAGCCTTTGCTTAGAGAGACTTGTTTTATTTAAAAAAAAGTTTAACAGGTGCACAAGACTTAAAGCTGATAACTTTAATTCTTGTTGGGTATAAGCTATATTGTGGGGGGGGGGGGGGGGGAAATAGTTACAGAACTATTTTTATGAGCTGGTGATTTAATTAACTTATTAATTGTAGTAGTAAAATTGTATGAAAAAAAAATCTGATTAAATGCTTGCCTCTTTTTAAAGGACCCTGCGGTATGTATGTAGTTGCTTACAGAAGCGAGCCAAAACAAAATGGCCAAGTGATGATACTGTAAAAACGCGTGTTGTTAGGTATGCTATTTTTAAAAAAAAAAATTATGCATGAATAGGTTTGTTTTTAATTAGAGTTTTGGCACGTAAATAAAATAGTATTTGTAATTAATTTGTCACAAGGGCAGTTGCTCTAAGGTACCCTTTTCATGATTAGATTAGATAGTAATAGTTAGCTTGCTTCAGATAAACTAATTTATTCACAGTTTTATTAACAAAGTGCTTTATTCCTTTAACAGTGGATTTATTTTTCTTCGTCTTCTATGTCCGGCCATTTTAAACCCGAAGTCTTTCAACCTTGTATCAGGTATTAAATGTCTTCTCAACGAAGAAGTATTATGATAAAAATAAATAGTATATTATTATACATTAGTTTAAAAACAATAAACTTTTCTTGGACTTAAGCTGTTAAGGTATTGTGTTATTGTACATTTTCAGAGAATCCTTCAGAGACAGCAGCAAGAACACTAAAACTTATTGCCAAAGCATTACAAAATTTGGCTAACCTTGTTGATGTTGGTCCCAAGGTAATATATATTTTTTGTTTATTTTAAGTAAAGCATTATATTTTACTTAGTTTAGATGGTTGAAAATAGTGTTTTCAGCATTGTTTACAACATGTTATAATTCTTTAAGGCAATTCAAAAATCAGTGTAAAAGTATAGCCATCTTTTGGATTCATTTGTTTAAACTACACAAAAATTGCAAACCTTAAAAAGCGTGCTAAGGTTCTATCAGCTGTCATAATCTATAAATTGCCTGTCCATTTTGTAAGCTGGCAACAAACTATTGTTCCCACAAATAATTTCTTAACATTTTGATTTATCAACAAGTGTATATTTTAGTTCCATACCATTAGTGTTACAGCTTTTAGCATTAAGTAATTTATTTATGTACATATTAGTTTAAAAAAAATGTGTTATCATTTTCTAAAAGATATTTATTGTGTTTAATGCAACATATATTCTGATTACCAATATATTTATATATTAGGAAGCCTATATGGAAGTTGTCCAGCCTTTTGTTAAGAAAAATAAAGACAGAATGATTTCATATCTTGATGAACTTTCGGTAGGTGGAATATTGATGTAGAAATAGATTTTATTTAATATATTGGCTTCATATTTGTTAAATTTATAAGCTACCAGACAAAAAGTAGGTATTCTAAATGAGCCGAAAAAAACGTACTGCGCGCAAAAAAATTTGGTCGAGTTGCGCCAACGCTCGGAGATCCGATACCATAATACATACGATTACACTAAAAACTAATATAGAAAGTAGAATGGACGCCCTTTAAGATGATATGACTTTGCCCGCTGTAAAATATAATTTAATGCTAAAAATAATAGATTTAAAAGTTTCAAATGATTTTTTTACACGAAAAAAATATTTTACAGCCGGCAAAATTATATATTCAGATCGGGCGTCCAATTTACTATAAAAATGTTATAATTTAATTAACACTTAATGTATGGTATCGGATCGCAGAAATAAAAACGAACGCATACGTATCGTGATGACCCGCGCTAACTTTTGCCGGCTTAAATCTAGTTTTGCGTAATGTCACGGAACACCCGGCTCAAGTTCAAAGCAGGATTTTGTGTTTATTCGCGGATTACCATGGATTTTAAACAATGTCTAGGTAAGTTAAGTGCTTTATAAATTATTAGCTATATTCATTTTATTTATAATAAACTGCTGCTTTAAACCATTTGCATTTTAGTGTCCACTTATCGGTAATTGCTACACGCTTAAAAAAACATTTACCAAAAAATTATCTAGACCTTTTTAAAAGTTCTTTGTATTTAATTTACGATTACCAAAATAAAAAAGGAATGCACAATTAAATCAAAAAGATGTTTAAAAGAGTGATAGAATTTAATTTGTATTCGTGAATTTTATTAATTACTAACATCGACCGATTAAACTCAATATATTGTCGATTTCAAGCCGCTTGTCGGCCATTTTTTTTTTTGCCTTCTCGTAATGTTGGATTCAACTATTATATTACGCAGGGTTAACAGCATACTTTCAATTTATTGTAGCATTGTTTATTTTGTTTTTCCTAGTTTAATAGTTAACTATTCTATATAATTGCAGTAATTACATTAAATTTTAGAATACTACGATCGTTAATGTTTCTTATCTCTAGGTTTATTGAACTGACGACATTAAAATAAAATGTAGCCCCCCTTCCATAATAGTTTAACCCAAAATTGTTTCTAGATCTACTTAGATTAGTTAGATTCACTATTGCTTTCATGTTAATATTTAGTAGTAGAACTATCTAAAGTGTTTACATTTAATATCTAAAAAAGCATTGAGCAGCCTTACTTTTAATATTATTCTATTTACAGAGCAAGATATTAGCAAAAGAAAGGGGAAACTGAAAGGCCTGTCAAAAATGTGTATTGTTTGTGTAAGCACCAACAGGACTACTGAATACTTTTGAAGGAAACCATATGTCAGATGTTAGTATTTTCTTCACTTTGCTTATTAGTTATAATGATGTAATGTTACATGATTGATATCTAAGTAGGTATAAAGATATACAGACCTACTATATAAGTCAGTATATTGGAAATGCTAATTAATTGTTTTTATTCACAGACATTTTCTATACTCTGGACCAATGGAAAGATCCCTTACTAGTTTCCATAATTTGATGTGTGCTGCCAGTTCACAATAATTTATTACAATGCTACTCCAAACCTTGAAGAAGAAGACTAACTCAACCAAGATATTGACTATTAATTACAATGCTACCCAACCTGATAGAGAACTTTCCCAATCAGGATATTGACCTGTCTTTTTGAACCTGCTCTAAGATTTCTGATAATTGTATAAGTTAGGACCTAGACATTTCCAGAAGTTGACATTGATCAATAACTAACTAGAAGAAATAAATTTACTGATAACAAGTAAATTTAGGCTAAGCATGTCATGATTAGGGAGCAGAGTAACAAAACTAGATGAACATCACAAAGCTAACAGTTAGGATCATTTATAAAGAATTTTAGTTTAATTAGTTATCTTACTTCATCAGTGTTTAAAAGGCATGAAATTTCTTCTTAATAAGTATATAAGTAAAGTAATAGTATAGTTATTTAATATTTTATAACAAAGTAATGCTAACATGTTTCCTACACAATTTATATTACTTTCTTAAAAGTGAGGACACTTTTTGCAAGATGTTAGGTAATGAAAATTCTTGATTTTGGGCGTTAAGGAAGGATGCCTTATATTGTTTTGCAGAATGATTATTTTATGTTTCTGTGTTTATTATATATTAAGAACATCATGTGCTTTAAGATGGTGTAAAATTTATTAAGATACTTTAATTTAATATTTTTTAATCATTTTTTGAAAAAGGGTGAAATTTCTATTTTTTATAAACTGACCTTGCAGAATCTGGTCTCGCTAATTACTTTCTTTATTAATTCTTTACCTGCTTATTTCATATTAACATGCTTTGAATTTCCTTTCTTAGAACATTTATATTATCAATGTGGCTTAATTAGTTTATTTTATATGATTTTTTAAAAATGACTGTAAATTGACTTTTTGTCTCCCTTTTCGTACTTTGGTAAAATTGTGCTTTGGCTCATTTTTAAGTGAATAAATTTTCCATTTATATCTGTCTGACAACCTTGAAAAAAATTGGGTTTGCTATTTGTATTACTGGCTGTGTGTGCAAGAAATTTGTGAGTTCTAACTTAGTTATTTTAGAAGTTAGTAGGGGTCTCAAATAGACCCTTTACTGCTCGAAAAGCGAACACATTTTTCGAGTTTAAAAAAATTCATAACTTTTTTAAAAATGGACATACATCAATAAATTTGGTGTTTCTGTTCTGATGAAAGCAATCCCTATCAGGTGGAAGTGTTAAATTTTATTTAATTTCATTATGAAAATTTCATTTAGAATACCTACAAAAAGTTGAAATAATTTTTGATAATAATAGTTCCTGTTTAAAAGAAAACTTCAAAACTTTGATCCTTCAAATTTGTGTGCCTTTTCAGAATATTCCCAAGGAGCCTCTAACTCATGAAAGTTTTACAGGGGACAGTGCTAGGGAACTTGCCACCATTCATCAGCTATGTGATACCCATCTTGATGCTCTTAAAGGACTAATAACAGCCCAGGTTCGTTTAAAATAGAATATGATTATTTTTTTATTTAAGTAAACACTTCAACTGGTGAATATTAGTTACGTTAAAATGAATTGGTAGGTTTAAAACTTATTGTTTAATACTAATCAGTTATATATTTTTATACTCAGTGATAGAAATACATGTGAAATATATTTACTTTTGTTTAACAAACCATAAAAATAAATAAATATTTTTATTTCAGGTATCAACAAAAAAAATTGTGGTTGTGACTGAAATGTTGACAAATCACAAAAAAAGATACATGGGTGATTTGTGCCATACTCAGGGATTTAGCTTAGTACAAAAGAATTCAATATAATGTTTTGTACATCAAGCATGCATACACACAGATGCATATCTTTACACTATTATTTTGCAGACTGCCATTACAGCTAGTAGGTATTTTCTCCTTGTAAAAGCTAGTGACGGTAATGAGGCTATTTTTTTTTTTTTTTTTTTTGCATTCAAGCTATTTGACAACTAGCAGTATGATGCTATGCTTTATTTCCTTATGGCATGTCACTTAAGATATGAACTGTAAACATTATTTTGAGTTTTTAAAGCATTCCCTAATCAAAATCCACTGCGACCTACCTTGCAATTATGCATTTGACACCATAAGATATTGCATTTAAAATTGATTGGACTTAAAAATATATTTATTTAATTTTTAAACCACATGTTGGTAACATCTGCTTCATGTCCATTGGTACTATTCCTCCAGTGTTTTCCTTTCCACTTTGTGTTTTGTTAGTAGAATCATTTAAGGAAAATAATATTCAACAAAAAAAAAGAAAGAGTATATTTTTAAAACTTTAACTTATAAAAATTCCTGATCAGAAAATGTATTTATTGCTTAAATTATGAATTTTCAACATGGTACATCATTATTCGCCATTTTGTGAGCTAGTCATCAAAACCAATTTTAAATATTCAAAAACCAATGAAACTCACTGGTTTTATTTTTTCAAATTCGTTATGGCCAATCTAATAGACACAGTTTATTATATACTAATGTTTAGGGTAATTTGGATGCTAAGAAAAATCTTTTAGCAAAAATGTCTTTATTGTAGGGGACTTACAAAGATCAGTCAGAGTTAATTGTTTTTAGAGAAAATTAATATCTACTTTGTGTAAATGGTTAAAAGGCAAGCTGGCTTTGCCTTTTTTTTTATAATAAAAATGCAAGTGTCCATTGCACTGCTGTACTGTAAAGTAATGTATGTATTTATGCAATTTTACTTTTTATTAGACACTTTCTTAGTACATGTTTTGGTGTTACAGTTTTTATTAACATTAAAGTCATCCTAAGTTTACTAAGATCCTGTTGACTTTATTAGCTGGGTTTGGGTGGGGGGGGGGGGGGGGAGCATTTCCATTGTTGAACTTTTATACATTTTTGGTTGATGTACTTGTGTTAAATCTGCCTGGAGCACATTAAGTGGAGTAATAACAAACAATTTTTGCAAGTGCCATAAGCAAAGTGAAAGTTTTGCTCCCGGTGACTAGCTGCTAATGTTATCCAGTTTTATGATGACAGATTTGAATTTTATAGTACTACTTAGTCCAAATTTCATTCATGATAAAAATGCATTTATTATAATATTTATTCTTAGAATAGTGCCATACCAAGTATTTTAATTATGAATCTTTATTCATTAGCAACATGGTTATATGTATCAAGCCGGTTTTGTTAAAGTGAAAAGTGTTTTTTTTTTCATGAAAATAGTTCTACAGCTAATTTTATGTAATTTATGTACGCAGTAAATAATAAGGCAAACAAATATGATGTAAATACCCCATTAAGATTAGTGCATCATAATCAGTTTTGTAAAGTCTGAAGTGGATTGTAACTGTTACAAACTGTTTAAAACAAAAGTATAATGAACTTTAATCAATATCAAGACCTTGTTTGTTGCTTTAAACAGATTTCTCTAACCACAATGCAGCACCTGTAATGTTTTACTAATTGAAACAAAATATAACAGTGATAGCCTTATATACATATGGAAAATGTGATTAACATCTACAAATGTGGTATTTTTTTTCTACATAACTTGTATTCATTGTTAACAATGGAAAATATGCTACTGTAAGAAATGTTATGCATCAACAATGATTGTGATTTTTAACTTTGTTACAAAGAAATTTTGCACATTTTCTTATGTAATGTATATAGTCATATTATTCAAATTACTATAATGGGCAATGAAGAAGGTACTATGTAGTAGGATGATGAGTAACACACATCCACCATAAAGCAGTTTTGGATAAGTGTGTTGGTTAGGTTGGTCTTAATCACAGGCAGTGATCTTCTTTAATACTTTTATGCATATTCATCCCACCTACTAAAAGTTTTTTGCAATACAATTAAATAGTTGTTTCCTGACGCCTTATGGTTAATTGTAAAACATAATGTCAAAGATCTTTTGAAAATAAGTCTATTTTTTTGCATCTGTGTATTTTTCTATTAAAGTAGCATTTCCATCTGTATTTAAAGAATTTTTTAAAAATAAATTCAAATAATTTTACTTTGGAAGTAAGGAAACCGTTCATTCAACACAACCAGTTGTGATTTAAAAAAAAAAGATTCTAAGCATTGGTGTTGTTTAATAATAAATCTGTTTTATGATTATTATATATGTAATAGAACTAGTTGGTGTGAACACATCTTTGTTAAATATGCACAGATTATTTTTAAAGCAATATTTATGTAACCATGTTTTTGTTCTTTTAACAAAGGAGAATGTTTTAAGAATGTTTTATGTATTTTCTGAAAAAAGTGTCCAGTAATATTAACAGTTAAAATGAAGATCATTTTAATTTTTATAAAAAGAATTTTTTAAAATCTGACAGTCAAAATAAGTATGTTCAGCTCAGCCAATGATCACATTTATTTGTTACTGGTAATGCTGATTTAATTTCCCAAGTGCATTAGTAGATTAAAATAACATCAAGATTTGTGCCTATTTAAACTACATTTTAGTTCTTCATAGGTAAGACTACAATAAATTGAAGTTAACCCTGGACAAGTGTATGTAAATGTTAAGCAAGCGGTACCTGAGACAATTTATGCATATGCATTTATCTAATTTATAATATTTATATGAAAATTTTGTTAATGTGAATACCAACATTCTTTAAACTTTTTGAATAACAAAGCTTCATCCTGGAAGAAAAAGAGAAATTAGTTCATCTTAATCTAACAATATTATAATGAAGTGGGATATATTTTTTATAGGAATGAAGAAAATATATTTCCAATACTCTGCTACTTATAATTAGCAATGACATTTTAAAAATTACTCACCAAACTAGCATACTGTTGCATACACAGTGTAAATTTACATTTTGATCACTTTTATCTTAAAATGTATTTTGCTGTTGCAATGCAAACAGATACATGTTTGTTCTTTTTTAAAAACCAATTATCAGTGTTTTTGACTTTAAAATGTTGCACTATTTTACTGATAATTCACCTTACATTTTTAAAAAAAACTTTGTATATATGTGTAAAATAGACAGTTAATTATAATATTGACAAAGTGATTAATAATGATGTTTTTAATAGATTTCAATTTATGGCAAAATATGTCATTTATTCATTTCATTTTAAAATTATAAACAATAATACATAATTTAATTATATAAAGAAGCTAATTATTCTATTATTTTGAAGTATTGGCATGAATAAATAACTTTTTGCAATAATCTTTAAGGTTTTATTTTGTGATTTTTTTTTTCATTTGTATAATTTGCCATTGAGAACTTTGATGCTATTCTGCCCTGTTGCCAAGAAAATTAACTAATTTTACATTTGACTTATCTAACAAGGAATTAGTTCAAATTGTCATTTCAAATTAGCACCTTTTAAATAAATCTGAATTAACATTTTAATGACAAAACCCAAGAGCTATGGATCTGAGGTTTGTGTTTAAATCCTGGAGAATAATTGACCTGCATTCTATCACTTGACATGCTACAAAAAGGTACCTTGGTGCCCTTTTGAGAGCTGTCACTATATTTAACACATAGCTTTTAAGGAAGACCAAACATACAACCCTTAGTTAAAGTTCCATTTTGGCTAAATTTTGATTATTTTTATATGACTTCATTTAAGCTGGTCAGTCTGTTTTTAATCTCATAAGAGGTATTAGACATTGTACTTTTAGTATGTATGCCTAACTAAAATTGTTAAACAGGAAAAAAAAAGCAAAAATTGACTCAAATGAGATGGTAGGTAATGTATCACCATTCAATTTAGTTTTTAATATTTTTGCTGGAGTGTACTTATGATCCTTCCAGAGGGGTAGCTGTGGGTTGGGTGGTCACCAAAAGGGGTAGAAAAAAACAGCAAATTAATTTTGAACTGCATTACAGAATTTTACAGTCAAAGTTAAGAAAATAAAATACTTGGCTTTACAGATTTACTTAACTATTTTCTACATCAGTGGCATGGATACAAAGCAGGTATGTAGGTTTATCTTGAAACTAAAAAAAGGAAGGCTTGCACTTACAGTGTTTTAGTGAATCCATGTAAAGGACAGGCATGGAGCATTGTGTAAAAGGTAACAGGCATGCAGTGGTTTTATTATAATCTGTGAATTATGTCAGGATTTTATTTTTGCCTACTGATTATTAAATTTTAATTGCAAAGGTAATACAAACATGGATTCTTTTGTCAGACAACTATTTTAAAGTGTAGTTTTAAATAAACAGCACAGTCAATAGAAAAAAGTCACCCTTTATAAAATGAATATTATATTTATTTATATTATTCATGTATGTTTTAGTTTAACAAAAATCACAAAACATTTGGAAAAAGTCCAAATTTTAAAAATAAAATAAATGTTTCAATACATGAGTTTGAGAGTAACCATTTAATTTATCCCAATATATTATTTAGCAATAATGACTAACAATTTTACCTTAAGCTTTTAACACAACACAGACATGCTTAATTGAATTCCTTAAACATTTTATTTGGTTATAGGGTTATTATTTTAAACAAAGATAATAAGAGAGTTAAGGTAAACACAAAAGTTAGTTTTTTCAAAGAAGCGTATTTAAAATTACAGCTTTAGAAAAAAAATTCAAGGGCCTACAATCAAATAAAACAGTACTGTTACGGTATTGATTCATTAAACACAGTACTTTATTGATTTTTCTATTGCAGGTGGGCTAAATTGTTTCATGCTAACACCAGTAGTGCAACAAGGAGGGGTTGAAGCCAACACAAGTGTGAGACTTAACCAACACATAGTGGTTTAACAAGTTCATTAAAATACATTATTTTTTTTTGCCATTCACACCATTTAATAGGTTTGGGCTGACACCAAATTAAAATAAGTATTAATCAGTAGTTTCAAAAAGTAATAATTAGAAAAATTGGTGTAATAACTGATGTAGATAGATAATATAATACAGTTTATGCCATACAACAAAATGTTTGATCTTAATAAGATTGTAAGTACATGATTTTATTAAGACTCATCTGATCAGGTGTAAACTAATTGAGACTCAGTGGGCTGGGCTTTATATCTGCAATTTAAAAAAATAAAAACAGATTTCTTTTCAGAATAAAGATGGGTATTAGTAGTACTAATAAGGAATGCTGACAACTCAAGGAATGTGATTTCAGATGAGGAAACTGAACTCAAAACAGTTGTGCTATGGAAAACATTGGCAACAGGGGACAGTTGAATAACACAAAGGGTGCAAAAAATATAACTTTTAACTACATTGGAAAAGAAAGAGTGAGACATGTTGCACAAAACTTGCTCATGAGGAAGTTAAAGAAAGCAGCTGTTTTCTTTAGTCATTACAATTTCTGAATTTGTTTTTATTTATGTTATGGCCAATACCTAAAGTTTGGTCAGTTCACAGTTCTAGATTACTTGTCAATGTTATACATTTTTTATACATATTTGTTTGATTGTTAAGTCAGTTTTGTCAGTTTGGTTAAGTTTTTGATCTTGATTATTAAAATTATGATCAATAATAAATAAGAAAATTGTATTCTCTAGTACAACTTGTGTTTATGGGCTTAACATGTGGGTGGAGAAACCATTTATCCTCTGACAGCTAAAACATGTTTGGGTAAAATTGGATTCACTCCCCAATTTTATCTGGGGCACAACACAGCTTTTAAGCTTTATGAACTTTTCTTTGGCACAGGGCGGAACTTCACCATTTTTTAACAACATAGACTTCTGTAACATTTTGCATTAAAAAGGATGAGTTTGATAAGAACCTTGAGAAGAAATAAGGTTGCAAGAAAGCTATACTAAAAGTAAAGTAGAGCCAAAATTTATCTTTAGAATGGAAGTAACAATGGTAAGCTACAAATCTGGCTAAAAAATGTAATTAAACAACTAGCATGTATATTGAAGCAAACATGATGACAAAAAGTAATGGAACGACACTGACTGTATGGTTTTACAACTCCATCAAAGGTGAAGTTAATTGTATGAGCTTAATGGCCCATGTTATGTCCACAAAAAGGTGTTTACAATTCCATTAAAAGAGGAGTTAATTGTATGGACTGATACACCTCGCTTTCATTCAACAAATGCTGCGCATTTTTAGTCCTTGTATTTAGTTTAGGTTTTTCCACCAGTCAACTTAACATACTACAGGCTGTCTAACACAAAAATACCCCTCACAATAGTTCACACCGCTTTTATACATACATTCGAACTTGCGGTAACAATACAATAACACATGGAGTTAAATTCAACTCACAGGCGCACTACCCCTGACTTCTAGGCTATTCCAACCCGACCTAACAATGACCCGTAATATGGACTTTATGGAATATACTGTATCTACAAAAAGGCAAACAAAAAGGTGGCCTATAGTAATGTTTTTTTTTTAACAAAGGCAGCTAACATAATTTAGGAGTTGAAATTCCTGTTGAACAGGACTTTGTAAAATGACAATCACAGATTCTTCCAACTTGATATTGCTAGAGGTTTTGTTCTGCCCCACGCTGAACACAGAAGATAGTTGTAAGCATTGTCCAGGCAACTAGATCACAATGGACCAAACACTGGACAGAGATTATGCATTAACTTACAATGTTAAGGCCACAATGGCAGCACCTAAACAAAAGCATTGTGGGGGGTGCCCTAGCAAGTCAGACAGGAAACATCCACCTACATTCACTAGTTAGCAAAAGTGTACCACATACATATGTTAAAATCATACAATTTCATTAGTTCAATGTGCTTTTAATACTTTTAAAATAACCATTTCCTGTTAACAAAAACTGAATTGGTATTATGCTTTATTCTTTTTCATGTATAATTTTGTACGGCTGTAACCAAAACAAACAACATACCAACATGTTGCATTGAAAGAACTAAATTAACACTAAAATATAAAAACAATAATATTATGAAAATATAAATGGGCTCTTTAGCCCATCTAGTGGTCCCGTTAAGATTTTCACTTCCTCCATAAATTATATATACCAATCAGAATGATGCACCTTGTACGCAAATACACTTTTATACAGTGATGAAAAGGTTATATGGATAGTGTTGAGGAAGAAACTATCTTTTCAAATTTGATGGCAAAGAGAAACTTTGGTGATGGTAACAAACAGGAAATAAAATTATTTGTTTTGTGCATAAAGAAGACTTACTGAAACACTTTCCAATATTCAATTTGAAATCTGGATCTGATGGTGCACTGAACTGTATAATCCTACATAAACCTTTTGATTCAACTCAAAATGCAATGTAGATCTCATAAAAAGCCAACATTATATTCAATCCTGTTATTTTGTTTGTGAAAAGCGGAAACACAATTGTACACAACTTGAACCTTGGAATAAATTACGTTGTCAAGAATTTTTCATTGTTTTACAACTTCAGAATACATTTAATTGTATTTTTGGCACAAAATGAAAAGGAAGAACCTTATTTCAAATTTAAATGCAAGTCAAAGATTACCATGAATCCCACACGTAAGGCTGGACGATACTACTCTTTTAGTACTTTAATTAAACATAATTATTTGAATATAAGGAAAGAGTTTCATAACATTATAAAAAGTTACAAGAAAGATTAATGGAAAGAAGCACTGAGGCTGCAGAACAAGTTGAAACGTTTAAATTAGTTCTTCTATTTAAGGTTCTAGATGATATAAATATCCAATCCAAACTTTTACAAAAACAAAAATTTGATCTCATGACTGCAACTGTTTATAAACTGCAAGTAAGCATTTGAAACAATACAGAAACAAGTACAGTTTGGTTAATGAAACTAAAACCACATTAGACATTAGGTAAACAAAGGCATGGAAAAATAGTTACTAAACAGAAAGAACAAGAGGCCAATTACCAGATGTATCAGTCCACTATCCCACTAAAGATGAAGCAATTCAAATTGTGGTCAAATGGAAAATAAATCAAGCTAGTACTAAAAAAAGCACCTTCACAACAACAAGATTGGGAGTCTTAAGATGTTTTTAGAAAAAGCATCATAGTACCTAATGCATTTTATTGAGTCTTCCCCACTAAATCAAGACCCTACATAGCTCAATAAAACAATATTTAAAATTCAATAGGAAATATAGTTATAACAAGTATCCCACTTAAAAAAAAAATGAAAACCCCAAGCTCTGCTGTTCAAACAGCAAAATAAAAATTGTCACCCTTTAGAATACCACCACCACAGACGAGAAGAAACCACAACATCAGAGAATTTTTGTGTCGACAAATACAAGTATTATAAGAAAGTATAACCTCTGTTTTCATACAGCATCCTTTTGAGCTACACATAAAGTCAGAGATGAAGTTGTTTGTCCACCTTTTAAGTTCAAAGCCAAAAATAGCACATAATTAGATATCTTCTCTGTGAGTAAAGATTCACACAAAATTTTATATACATTTTTTTTATGATTTTATGACCGATACAGCACCAGACTGCCACAGACACATTGATGGTCCCAAGCACCCACTCTACAGAAAAAATACTACTCTTTTTTATTGCTATTGAATTTGTTAACATTAGGAACAGAATTAAAAAAGTATACTTTACATAGGATTTTATAGTCACATGATTTCATAATATACTTAGCTAGTAATAAATGCAGCTCATCTCTAGATAACTATTACACAAAAGTAGTTTCTGAATCAGATCTGTTGTAAAAAAAGCGGCAACAAAAACAACCTTCAACCAGACAAGTCCATTTAGTGAGCTTAACAAATTTTAAAGTTCTTAAAAATTTAATAACTTGCTTATGTTAACAAAATTATATAATCAAAATGCAGTAGCTAATAAATATAATCAAGCTTTCTTCTACTGTTAGGCAAAGCACATAATATTTCTCTATGACTTTAAAATGATCTAAACTTAGGAAACTGAAGGAAATTAAAAAAAAAAACCCTTTTAAAAATTATCACAGAATTGTACACCAGAATAAAAACACAAAGTCAGTCCATATGTATCACATAGACAAAAAAATATATAAATCAAGATTTTAAATAACACTCACTTTTAAAAAAAATAATTCAACAACATCAAATCATACCAAAATATGAAAACTCCAATCAGATGTGAGTATTAGAAAAACTAGATTATTAAAAATTTATTTACATATGGCAAGAAGTTTAAAAAATTGGAAACAAAAATCAGTAAATCTTTGCAACAGGAATAATTTTGAATATTGATGTGTGTCCAGCAAGGGATGTAGACATAGTTTTCAGATATGTGTGATACCAATGATGATTAGCAAATGCAATAGTACGTGGATCAAATTGATTGTGTGGTAAGCTTTTGAATTTTAAGTTTTGACAAGCTCTGACTTGCAATTTTGTAAGTTTTTTCACCTCACTGCACTTAGTAAACATATATTTAAGTTTTGCTGGATCAATTTCAGGGTAAAAGTATTCAGATGGTGTGACATACACTGCATTTTCAGCTTCCAAATTAGAAGGCTCATTAACATATTGTCTGTATAACAAGGTTACAAAGTGAGGTCCTGTGCTGTCTAAATAGTGCCACAATATGGAATATGCAGGGAGGTTATCTATTAGCTTTTTCATAAATGGATGCCCTTTGCGACATCCAATTAATGCATTTATAAGGAGCTTATCAAAGTTAGTATCAATAATAGGATGTTCAAATGGTTCTTGTCCTATAAAGCAAGAGTACTTCAAAGCTAAAGGAAGTATAGAACTGAGTGCTTCCATGTCCATATCTATATACAATCCACCATACTCATGAAGTATAATGTAGCGTAAGGCATCCGCTCTTCTAATAGGCTCTAAATACCCATCATAAATATCTAACAAATGAGGGTACTTGTCAGAAATTAATTTCCTAGCACTTTGATCTGTCCATAGCCAATATTCCCAGTCTGGATGATGATCTGACCAAGACTTTATCCAGGTTACAAACTCTGGTGGAACATCTTCATTCTTCCAGGTCTGATGAATAATTTTTGGTATCTTTGGAATTCCTCCTGTTGGTAAAGTTTCTCTTTTGGTTATTTGAACAGGTGAGAAATTTTCAGGGATAGAGATATCAAGGCGAATAAAAGCGTTCATATCTCCTTCTTCCCACTTCAGTAGATAGTGTAGGATAATAAAAAAGATACACCCACTAATTACAGCAATCAGTCGTGAAGATAAATGACGAGACAGGAAAATAAATTTAGGATGAGGACGTGTGATTGAAGCCATCTGAAAAGTAAAGTGATACAACATAAAATAAAGTGATTATTATTTAAAGTGCATTTTCTACTAATTAGTTGACTAACAACTTTCAAGTGCTTATAATTTTTAACCAATGGGTTGTCCTTAAATCAGGGATTTGACTAGACTATGTAAAATAAAATCTCTAGATATTTTTGGGACGAGTTTTATAGCTAAATCTAGCATATCGCAATAGGCAGTCTGGTTGCAACTAAACTTCATAACAGGCCAGGACACACACGGACTGAGGTGAAGTGTTAGATCTAGAAAGTACTTGTAACTAGTATAGATTCTATTATAGATTCTTCTTATCTAATAAACTAGACTAGAAAGTTAGAGACAAAAACTAGTAAAAAGTGTGAAGTCCCATGGATTATTTTTTTTTATTAGCATAGGGCCTAAAATCATTCATTAAAAAATTATTTTAAATATTATGATTATGATTCAATTAGTAAAAAAAAGTATCATACTTACTAATAATAAACTTATTAAACTATAACTTAATTATTAATTTATTAAACTATCATTAGTTACTTAGTGTCATGGTCATGATTTATCCCAGTTTAGAGTTTACTCAGTTTAGGGCTAGCCTTAGGGCCCTTAGGCTAACTTAGCGGCGTAACGGTTTTACCTAAAAATTTGCCTAAAAAAAAAGATTTCAAATTAGTGAAATTAGGCCTAGGCCTAATTGTAATTAGTAATTATTAATTAAAGTAATTTTAATAATTTAATTAATAATTATTAATTAGGCCTAGGGGCCTATAATTTTTAAATTTACCTTAGAAATGTTAAATAATAAATATTATAAAATGCTTATTGACATAGATCTATATGCTTTACAAAAACAGGCCTAATAATAACTAATAGTGTAATAGGCTTAATTTGTTTATGTTTATTTTAGTCTATTCATCAGTATCATAGATCCAGAATCTACACATCAATCTTCGTAAACTATTTAATCCAATTCCGTTTCTTATGCTGTTTTCTTTTTGTTGACTAAAAAGCCTAATCATAAGGCTATGAATTCTACGGCATAGGATACGAAACAAGAAAACATTTCACTGGAATATGCCATCGATCCTCATATTTACACTTCTTTATTAAAACAAAAATACATTTTAAAACTTTCAGGTTCAAGCATTAAATATCGAATTGATTATTTTTAAGTTTATTTACTAGAATCATCAACTAAATGTATTGAATAGCTAAGTTGATGTTTGAAAACATGCTTCTGAATTCTTTATTTCCTTCTCTACGTCACATAACAACGTTTACAAATGGTGGGCAAGGGGGGTTTACAATTACTTATCCAAACAACAAAAACAAGAAAAACCTCGGTAATAAACCACCATGCCAATAAAAAAGCGTGACTTTTGGATTGCTCAGAGTACGAAGAGATTTTCCTTCTTTAGTGCGTATGAATTACAGAACGAGATAGGCAGGTTAGTATTGATTATAACATTTCAATTAAATAACATTTATGATCATAGTTAATAGTAATGGGCAATAATGGGCCTATGCAAAACGAATTCAGTTGTATGTAGACTAGAAATAATAAAAATCCAGATCTATATATTTTCTCATGGTTCTGTGGGTCTATTTAAGAAAAACAAAAGTATTTTTAAAAAAACCAAGAACAGGTTTGTACAAGATCTAGATCTAAATGTAACTAAATAAATATTCAATTTAGATTCTAGTTTTGGATGTAGATCTATCTTATAATATGCAAATATATAAGGCTAATAGATGGGATCACATATAGATCACATATAGATCTAATAGTTCGTATGCTGCTCTGGTTTATTTTCTCATCGAGCATATGTATCGTTTGTATGCTATAAACAATGGTTTATTCCCTATTTTCTCATAGATCTATATGGGATCATACGTATGGTTTGTATGCTGCACTGGTCTATTCCCTATAGGCTAATAGATGGGATCACATGTATCGTTTGTATGCTTCACTTTTTAGCGCAATTTCCATAATGGGATTGCGATTATTAACTCGTCATTTCTGGATGGATGGATGGATGGATGTGTGTCCGCAGCGTGTCCGCAGCTTTTCGTATCTCCTCCTCAACGAAGCAATATCGAGGACTAGTTCCAAAAGCAAATATGTTAAGCAAATTCCGAGGATGAACATAGGCCAAAAAAAAATAATCCCGGAATTCCTTCCTGGATTTCCCGGAAAAGCAAAAAAAAAAACCGCGAAAAAAAATGCAGTTTTTGGCCCATATCTCGGCAACCAGACCACTTAGCGACTTGAAACATTTACCAATCGATTCCTGTCATAATTTAAAACAATATTGCCGAAGAATGTTTTCAAAAATATCCTTTCGTTCGGTCACAAAAAATTAATTACTACTTTTTTAAACTGAGCATCGTGTAGGCTTTTTTCCCCCTTTGATGCGTAGCTGGACGCGTTCTGCGGTACACGCTGCCATTGGCCAGACTCGCACAGATCTCTGCTCGTGTGGAGAGAAACGAAAAGGGGTGCAAACATCTACGGGTGATTCGTTCGGTCACAAAAAATTAATTAAGGAAATTGCGCTTAAATTGTCACTAGACTTTTTATTAACTTGTTTATTCCCTATAGGCTAATAGATGGGATCATACGTATGGTTTGTATGCTGCACTGGTTTATTTCCTAAAAATTAGCAGATGGTAAAAAGTTGGGGTCATCTATAAATGTCGTCATGCTTTTTTTTTGTCACCAACCGTAAAAAAGACAGACTCACACCATTAAAATGACGTTTACAATCCCCTTAAATGATTGCATTAAAAAAAAAAACATCGATTTCTTTTTAAAAAATTGCTGAGTTCGGTCTATATGAGTCAATTTCTATAACAATTTTTAAAAACCTGAAATAATGGCTAAAATATTCAGTTCCAAATATTTATTTTCAAAATCAAAAGTGTTGTCACACTTTCTGAAATACCCCCCCCCCCCCAAAATAAATAAATAAATAAAGATAAAATAAAGTAAATTAAATTCTGATCACCCTCCCCACAGAGTTTCTTCCAGGCGTCTACCGCCCCCCCCCCCGAACGAACTGGAATTTATATAGATTAAATACTTTTACTAGTGTCCGCCCCCCCCCCCCCCCGAAAATATCAAGTCTCTCTCTCCCCCCCCCCCCTCCCCGAAAGAAAAAAAAGTCAGGAAGAAACACTGCCCACAAGGAGTGTGACTGTGACATAATTTTTGGACGACGAGCCCCTTGGTCCAAAATTTCAAATATCCGGATCGCGGGAACAACACTACGAATAAAAAAAATCTTTCGGCCAAATAAGGTGGATTAAAAAAACAGACTGAGAAAATTACTTCACTAGTGGGAATAATCATTAATCTAATCCGTTAATTATCCGTTACGTTATTCAAATGAGCGCATGCTTTGTACAGGCTTAAAATCTACAACTTTCTCTTCACCAGCGGTTTCCAAACACTGGAAACAAATCTGTTATTATAACGTTTTGGTCTATCTTCAGGTAACTTCCCCTCCTGCCCTCACCTCGTAGTTGATTGACACAGATCTAATAACACAATGCTGTCACATAGGGAGAGCATGAGATGTTATCTCACTTGGCTTGCTTGAAAAATTTATATTACTACTTCACTAATCCAAGAAGCTTCCTCACCTTTCTTTCAGTTACCCCCCTTGGCCTTAAACAAGCATACTAGTGTTGTTTATACTGTTTTGACAAGATTTTTAAAAAAGTTTTTGGTTTCATACACGACGTATCATCGGGGTTTCTTTCTTACATTCTCCGAGGGAATGGTGGCGGACACTGGTTAAAGTATATATCTTCTATATAATTTTTTTTTTCATTTTGATCCGGACGGGTCGGTGGATGTGCACGGCACAATCCTTAAACAAAGGACGTCACCGGAAAGCTATATTTCTGTTGGAAGATTGTGGTCAACTTGTTTAGTGTACAGCACACTTATCGCATTCACAAAACTAGACAAAAGCTTCTTGAACTTTCCTAAGCAATCATTGAAATAAAGCTTTAGGTTTCTCTAATGATTTATACAGTTAAAAGTAACCTTCACCCATGATTTTCTTGTGGTTTGTATCGTACATTCTTACTTAAAGAAGTTTATCATTTTAAAAAATCTACGAACTTGTATTTATATTTTTTCTAGAGGACCCAACTCAATAGTCTACAAATGTCAAAGGAAAGGTCTGGATTTGTTTTGGTCAGTCAAAATCTTAACAAAAAATGTAAGTGTAACAAAGTAATGTACAATTTTTGTCGATTTATTTTTATCTCTCCAACCCTTCATATCGTCTTGAAAGTCTTTAATAAAGTATTTAATAATTTAGTCAACCCTTCCCCTATTTTTACTTAAATTGTAATATAAATATTTACCTATTAAATCAATCCAGTTTATATTTAAAACAAGGCTCGTTAATACTCCTCTCATAGTTTTTGCAACACTTTGCAATTGTTGTATGTTAAAAAAACAGCAGATGTCAGTTAATTTTATTAGTTATTTACTGCTGTTGTAGTGACTAGAATATTTGAAATAAGCTTTGAAACAAATAGCCTACGTGCTATAATATAATTATCAATTTTAAAAATAACCAAACAACATCTTATATAATCGTATTGCGGAAAGATGTTGAAATGTGTTTAAAATAATGATATAAACTATTTTTTTTTGAAAAGCTTTATCAACGTGTTTATTTGAATGAAGCAGAGTCATCTAGACCTCTAAGAGTCGCCTCGAAGTAGTAGTAGCGACAGTAAACCCTGCCTAGAGAGCATGGACTCTAGTTAAGGGTCACCCCCTCCTTCTCTCCTCCCCCCCCCCCCATCCTCAAGGCGAGAGTGACTCACGGTCTGTCATAACAGACACACACACACACACACATAACAGGCTATCCGATACATTTTTAAAAAAATTAAAAATGTTATCGAGCGCCATACTAACTATTTAATGGTTATTTCTACACACCTGACCATACCCAGCACGTTGTAAATCACTGATCACCGTGGGTTTTGTTTTTCTGCAGATAAACAAACAAGTTCCTTTAGCCAATGCGGTAGTTCTTCTCAAGCTGGACCATAAAAATTTGGTAAGCTTTACTAGACACAACTTGGATGTTTTCCGTGTCTTTGTTGTTTATTAAGAATCAATAGGAGTGACGTCATACATTGTTGTCCTCATCACATTAAAAAAGTTGATACTAAAAGTGAAATTATCACTATCACCCCCCCCCCCCCCCCTCAATGTTAACCGTCTCGGGTTAAGGTACGTCGATTGGCGACGGCGCACTCGAATCTCTTTCAATTCTCTCAGGCGCACTAGTATCTCTTTCAATTCTCTCAGGCGCACTAGTATCTCTTTCAATTCTCTCAGGCGCACTAGTATCTCTTTCAATTCTCTCAGGCGCACTCGTATCTCTTTCAATTCTCTCAGGCGCACTCGTATCTCTTTCAATTCTCTCAGTTTTAAAAATTTCGAATAACCACTAATTTACGTTGTTAAAATTGTTATGTACATTCAGTGTTTCTTCCAGACTTTTTTCTCCGGGGGGGGGGGGCACTTGATATTTCGGGGGGGGGGGGGCGGACTACATTTGAGGGAAGGGGGGGCGGACACTGGTAAAAGTATACACTTTCGATATAAATTCCATTCGTTCGGGGGGGGGGGGGCGGTAGACTTTTTTCGGGGGGGGGGGGGGGGGCAGAATGCCTGGAAGAAACTGCGCACATTCCGACACCCATCCCCTCTATCTACCATATCAAAATCTTTAAGTCTTTCCCACTTCTCAGATCAATATTAATAGATTTCTGTTTCCAAAGTTGCCACCCCCCCCCACACACACACAAGGAATACGTGACGCCAAGGGGCGTTGGGTGACTCCATTTTCAATCACCTTTGTACTTTCTACTTGAAAACTTTTGTTGAACGTAAGTCATATACTAATACACATAAAGGTTGTCTGAAGATATAAAATTTGTACTTTAAGGTGAGACTCCAAGAAATCTTTGAAACACGGACTAGAATTTATGTGGTGCAAGAGTTGATCACTGGTGAAGGGTTGTTTGAGAGGTACTTTGATGTTTGTCTACTTCAATTATAACGAAACAATAGCATCTCCATTGTCTGTAATTGATCACGAAATATATATATTTTTAAATTAAATGATTACATTAAGTAAAACAAAAGAAATATCTTCAATAGAATAAAATGAATTTTTTTTTTAAATTAAAAAAAAAAACAAAAAAAAAAAAACAAAAAAAAAAAAACAAACAAAAAAAAAACAACAACAAAAAAAAAACAGCAGCATAACTATGGCAAGCTCTTGCTTTTAGGCTGAATGAAATAACAGCTTTACTCCGTAAGGCGGTTGCACTTTTCTGTAATGTATAACACTAGGTCAATGATTGAAAAAATTCCATAGAAGCAAAAAAAAAATTAATGAGGGCGCTTGCTTACTTTTTGTTTTCCCTCTCGTTACGTCTTGTTGACAGATGTAATTAAGTTGAAGAACTGTGTCACGTGATCTCCCCACTAACCAGATTTGGAGCAAACGCTTGTTGCAAGACGTATTTTTTCCTTGCTTTTATCTAGACGAAAACAATGGAGCGGAAGCCGTATTGGGGGGGGGGGGGGGGGGGAATGGCGGAGTTTAAAAATAAAATCCAAAAACTTTACTTGTTTCATATTGGTATAAAAATATTTAAGATAAAGAAAAAGAAACTAAACATTCAGCCAAAACAATGTGTTTATTCGGGCGCAAATTGTGGTATTTTGATGATTTGTTCCATGTCAGTAGTTCTAATATCATTTTTATGTCGCTTCTAATAAACTTCTCAGACGGTGGCTAATATTGACCTAAACAACCTAATTAACGAAAATAATACAAATAACAGTAATTTACTAAACAAATAAATTGTTTGATACTCCGCCACAATAAAATCACAACAGCAAATCTTTTTTGGAAAATACCACAATGTATATAAAATTAACAAATGACTTTTTAAAAAGAACTAGCTCTACATATCTTTAGCCATGACTATTTTATACTTGTATCGAATATTAATCACCAGAATAATCAAGTTTAAAATGTTGCTGTTACTCAGTTATAACACGTAGTTTACGAAACACAATTTTAAAATGGTAGCAACTAACACACTCCGCTTGTGAACTATCCCATTACAGGATAACGAACCCAAACAGCCCGGCCTACACGGAAGGGGTCATTTCAAAAGCTGTTAGAGATGTGGTCAATGGACTAAAAGTAAGTCAGCACTTAACGAACACCGTGAGAATGATCCACTCACAGACCAAAGTAATTTATTTGATTACGTCTAGTCTGTTGTAGATGTACGAATTAGTTTAAACATTGTTACATTTGGGGAATCTGACAGGCTGGTACATAGATGTTAATGACATCAAACTATAATTGGTTGTATTGTCGATTAATGGCGTGACACTAACAGTTTTTAGATCCTGGCGTAGCCGGTCCATCGAACACTAAATGAAATGTTGTCCTCTCCTCCCCATTAACCCCACGCCCCGGGTAATTCTCCATCGGCCCCATTAGACTATAAACGTGTTACATTTAGCACTTAATCACTTAATGGCTAGGAAACTTCTCATCAAAACAAACCTAACCTTTGTCAGTGCAACAAGCTCGCGTTTATTGTTGTTCTGGTAACCTCGAGGCTTTCTCTGACAATCTTTTCATTAGTCGTATGTAATATTGTGAACATTTTGTCGATCTTTTTATAAGTCGTATGTAATATTGTGATTTTGTCAATCTCTTCATTAGTCGTATGTAATATTGTGACCATTTTGTCAATCTGTTCATTAGTCGTACGTAATATTGTGAAGATTTTGTCAATCTTTTCATTAGTCGTATGTAATATTGTGAAGATTTTGTCAATCTTTTCATTAGTCGCATGTAATATCGTGAACATTTTGTCAATCTGTTCATTAGTCGTATATGAATGAAGACTTTCTCTCTCAATCTTCTTAGTAGTCATATTGAATGTAGTGAAGACTTTTTCTGTCAACCTGCTTTAAAGTCGCTTGTACTATTGTGAAGTTTTTTCTGTCAATCTTCTTAGTAGTTGTACGTAATATCGTGAGAATAGTAGACCATTTGACCATAGTGACAATGACATTTGCTATACTATATTTAAGGCCATAATGACAATGACAATGACCAGACTATGTCAAGTTTTAAGTCATTGATTTTAATCTTTCTTTTTACAGTATCTCCACTTTTGTGATTATGTGGTCAAAAACCTTAAGGTACGGACTTCGTGTTTATTTAAAAGTTTAAAAAACTAAAGGGACCAAAATACTTTAATGTTATGTAAATATGGACATATCAACACATACCTTTTATGTTATAAAAGTATGAGCATACAAACAGGTAACTTTAAAGTATTGAAGGATTACCCAATAGATTTAAGGTTATATAAAGATGGACCTACCAATACGCATCTAACAATAGTCAAACAGCTTTGTTCTCGTTAGAATATCATGAAAACAAGTAGCCTATAAAAAAAATTAAATTGTGTTAACATTTACAAAAACCTACTCATAAACAAGTTACATACACATAGTTGACCATCCGATCGGACATCGCATAGTTCCACATCTGATATAATTTACACATAGTTGCACATCTGATATATCTTGCACATAAAGCACATCTTATCTAACATACATACAGTTGCACATCTGATAAATCATGCACATATAGCACACTTGATCTTCTTCTTCTTCTTCGTTCTTAATTATTAGTGTTGAAGGGGATCGAGATTTATCTGCCAGTCGGTTTGAACTCGAGACTTTGTTCGAATTTATCAACCATGAGCTTTTTGCCGACTCGACCACGCCTCCAACACAATTAAGCGTTACGTGTCAACTGGTTATGCGCCATTGAGGCCATTGACTCCGATTTCAGCCTGCTTTTCTTTTTGGATTTGCTTCCATAGCCTTTGTCCAACCAAGAACAAACTACAAGGCAGCAGATGTTTAATTTTGGAGTTGTCTCTCCTAGAAGAGTGGCTGTCCCCAGCTAACGAGCCTCATCTGCCCGAGGGTTCGAACTCGAGACTTTTCGGTTTAGCAACCATGAGCTTTACCGACTCGACCACGCCGACCCCTTCACACTTGATCTAACATACACATAGTTGCACATCTGATATATCATACACATATAGCACACTTGATCTAACATACACATAGTTGCACATCTGATCTAACATACACATAGTTGCACATCTGATCTAACATACACATAGTTGCACATCTGATCTAACATACACATAGTTGCACATCTGATCTAACATACACATAGTTGCACATCTGATCTAACATACACATAGTTGCACATCTGATCTAACATACACATATAGCACACTTGATCTAACATACACATAGTTGCACATCTGATCTAGCATACACATAGTTGCATATCTAATATAACATACACATAGTTGCATATCTAATATAACAAACACATAGTTGCATATCTAATATAACATACACATAGTTGCATATCTAATATAACAAACACATAGTTGCATATCTAATATAACAAACACATAGTTGCATATCTAATATAACAAACACATAGTTGCATATCTAATATAACATACACATAGTTGCATATCTAATATAACATACACATAGTTGCACATCTAATATAACATACACATAGTTGCACATCTAATATAAAATAAACATAAGTGCACATATGATCAAACAACACCTGGAACAAACTAGCTTGATTATTTAATCCATATTTATTTCCACACAGCCAGAAAACCTGTTATATGCAAATCCTTCAAGCGAAGCACCTTTAAAAATTGGTAAAAAATAGAAACCTTTAACGTGTTAAATTAGTTATTCATTTTAACTCATCGTAACTATCACTTCAATCACAGTACGAGACTTATCTAAATTAAGCAGCAATATATTATTGTAAAATTACAGGCTCAAAACTCGTGCTGTTTCGACTCAATGCTTGTAAAACATTCGCCACAAACTAAAGAAGTTTAAATTAATAGTTGAAGCATTTCTATACTTTGTGTTGCATTATCTAATCAAAGAGATATACTACTAATTCCTACACAAATATAAATGGTAAACTACTTACGAAGAGCAAATAACTTTTTAGAATAATTATTTCTATCCGGCTTTTATAATTATGTTATAAAATATTTAATTTTTGAGAACCGTTTGATATTATGTTTCTGTAGTTCAAAATACTTAATTTTTGAGAATCGTTTGATATTATGTTTCTGTAGTTCAAAATACTTAATTTTTGAGAACCGTTTGATATTATGTTTCTGTAGTTCAAAATACTTAATGTTTGAGAACCGTTTGATATTATGTTTCTGTAGTTCAAAATACTTAATGTTTGAGAACCGTTTGATATTATGTTTCTGTAGTTCAAAGCAAAGTACCACAACAAAATTATTTCCAACACGTTAAAATAATTTCTTAGAACTCTCATCGCACATAAAGTTATCACAAATTTTGTTTATGTTAAAAAATTCTATTATGTTTGAACGTAAATATTAAAATGTATCTGTTTCTCCTGAATAGCTGATTTCGCGATGTCCACAATCGTTGGACCGGAAGTTCATTTATCCTCATTATGCAAATTTCCCAGTTTTACTGGTAATTTCAGTTTTATTTACACCCGTTAACCACGGTATTACAATGTTATTATCTATATGTCAATACAATATAATCAATACAAATAAATATACCAGTGTTAATAACGGAATTTTACAGTAAGTTTAGATTGACTGAAATAGATTTCTTATTTGCTGATTTCTTTTGCACGCAGCGCCAGAAATTATGAAAGGTTCGCCGTGTGGAAAGCCTGGAGACTTATGGGCACTAGGCGTTATAACATTTATACTGTAAGACTTTCATTATACTGCGTTTTTTTGTTAGTTATATCATGTATACTGTAAGATATTCATTATTTGCTAGTTATTTCTTATATATACTCTAAGACTTTTATTATTATACTACGCTTAGGTTTACTAGTTACCTCGTATATGATGTAAGACTTTCATTATACTGCGCTTTTTTACTAGTTATATCATATATACTGCAAGACTTTCATTATACTGCGCTTGGGTTTACTAGTTACCTCGTATATGATGTAAGACTTTCATTATACTGCGCTTTGGTTTACTACCAATTACATCTTGACTTACTTGACTTATTCCTGTGTGGCCCCTGGGATCAAAGGGCTGTAAAAACAACTCTCCACCAGACTAGGCGTTGGGCAGCTCTCTTTATATGCGCCCAGCAGCCCTTGCAGGGGCGTAGCGAGGGGGGGGGGGGCGGGGGGTGCGGACCGCACCGGGTGACACCATTTAGGGGGGTGACACCAAGGCAAAAAAATAGCAAAATATATAGAGAAAAACTTGAGGGGGGTGCAAATCGAAAGTTTGAGGGGGGGGGGTGCAAATAAAAAACTTGAAAGTTTGTCCCCGGGAAGGGTCGCAACGCCTCTGGGGGGAGGGGTGACACCATTAAGTGCCGCACCGGGTGACACCCGACCTCGCTACGCCACTGAGCCCTTTCCTCCTCTTCTCCAGGATTTTCTCGGCTGGTCTGCTTTCCTCATCCCCTGGGGATTCCAGTCTAGCGCTTTCTTTAGAGTGTGCATTTTCCATTTGGCTATTGTTTTGTGTTTTGATGTCTTTACTTGAAATTTTGTCTGGCCACCTTATCTTGTGGAACCCATTACGTGCTCAATTTAAATTCGCTTTAACAATTTAACATTTACTGTGTTCGTAAAACTGAAGCTCTAATAGGTGCAATGTTCAACAGATTGTTTGGAGTCGAGCCGTTCGCCTATGAAGATCCACTATTGCTCTTCAAAAATGTTATCAAAGGGCAGTATGAGTTTCCTTCTAGAGGCGAGGAAGACATCAGTACGGGGGCAAAGGTATCATTTTTTAAAACTTTTAATCTTCCGGTTGTAATGAACAAATTGTTTATGCACGCACGCACGCACGCACGCACGCACACATACAAACACGCACACATAAAAATACACACACACGGGGTGTCGACGTGGTCAAGTCGGTAAAGCTCGTGGTTGCCTAACCGACAAGTCTTGAGCCTGAACCCCCGGCAGACGAGGTTCGTTAGCTGGGGACAGCAGTTTTTCTAGGAGAGACAACTCCAAAATCAAACAACTGCTGCCTTGTAGTTCGTTCTTGGTTGAACAAAGACTATGGAAGCAAATTTTTAAAAAAGCAGACTGAAATCGGAGTCAACGGCCCATTTGAAACATAACAAGTTGACATGTAATACTTAATTGTGTTGAAGGGAATCCCTTCCAACATTAAAAATTAAGAAAGAAGAAGAAAGAGAAGATACACACACATGCACGCACGCACACATACATACGTAAGAACGCGCGCAAACACACTCACACATAATTATATAAGTCACAATTTAGGACTAGATGTATGGGGATATTGTTTAATCTATCAGGGGATACAGCTCAGCTGATAACATCTTGTATTTCAGGATTTTCTTCGCAAAATCCTGGTCGTGGAACCAGCCAAAAGACTGACCATCGAGGCGGCGTACCGGAACTGCTGGGTCAACAGCGTCACGTGCAAGCACGCCGTCCTGGACAACGTGGTCCTCAACATCATCGACTACAACAACCGGCGACGGCAGCAACTGTACCAGCCCCCACTGCCCATCAGCACCATCCACTCGGACGACAACCCGCACTATATACTTCTGGTGGAGCCCGCGCCGGAGCGAACGGAAGAGGAGGTTCGGGAGTCAAATATAGAGCTGACCCCAGAACAGGATGCGGAAGATCCCGAGAAACCTGGGGAAGTTGGGGAAGAGACCAGTGACGTCAATATGTTTAAAGAGGACCCGGGGCAGTTGAGTCCGCCAGTGTTGGCCTAGGTGATGACACGCTGGTGCCAACGTGAGAAGTCGTCATTACGGAGTAGACTGACACGGTGCTTGCATTGGTCAGTTCTTTTCGGACAACTCGTTTATAGGAGCCGTCTCATACCCGGCTTGGGAAAACTGTCTCGCATATTCAAACACTTGTTTTTTTTTTATCAAACTAGTGTTGCATATACCATCTGTTATTGAGCAAACAATTATTGCATTTACAAACATCTATTTTTGACCAAAACTAGCTTGCAATCACTGATATCTATTTTTGTTATAAATCAAGCCCATGTAGTTGAAATATACTGACATGAAACTGTTATAACAGTAGGCATCCTAACAACATGTCCGTATCCTAATAACAATACGTATCCTAATAACAATACGTATCCTAATAACAATACGTATCATAATGTATTAATATGATAGGATTGTTTTTGTTATGACAGTCATAAAAATATATTAAAGATTCTTCTAAAATCATTCTTAATTAATACATCCATTATGTATTAAACAAAATGTATCTTTCCTTTTGGGACTCTGTTTAACTGTCTGGATAGCCACTTTGTGAGTGATAATTTTAAATTGAATGAATGTGAATGAGATATTTCAAACCATGCAATTATTATTTGATACATTCCATCAGATTATTCTTCAACAGCCAATAAAATATGTTGAAGTCAGATGTTTTTCTCTTGTGTTGATGTGTAGCGTAATGTAGCGTTTGTCAGCACATTTTATATTTATTTTAATTCACTTAGTTTTACAAAACCTAACGAAAATATTGACTTTTTTTCTTACTATCGCACCAAGTTCTTTCCCCTTAGATTCTTTAATTTCCGTTTGTAGTATTTGTTTCAGCATTCATCCTTGCTGACGTTTTTAAGTTTGCGTGTCCCATGGGAAATAACTCTAGCCTCAGCCATTTGTTGTGAAACACATAAACTACGTGCTGTCTGGCACCGTTAAAAGAAAATGTCACGAACGATGATAGCACACAGAGAAGAAGAAAATTGCGAATAGAAAATAAACTTCAAGTACGAACAATAATTGTACTAAGGCAATTATATTGGGAAAACCGTTTTCTAAATTTGGCCATTGTACAGAAAAGAAGGTGAAAAATTCATTTATTTTAAAAATTGCTCTGTCATTAAGTTTCAAAATGATTTTAACATTTTGTTGGATTTAGATTAAAGTTCGGCACTTAAAGTTTATATATAGGTGAGTTATATATATATATATATATATATATATATATATATATATATATATATATATATATATATATATATATATATACTATTTTCTTTTGTCCTATTATTGACTCGAAATGTACTTCTAAGTATAGAATTTTACAGTGTCTACGATGCAAATATTTTTAAGACATATTTCAAAAATGTTTTTAATACCAATTTAATACCAATTTGGTTTTTACATTTTTTTAATTATTGGATTTTTATAAATGCATAATACTTTTAAAATGGTACACAAGTAGTTTAATGTTGTTTACATGACATTTTATCATTAAGAACTGACCTAAACAACTGAACGTGGTCGAATGATAGAGCCTTCGACTGCTAACCCGATAGTCTTGAGTTCTGATCCAGTTTTTGTTTCTATCAATTCAACTCTATTTTCTCTTTGTTACCCAGTTGCATATTTAAGTTTTGCTCATCATTGTCAGGAAATAAAGAGGACAACCTCTTGCCTGAGATGGAATGAAATCTTCATAGGATAAAAAAATTGAATGTAGCCATCGCTATTGTTCTCTGCCAATACTGTTATTTAACGGAATGTAAGGCATGGGGGAATTTCCTCTAATCCTGATGTAACAGACACAGCTAATGTAGTTCTAGACTGGTTTCGAGACAGATAATTAGGATATTGTCTGTTATATGTACTCACATATGCACAACCAATGGAGTTTTTGGTTAACTAAATCTCTTAACAAAAGACAAGGAAGTATGTTTTTATGTATGCCTCTAAGATTTTTAAATTACACTCAAAAGATATAATTAAAAGGAATATATATATATATATATATATATATATATATATATATATATATATATATATATATATATATATGAATTTTCTTAATTAAATTAAGGTTAGTATCTATTTAACATTTATATTCTTCTGATGACATTCAGTTTTCAAAGCACAGTAAAAAGTAAATGAAACATTGTTCAGACACTGAGCTGACCTATTTTTGTTACCGTAGACATTAAAAAAAATCATGGTCTTTTAAAAACTTGTTTGGTTCCTCTAGCAACGGCTTCTTTGTCATTCTCAGATCAGGATATCTTCTATTATAGGACGAGCATCATTAGTTCGCCGGGCATTAAGAATCACATGCTGAGGATAAAGACCCTAATTTATTATTGTAACGTCGAGACTAGTGCCATCTCCCAGAAAGGAAATCAGTTTTTTTCATCTTCGTAACTCCTTATTTGCTTTTTTAACATAATCAACTTTTTTTTTAATATAGCGAGAGTGAGCTCCCGTAAATAAATCCTTACATAACAGAAGGGGGCGGGAGGTACTTCCAGTGCAATCGTGCTAAAAAAATATAGAAGTTTGTGAGAAAATCACTCGGTTCTCGAGGAGACACATAGAGGTGAAAAGCTCTTAAAATATGCTCTATGAGAATATGATATAAAATCATCGAATTCTAAAGATTTTTGAGAAATAGAAAATTTCCATTCGTTACCGTAGCTTGTTCAAACATTTATAGAAACATGCGCACACAATTTTATAACATTTGAAATTTCGTCCACGTTACTGAAATAGCTACTCCAGTAAGTACCACTTCCGGTTACCGGAAATTCTTCAAGTTTGTAGAAAATTGTTATCATGTTTACATACACACATACCAGATTGCAAAACTTTTTTCCGACGCAGGTAGGTGTAAAACGTGGAGATTTGGATTTTTTTTCTTGTTGCAAGATTACAATACTTACTCTCCTTGTACGAGGAAGTAAACATATTGAAATTAATAAACTAATGTTCACAATATACTACGATACATCTTCAAAGCTGCTGGTAGTATTGGGGAGGGGGATACTAAAAATAGCAGACCTACCACCGTGCTAGACCAGTGGCCAAATAATTACAACTGGACCAGGTTCTGTAGAGTGTGTGAACGTAATTGAACCCATGCTTGTAGGTTTTGTGGCAAAGTGGTTCACTCTTACGAAATAGGTGGTGCAACAGACAAAGCCATAAATACTGAGACAAGAGGAAGAAGAGGTGAACAGCTCTTGTACGTTTTTAAACTCAAGATCTCAAGATAATAATTTAATTCATTTCCGATGCTAAATTCCGAAAGCTGGAGATAATGCACACATTCGTGTGTCAGGTGTTCACAGAGGTCGCGGTGATTAATTTTTTAATTATAATTAAAAATTAATTTATATGGATAATAATGAACAATACCCAATTGACGAGAATCCTATCATCATTATTGTTGACATGGATTTAAAAACGTGTTTTTTTTAGATTTTGCAATCAAAGCTACCGTAAAAACAATTTAAAAAAAAACATTAGGCCTGAAAATAATTCAGAAATCTATTATTTTTAGAATCAATGTTATAAAATTTGCCAATCCAGCAGAGGCGTAGCGACCCCTCCCGGCGCCCGGGGACAAAACTTTCGATTTGCACCCCCCCCCCTCGAACTTTTCATTTGCACCCCCCTCAAACTTTCAATTTGGCGCCACCCCTAAGGTCGGCGCCCGGGGACATATGTCCCCCCCCCCCGCCCCCACCACCCCTCGCTACGCCTCTGCAATCCAGACAGCTTGAAGATATTTGTTTTAGTTTACGGCTACATTTCTATTTATTTTCATCAAGCCTAAGTTATGACCTAAGTTTCACTTTCGTAAGACAAATCTTGATTGGCTCTACAGGAACGCCGTGTTCTATATTCTGAAAACTCCACTTCTAAACTAAACTCATAGTAATTTTGCTAAGTTACCGAAAATACTAAAAACATCAGTTACATCCGATCTTTAGTAAAGTCCAACAAAAATTAAACAATCAGATTTTATATATATATTGTTTATGACATTTATTTTATTAATATCATACAAGATGCCTAAAATATTAAATGAGCCTTTCGAATAATTATGACACTATTGGCCAATCTAATACGTTATTAACCATTTCAAATTTTCACCGGCCAGTTCCCGATTTGGTCGATTGCAGGCTTTAGTCTAACTTACACACATTATATATATATATATATATATATATATATATATATATATATATATATATATATATATATATATATATAAATATATATATATATATATATATATATATATAATTATATGTATTCTGGTTTATTTACTAAGGAAAGCTGAAAAAAAATTACTAGATTTGTTCAACAAAGTGTTGTAAAGTAAAACTGATAGCTTAAAGGCTAAACTGTTTTTATTACTGCCAAATAAAAAACAAAAACAAATAAACTCTTTTTAATACTAGTTTAATTTCTATAAAAACGGCTTCCTTGACATCCACAAGTCACGTGACAGCCATAATAGGACAAATATCATTAGCTCGCCTGTCATTAAGAATCACATATTAAGCCTAAAGACCCTAATTTATTATTCTAACGCAGAGACCAGCGTAATGTCCCAGAAAGGAAATCAATTTTTGTTTCATCTTTGGAACTCCTAATTTGTTTTTTCCCCCTTAAATTTTACGTAAGCATCGTTTTTATTTTTAAGAAGTATAATAAGAATGTAAATATATCTACAAACCTAATTCAATTAGTTACCAGAGAAATCATATTGTACAACAATACAGCCTCAAAGCTGCTGGGAAATTTAGCTTGTAGACTAAATCAATTGGAGCCACATGGGCAGTAACATTTTTAATACGAACAGCCACTTTCTTCTCACGGAGGTTTATCAAGTGCACAATCCAGCGGTTCTAAAACCTTGGGGGTCCCTGTGTGTCTTTTTTCTCCTCAACTATAGTTACTGTTCTAATTAAGATAACGCGAGAATGCAACCAGCGAGATTTAAAAGTTTACAAACTACAGGGAATTCCAGCATTGATTTGTTAATTTTACCAGTCTACAAAATAATAGAATTAATTAGTTCAGTTACTTGTGAAATTAGGTTGTCTCCTGGGAGACCGACGTTTTATTACTGCCTGATCTCACATCGTATGCCATTGTTGGTTAATTCACCCATATGGATATGTTTAGCATCGGCTGCCCGTGTTGACGAGCTTAACGTTTGCCGAATATTTGCTTTTCATCATTTACACAATTCGCTTGTAGTAGCTAAAACAACACCTCATGAGTATTTCTATGACAGTGCTGAAGACGTACTGAGTTGGTCTCGCGAATGGCTCTGTTAATTTTTTTTCAGTTTATCTTTACATATAGAGATAACGCAGTTTCGATTTTAAGAAAGCATTATATATATTTAACTGTAATTGATTAAAATATTTTCTCACTGCTCAAAAGTGAGCAAAATTATCAGAGTTTCTTCAAGGTGTCTCATCGGGGATGAGACGACTATAGCCCCCCCCCTCCCCCAGAACGAAATAGTATTTATAAAGAAAATATATACTCAACTAGAGTCCACCCCCCCCCCCCCTCGAAAGTTTTAAGTTATCACCTCCCCCGGAGATTAATAT